CGGTTACACTAAGAAACACTGGGTTACAGTAATAGATCCTCGGTTACTAACTCATAGAGGGAAAAATCCCCGATGGTTGTTAAGTGATAAGTCAGAATGTCTAGGGATAGAAGCGGTCGATGAGACAGATGGGCCGCTGCGGAAGAAAGAAATCCGTGGGTTTATTCCGTAGCAGAAGTAACGTACGTGTCAGAGTTGAAGTCTTATCAACATACCTACTGTACTACTGCACGACTCAAAAGATATACAAGCAGATGACCGCTTCATGTGAACGCCTTTTGCATAAGCTCCAAGTATGAAACACAATACCTCTCAACGGAAAGATAAGCTTCGAGAAACTAGAAGTATGCCAAGCTTGACCTTTCTAGAAGGTATGATAGACCTTATCAAGAAGCAGTAGAGTGTAATCAATCATTTCTGAGAACAAGACAGTCAAAAGTAAACTTATCTAAGCGTAAAGCACAAGGTACTATAAGGGGGAAGATGAGTCAGAGTCAGCATATTAAGGAGCCTCCTGCCTCTATATAAGTCCTTTCTTTAAAGGCATCCAACAGATAACAAGAATAGACACCTTTCCTTTGAATAGCCTTTCTTGACTACACCTAATACGATAATGCCTACGTGAACTATACGACACACCGCTGTATCTTAGTGATCCGGTATACTCTATGTCAGCACACATACAGTACTCCACTTAACAGGAGTTAAGAAGCGGTCCTGGACTGAAGTTCGGCTTATTACAAGCGCCCTTTTCACGCAAGGTAGCATTTTTAATATTTAAGCGTTTTCGGTGGGATAGGTTCTTAGTTAAACCAAGCTGATATGCTCTGATTGAGGAGGCACTTTTAAATACCATTTATAAAGGGAGGGAAAGTAGAATAATTTCCGGGTTAGTTGCCTTTGAATAAAGAAGAAGAAGCATCCTTTGATAGTTGATAGTAATAGCAGCAGGCGCATACGGCACTTTTGCATTCGTCCGCTCCTTTGATCAATGTATTCCTCTTATAGAAGCTTTTCATAGTAGTTTATAACTGCGAGCACTTAATAAAGCTTTTTTTTTATAATATCGATTGGATTGTAGAGACAGCTACTTAGACGCCAACCTAGAGAATTCCAAGTTCAGCGAATAAGGAGCTCGCTTTTATAAGGATGCACTATATAAATAACTATCAAAGAGCGAAAGCATTAAAGGTAATTTTAAAAGCAATAATATAATAATTGCCAAATTCTTAGATAAACACTCTAGTATACAAAGCGTGCTCATACTTACAACTCCACCTATTTCTTTTTCCTTAAAATCGCCGGTCCTAGCGTATACGTATTGTAAGGGTGCTGACATGGAGTATACCGCATCCCTAAGATACAGCAGTGTATCGTATAGTTCACGTAGGCATTATCGTATTAAGTGTGGTCAAAGAAGGCAGTTTGAAGAAAAGGTGTTTAATTCTTGTTCTATTGGATGCCTTGGCTGGGAGTTCTATTCCACGAATTCCATCTATGATGGCGTAATTGTCACATCGGCAACAAGTAGTGTTATCAAATGCGAACCCTCACCCCCTGATGAAGTCCTCGAGGCTTTAGCCCTACTCCCTCCCAACATCACGGCGCATGCAATTCATGAACACCAGCGCAGGACTCCATTCGCCGCCTCCAAAGGTATGATGATAACGATGCCGGCCACAGATAACCTTAGGGAGCATTTCGTAGTAAGCTGATACGAAAGATGTATTTGGGAGGAGTGAAGGAAGAGATACGGAGAGAAGGAGAGAGGCCGGTCAACAGGCCTTCAAGTGTTCGTTCATATCTTGATGATAATGGTAAACAAGTCGTACACACTAACAAATCAGCAGCGCTGCTATCCCCGGCCACGAACGCATGGAAGTGCAAGCGTGAAAGTAGCCATGCCGAGTGTTTTTGCTGTACCTGTTCAGCTGTGATCTCTTGAGCCTGGTACGAAGTCATACACCAGATGAGTGGGGAGTCTGGACGTAACGAGACAAAGGCTGGTGCATATGGCCGTGTAGAGGTTACCGCCAAGATGCAGGTTGGTGACTGGTTATGGCCTGCTATTTGGATGCTGCCTATGAATGACAACTTACAGTATTCGTAGCGTTCGAAACGCGTAAGCTCTACATTCCACGCCGTGAATATAAACCACTCTTTTTTATTTGCTGCTAAAAGGATCTATACCAGCTATGGCATTCCGACTGTTGGTATATCATAGTTAGTTATAAAGAAGTAAAGTTAGCAAAAGAGACAGAGAACTAGACGTACGCCAATATTAAAATACCAATAAGACATGTGTGAGACCCAAGCAAACTACTCCTATAAGTGCGAGAAGTCAAAACCGAGTCCTTAGAAGCCTCTTAATCACGCTTTATGCCTCCGTAAAGAAGATGAAGCAGCAAGTCATCCATCAGAAGCTAAAGCCAAATGACTATGCCGAAGCCAGATCTCTAAGGTCCTAAGGATTTCGAAGTCCGAACTATCGATTGATGAAAGGAAGTAATAACTATACATTATGAATAAGATCTGCATCTATCTATCATCAATCACATTTACGAGATCGTTTAAATATCAACCTTACGCCAGATAGATCGAAGGTAAGGGAAACCGAATGCTAAGGAGCCAGAAATCACGTCACGAGACGCTTACCTGCGATTCGCAGCTTCCTCTCTATGCAGCTGCTTACTGTATAGCGAGCGATATAGTCTGTTATTAAGGTGGTGCTGACATGGCCAGAAAATCACGTGGATTAGGTTACAGCGCAGCGAGTTATAAATAGGAGGTTCTTCTATATCTGAGAACCCTACGGAGCATGCTCCTCTCGACTTTTCCGTTAGTCACTAATGCAATATGATGTAATATAACATAGAAGCAGGTCTTACTATAGTATACGTATACGTATAGCTAGGCTGTGAGACGTGAGATTGTCACTGTTGCTCTAGATGTCATAGTTGTAGGTTGTATGTAGGTGGGGTTGAAGCTTATGAGAGGGCTGGCTGGTGAGAGGTAGGTGGGTATGTGTTGTTGGGGGTGCTGTGGTGGGGATAAGTAGAGGGTTGGGAGATGGATGGATGGATGGATGGATGGATGGATGTATAGATTAAGTGAAGGGAAGTGAAGGGCTTTTTGTAAGAGAGGTGGAGAGAATATATGTATGCTCACATTAGTTTTTATATGCATCCAAGATGGAGGCACTAGTTTAGTGACGTAAAGCGAAATAAGGAACGTGATCTATGTACGAGTAAGGTGCTACGCTACGATCTTATTCATAGAAGAAACTACTCTACGTTTATAGTAATAATATTCCCATTGCCATCGGCTGATCACCACTTTGTAAGCGGGTAGACCAGGAAGAGTTTGAGATGGAATAAGCAGGTTGATTGCTCATCTCTTTTATTTCTAACCCTTAAAGGCGTTTTCACATTCACTATACGCTACGTACTCGGTCGCTTTGATGTATCAAGTTATGCTACCCTGCACCTGCCCAGCCGCTGTGTGCGACCGCCGGCGAGACGTAGCCTGAGCTGATGGTTTGCTCTTTTGATACTTGGAATCGGTGTGCGCGTGCGTTGTGTATGCTCTGCGTTTAGGTGGTGGTACCTAGGTACGCATGCTTGTATAGGAGTAGACTGGGTTCTGTTTTGTTTGCTATGATGGTGATTATGGTGGTTGAGAATAAACATGATCAATTTTTATTCCGTGACAATAGAGGTGTGAATGTGTGAGTGAGGTGAGGCTGTGATGAACTCCTGAGGTTTATGTGGAGGCTGAGACACGTGGGGCTGAAAAGGAATCGGGATCTTCGGGATTCCCCGATGTTCCGCAGAATAGAGTTACCGAACTTGTCCCATCGGCGATCTTTTGCCGTTGGAGGTGGAGGAGGTGGAGGCATGACCGTTTTATATTATCGTGGCGCAGTTGGGTTCTTACTGCTTATGGTGTTTAGATATATACAGTCCGTAGATGATGTGAATTATTTATGTGTACCTAGGTACCTTAGATATGGCAGATTTGGTTCTGGGAAGAGAGGATATCGTAGACCCCTCATACGTCATACGAGATAGAGTTGGAGTTGGCAACTTGGCATGGATTCTGGACTTGGTTGGGTTGGGTAAACACCGAAAGTGAGGGGACTGAGAAATGAAGGGGTTTGAAGGAGTGAGAGGAAGAGACCCGCAATAATACCTGTATACTAACTACCTTATACTTACGAAACACGGTAATATCATGACTATGGCTATTTGCATCGTGTTCATACCTTTAAATAAGGCGTAAATCATTATCAGTATCTCACGCCTCCAGCCACTGTCACCGAGTTGCAGGCAGGAAGTAAGAAAAGCTCTTCTTGCATTTGAGACTGACGCAACAATCACACGCCTCGCCTTCTTTCACTCCTTTCCCTCCCTGCCGGTTTCCCGCATTCAGGTCAGGTCAGGTCAGGTCAGGTAGTTTCTCGAGGCTGCACTGCCCGTCATCCGTATTGCGGGATACTTCGGCTTTATCACCGGATTACGGGACACCACACACCTTCCTTACCGACTGAAGACTGTACAATAGACTTTAGACTGTACACTGCAGACTTTAGACTGTACCTAGGTAGACTTTATACTGTAGACTGTTAGACTCGTAGTCAGGTTGTAGTGCATAAGGCTGTAGGCCGTGTAGTGTAGTGTAGTGCAGTAAAGTGAGAATAGAATCGGATCGGGTATAGAATAGAGAGAGAGAGAGAGAGAGGGCAATCTGCAGACGAGCCTTGACCACGCTCACGCCCACGCCTCTTCTCTACAAATCCAACCGCCGACCCCACCATCCTGTCATCAGCCCGACTCCTCCACCTACCTACACCTTTACTACTTTACCCAACGCTGACCTGAGACAACAACACAACACCATCAGATCATCCCCCGTATCGAGTATTTCCAACAATATACAACTGCCCTTCGTGGCATCTTCACCAAATCTAACACATCTACATCCCTATACCTAACTTTACTATGCCAGAAGTTACCAGAGAACGCATCGTTCGTGCCTCCTATGGCAGAGATCGCGACGATGATTACTCTTCCGACGACAACCGTTCATCCTTCAGCGCCAGCCGCTCGCGACACGGTGCCAGCAGCAGCACCTATCGTCCTACGACTGTTCAACGTTATCGTGTAACACCTAGCAGAGTCGAGGAAGTTGAAGACGACCGACGATCATCGCGACTCGATATCATCCCCCGTCGCGGCGAGCGCATCGAGGTCGATCGCAGCACAGAACGATTTATCGACCGACCAGAACGACCACGCTCTGCTATTGACGTGCGCCCACGACCCACAATCGTCGAACGCGATCGCTTTGTCGAACGCGAGAGAGAACCTGTCCGCGAACCCGAGCGAGAGCGAGAGCGCACTCGAACCGTCGTCTATGAACGGGACAGCCCGCGCGAACCAGAACGTATCCCTCCTTGGGAGCGCGGACCCGCTAGGCCATGGGAAGACGAGCGAGAGACCTCCCGCGAGACTGATGTCAGGATCGAGAAGCGCGCACCTGCTAGGCCATGGGAAGACGAGCGAGAGATCTCCCGCGAGACTGATGTCAGGATCGAGAAGCGCGCACCTGCTAGGCCATGGGAGTCGGAACGGGACGTGCGGGAGACGGATGTTAGGGTTGAGAAGCGGACCGAACGTCGCGAGGAGCCACGCCGTGATGAATTTGATACCGAGAGAGTCACCAGAGAAATCGAATACTACGATCGACCGCATTCTCCTCCACAGCCTATTATCATCCGTCAACGAGCGCCTGAAGCTCAGCAGATTATCGTGCAAGAAGCCGCACCCCCACCACCGATCATCCTCCCTCGTCAAGAAGAACACGAATTTCAAGTCATTCGACGGGCTGAACCACCACCAGAGCCAAAGAGAGAAGAAGATGAATACTACTACAGACGAGATGTTCGCGAAGTTGGCCCACGGAGAGAAAAAAGAGACGAGGACTTTGCAATGGCAAGATATGACCGCAGACAGGGGCGTCAACGAGATGATGTCAGCGATGGAGATTACAGCGATGAGGATTATGTCGTTCGTAAAAAGGTTATAAGACAACGTAGTTTAAGTGGCAGTCCACACCACAAGAGACATCTTGCCGAAGGTGCCTTGGCTGGAGCGGGTGCAGCTGCTCTACTTGCAAATCACCGTGAGAAGAGTGGAGATGGATCTGAACATCGTGGCCGAAAGGTCGTTGGAGGAGCAGCTCTTGGTGCTATTGGGGCTGAAGTTATTACGAGAGCACGAAGCCGTTATCGCGACAGATACGAGGATCGTAGCAGATCAAGATCAAGCAGCAGATCAGGACATGGAAATCATACCAAGCTGAAGACTGCACTTGGACTTGCTGCTGCTGGTCTCGCTGCTGCGGCCGCTGCGAAGTATGTTCAGAAGCGCAAGGCGGATAAAGAGGAAATTGGCAGAGGACGCAGTCGAACTCGGAGCGTTTCTAGACGCCGTAGTGATAGCTACGATTCTTACGATGATGACAGCCGTGCGAGAAGTAGAAGCAAGCATGCTGATCCCAAGCATCGCTCAAGATCAATCGCAAAAGCAGCTGCTGGAACCGCGGCAGTCGCTGGAATCGTCGAGCATTTTAGGAACAAGTCACGCAGACGGAGTGGCGAACGATCAAAGTCACGAATTCGAACCGGAGCTGAGATCGCCGGAGCAGGTCTAGCTGGAGCAGCAGTAGCTGGACTCTACGAGAATCGCAAGGCAAAGGAAGATGCAGAGAAAGAAGCTGAGAATGTCAGCAGTCGTAGGAGGAGCAGAACAAGAAGCAGGTCGAGAGCCAGATCTGTCGGCTATTCTGATCCGGGAGTTGACCCAGAATTAGGAATGGTACAATACGGTACTGACCCCGTATACACCCACGCGCCACCAGCGACGACCTACCAAGACTACGATCGAGGTAGTCGATCCCGTAGTCGAACCCATCGTCGCCGACACTCCTCGAGCTCTGCCGATCAGAGAAAACCCGCATCTAGAAGTCGAAGTCGAGTCCGAGATATCGCTGGTGCGGCAGCTGGTACTGCAGCTGCGGCCATCGGTATCAACCAATATAAAAAGAGAAAAGAGAAGAAGGAGGCTGAGCGGGAGAAGGAACGAAGGCGTGAGGATCCCCAACATTCTAGATCTCGTTCGCGCTCTCAATCTGTATCATCTGCCAGGACTTCCTTAGGAAGGAGGTTATCCAACCTCATCCCTAAGTGATACAGAAATTGCGTCCCTTGTATATATATCACATTTCGCCATCATGTCGCCGTCTTTCATGTCATACTAACTCCGCACGCTCAGGTTACGAGGAAGAATCGCCCTCTGAAAACTACTACTCTCGCGAATACGATGACTATTCTCCATCTCCTCCTATGGCCTCGGGCGGTTCCTATTTCCCGCAAAACAACGAATTTCCTGCGCCTCTCGCGAACCCTGGCTACACTCAACACTCCAATCAATCATCACCGAATGTAAATCAACAACCGATCCCTCCCTATAACCCGGCAGATTATGCTGGCCCGCCTCCTCCGCATGACGCTTATGGGCACCCGCCCCAGCCAAGGGGAGACCATGTGAGTGCAAACCAATACCATAATAATGTACCTCGTCAGCCGGAACCTCCGTACTTTCCTCCACCTCCACGTCCATCTTCACCCCAAACAACAGACGAGGGTGCGTGACGCCTGCCTTACGGTACTTTCCTTCAGTACACCATACTACACATCAATACTAATCCAGTTCTCAGGCGGTCTAGATGCAACACCACCTTCATCTCCGGACTCGATCCGTCCAACCAACAAATCAGTCATGTTTGCACCTCTGTCACCGACTTCATCCCGCCGCCTAGCACGTATCCGTAAAAAACAAGAACAAGCCTCCACTTCCACCGCTCTTGTTCCTATCTCACAACCTCCTCCTGAAGATCAAGAACCAGATGTCACAGAAGACTACGAAGACGAACATCATCACCAACACCGTCGCCGCAGACAGCGTAGACGTCGCAATTCAGACCCTAGTTCCAACCGTCCGCACCGCCATCACGAACGCAATGCATCCCGTAGCCCCAGCCTAGACCGCAATAGCGATAGCAGTGGAGCCGAAACAGAAGTCCTACCAGATCGATTTGATGCTCAAGGACGACCGCTCGATAAACATGGGAGGCGGGATAGGGAAAGAATCGCAGGGGGAAATGGAGGTGGACAGCAGGAAATGGTGGAGAAGTTAATTGGCGGGTTCGAGGAGGTGGTAGAGGGACGGAAGAGTTGGAAGGATTTGTTAGCCGGGTTGTTGGATGGCGTTAATGCGAGCGGGAGTGATTTAAGTGCTGGTAGTAGGAGAAGGCGACGATGATTTTTTATCCTTTCTCATTTATCCCCTTCTATTTCTCTTTCTTTTCGTCATCTTCAGAGCCGCTTCATCTTTTGTTTTTTCCCTTCGTCTTCTTCCTTCTGATCATGAGACATGAGATATGGATATGGATTACGATATGTAGATCGTTTACCCCCCTTTTCTTTTCTTTTCTTGAGAAACGTTTGGCTTGGCTGGCTATGGGATGAGCAATGAATGATGAATTCCCTTTTTTGTATCTGCGGGATCTGGATTTGAATTTGATTTTAGCATAGCAGCATAGCGTAGCGTAGCAGATATGAGAAGGCTTGAACGAACCGAATAAAGCGGTTTTTACATTTCATTTCATTATGCACCCGCGCACGAATATATGAATGAATGGACATGGATGAATGTGGTAATGTGGTAATGAGGTATACACTGTGATTTGACTCGACATATACTCACTCAACTCGTGCGTAAAGTAAAAATCTTTCTGCCTATACATACGCAGCTGGCTGGCTAGCTAATACTTGCAACAAACCAGCACCAGCCAGCATCCGTCCACACGACCTCGTTGTTTAGTCAAGAGAGAACGTCAACGTAACGTACTACAGCTACCTGGGAGCTACCTACCTATCTTATCCTCGCACGACACGAAATGAGGTATTGGTAACGAGGTTGGATACTATTTATGATTAGAGGGGTGGGTAGATGATGGGTTGGGTTATATACTGTACTGTACTGGTAGATTTCCGGAGGAAGAGGAAGAGGAAGAGGAAGAGGGAGGTTTATAATAAGGCAGAGTTGTAGATTGGAAATTGTATTAGAGGGTTGAAATGTACAGGGCAGGGCTACCGCGATCGCGATCGCAAGCACGCGAGGAAAGGGAGGTCTTGGATTTTTCTTCCCCCCTAGAGTGTGAAAGGAAGGGAGGAAGGAAGGACTAGGTGGGTGGGTAGGTGGGTGGATACTTTGTATTTGTACATTTGTATATTCGGGAGTTTATGCGTGCATGTTATGTCATATATATATACAATACAATACAATACAATACAATATCCCACAACTGGGCATTTTCCTTTTCTTTTTCTTTTTCTTTCGTTCGGAGTGATACTGATACATGTGTATGTACAACGAGCTAATCTCTATCACCATGACGTGATACAACACTATTTACAACATAGTAAAAACCTACATGAAATCTTATATGCAGCACTACATCCAACCTAATCTGCATCTCATCTCATCTCTCTTCTTACGTCGTATTTTCATATCCTCAACTTCCCTCAAACCAAGTTCGTTCAAGTCCCAATCACATCACATCAAGCCTTCCACTCCCTCTCAATATTAAACAAGCTCCAGCCCTCGACGTGCTCCCGCTGCCCGACTTTCTCTAGCTCGGCCCACGGCTCGGGATACATGGCTTTGGCCCATTCGGCGACTTCTTCTTTGCGGTTGCGGCCTGGGATGGCGTTGTAGAATATACCTAGCCTGTGTAGAGTTAGTATTGGAGGAGTGAGGGAAGGCAAGAGAAGGAAAGGATAGTAGAATGGAAAGGATGAAACTATGTTAGGAAAGAAAGAGAGGGGTGGAAAAGTAGAGAAAGGCTTACGTCAAAGCATCAGGCTTTAATCCAAAGTCCACCTCCCCACCCTCAACAACAGCCTTAGCATCCTCCAACTTCCCCCTCCCCGCCAGCGCCCCCACATACGCACCCCACACGCCCTGCGTAATCTCAATCTCCATCCTCCTCATGCGATCCCAGATCTCGCGCGCCCTTAGATCGCCAAACGGTGTCATCTCACACGCGCGCATGACGATTTCCAGACTGCGGTAGCTAGGGCCCTCTTCGCTATTCGTAATGTCGTCCCAGAATTCCAAGGCGTGGTCACCGTCGCCCGTGCTGGCGTAGGCGAGCATGAGCGCGTTGTAGAGGAGGGTGTTGGGTTCGATGTTGGGGTCGAGTTTGAGCATGTTGTGGACCATTCCGAGGGATTCGAGATCAGAGAGCCGGGCTATGTTGAGGAAGATGCTGACGTATGTGGAGAGCGTGGGGCGGTGTGAGGGCAGGTTGTGGGAGCGCATGTGCCCGAATACGTGGGTACCCATATCGCTTCTGCCGCGGGCGAAGAATTCTTCCATGAGCTTGGTGCGCATCGCGACGTCAGTTTCGTCAAAGAGAGTGCGTAGGATTTGGTACGCTTCCCAGGCTTTTGGAGTAGGGACGGCGCGGTCGAAGACGTAGGCGTAAAAGGTGTCACGGATCGATGCCCGTTCAAGGAGTGTATAGTGGTAGGAATTTGTTTGGAGGAGGTCGTATATGTCGTCTATCTGTGAATGCGACATGTAAAGCATTGCTACTGCAGAAACAGTATCGGCTTCTAGACGTGCTTTGCGCGCCTCGAGATCTTGGAGTATAGACGTGATGCTGTCGTAGTAGTTCGTTTTGGAGGCACAGAGAGCGCGGATATAGTGGTTTATTGCGGGCAGGTCTTCGTCGTCGAGGATTTCCTCTCCTTGTAGGGATTCGTAGGCGGATTGTGCGCCTCGTAGATCGCCGGCGTCGACGCGGTAGTTCATTTGTAGGATAAAGGTACGGGCGTTGGGCTGGATGTTGGATTTCAGGCCGAGAGCAATGTAGCGTTCTGCTAGGTAGGGATCTTTTTGGGAAATGGCGAGCGATACCAGGCCGTTGATGGTAGTGATGTCTGGTTGCAGATCTGGGTTGCGTTTACTCATTACTTCCATCATTTGCTCCACGTCTTCAACTCCTTTTCCAACTGCCCCTGCCGCCCATTGCAATACAATGTCCCATTGTTCTTTTGTTGGATCTCTCTCTACAACATCTCGGAAACACTGCTTGCACCAATCCAGCTCGTTATTTCGTATACTGAATTCCATAATCGCAGTCAAGGTCCTGGGACTTGTTTTTCTTAATGGTTGTCCATCTGCCCCGGGCTTGCCAAACCACATCTTCGTCGCCTCAACATCGTCCCTTTCCGCGTAAAAGCAAGTCATAATCTTCTGCGTGTCCAGATTATGGGGAAAGCCATCACCCATAATCTCCAGCGTTTTGAGCAGCTCCGTCTCGTTGTTTTCCTTCGCGAATCCCGCAAGAATGAGTTTCCAAATGAACTTCGCTTTCGACGAACTCGTAGGTGCGTCGGTCTCGACAGTAGTCAATTCGGCGTAATGTTCTTGTACGAGTTTCAGCGCAGCAGTCGTATCGCCAGTCCGTGTCAGGACTCCAACCAGATACCCCACATCCGCCAATTGCCAGCGCCCTCTCCGCACAAGCTCGTCGTAGATGCCTCTCGCAAGCTCGCTGTGCAGATCAACCTCATTGTCCTTTGGCATAAGAAGTAGTGCTCTCCTCGCATTCTTCAACGCCACAATGCTCAAGTCATACACACCTTCTTCTGTCTGAACCTCCTTCAAGTAGTTGAACGTCCGTAATATCTGCACGGCCTGTAGCCTATTTAGAGGCTCCTTCTTCTGATTCTTGTAGTCGAAAAACCGTTGCCATGCTCGCACTATGTCTGGGACTAGTGGTAAACGCGCGCCAATTCTTTGCATGTTGGAAAATTCGATAAAGGTTTCGAGACCGGGCACAAACTCTGGGTCTTTGGGTTTCCGTTCCTCTTTCCGAGAGAATCCGAAGAGTGATCTTTGCTGTATACCACCTGCTACACTCATCTCTCCTCCCGCATAACTCCCTCTGCGCCATCTTGAAGCTCTTCTTGTCGGAATCGATGCATGGCAGCGGAGGACGAGCCCCTCGGTGGAAAGGAGACCCCGGAAGACACTCCGAGTTAATTGGGACCGCATTATAATATGTACAAGAATTGGAAGCTTCAGATGGTTAGCAGATGCTCATTTAGAATGGTGGTAGCATGTACGGAATCATGTTTTGCGTGCAATTGCTGGGATGGAAATTGTGATGTACCTCGAAACTTTTTAGAGGTTCCTCGAGAGCTTCAAAAGAGGGTTGACACTAGGCCATATTTAGATATATCAATCACGTGCAATATACTCTATGTTGAATTTCTTTTCCGATGAGAACAGCAACTTTGGAGTTACCAGAGTAATTCTATCTCAGATTTGTGATGAAGATCTGTCCAAACCATGCATACCGCCCTCCTTGCCGATAACCCACGCGAACGCCAAAACCCAAGCCTCAAAATTCATGAATCGTCATTGTACAATCACTGGAAGTTAGAGAAGCTCTCCTTCTCCCTCATCTTCTCCAATGTCCGGCTCGCTATCCCAATCCATATTTGCGGCGGCAGCTTCGGCAGCCTGGTGCACCTCTGCCAGTCCACTGAGCTCGGTCACATAAGCTGGCTCTGTTAATGCGCGTTTGACAAACTCCCATCCATTGCGCTTGTACTCATTGACGATCTTGGGAGAACATGCCGAACAGCAATCATACGACTTTCCACTTATGATCTTGTTTTGAAAGGTTGATAAGAAACCGCGGATCTGATGTGGTACGATGCCGAGAGGGTGCTCAGGGGGGTCCCTCTCGTAGTTTATGGAATGCGTTTCTTTGTTCACGGATGCTACTGGTGCGGGTGCTTGTGCCCCAAGAGGGTGTTGAAGAAGTGATACTAGGACCTCGACTAGAAGATTTGATGCCATAGCTGCGACGCCGGGTCGCGTGACCGTACACTGCTGGTCGAGAGTTTGATCCTTGACAGACTACAACCTTATTAGCTTGGGTAACTGAAGTAAAAGGCCTGGACTTACATCTGCTGGAGCTACAACATCGTTGCAGAAATAACACCCCAAGGCTGCTTCTCCACCATCTTGTGCAGTGACGCCATGTCTCATGACCACATAGGTGTCAAATCCGAGAGCAGCATTCATAACGATTTTGCCTGCTGATTTCCCCATCACTGTTGGAAGCCAGCGACTTTCTCGTGTATCCATGAGCAGGAAAATGACATCATGGGCGTCAATAAGCGCCTGGAGCGTCTCAAAATCCAATCTAATGTTTGATTCGTCCTGGATTGGATGTCCAAGCATGGGAACTGACATGACATGCCCCGTACTATCGACATTGGGATAAATCTCCTGAAGAGCCTCGGCGGCTCTATATGCCTTCTTTGCCCCCCCTTCAAGGCAGTCCTTATGATCAAATAACGGCTGTCGGACCGGATTTGAAAAGGATACATTTCCATTGTCGACGAACGTAATTTTGCGCACTCCCCAGGCCATGAGAGATCGGGAAACGTAAGATCCAAGTGTTCCAGCTCCAAGAAGAAGACATTTGGTTTCTTTGATTTTATCCAGATTCAAATCCGGAGCTATTCGCCACTTCATAAGCTTCAAGTTCAAGTCCACGGCTTGATCAGCCAGCTGAGTGGGATCCATGTACTGCGTGAGACTCGTAACTCTTGCACTTAGTTTTCCAATGCTGTTCCGTTCCCACCCCGTGATTTTGGGTAAGTCATTGCTCGGATTTTCCTCTGGTTGGGTTTCTAGGAGAAAAATACGGCTTCTAGCTTCGTGTCTTCTGGAGTGGACATCTCGATAACTCAGAATCTGGACCTTGTTGAGCTTAAATCGTCGCCTGACTAAGACCAAGAGATTCCTCAACATCCACCCTGGATTGTCGGGGTACGTAGATGGATCGACAAAGCATACAAATCGATCCGCAGGTTCCGTTCGGTCAAAAAAACCGCTCTCAAATTGTCGGAGTGACCCAACAACCCATTTATAGCCCAGCAAGCTTTTTGGTGTCCCGGGAGTTGTTGGATGCTCGGAAAAAGAAGTCCTACGTATTCGCTTTGCTAAGAAGAAGCCGTGCTCCCTGTTGTCGGTCCCATATTTCCAGGTGCCGACCTCATCGACAAGCTCGGTAGTTTCTTTTCCCTCTAACTGCGGTGGTTGCTCCTTGACTAGCTTCCAAAGTGGCTCAGAATGAATTGCTGGGAAAGCAAACCAGTAGGTGAAGGTATATTTCTTTAGGTTTGCAAATGAGAGAATGGAAAAGGAGGATAAAAGCGAGGGGATGGAGTATATAGTTCCATCATTGATAGCATCCCATATCTAAAAATGTCAGCTGCAACACGCAAGAGACTGTAATTTATACAGACCTGTCTCGCAGCCGTTTCTAAGACTGCTGGCTTGTTGATGCTTTTAAAGTCCTCGATAGTGTTCAAGTTCCTGATCTTGCCCTCGGCACGTATATGATTGGGAGGGACACTACCACATCAGTAAGTGGTAGGCAGTGACTGAATGTACGTTCTTACTCGTCACTGTTGAGGGCATTCCCGAGCACCCTCATCCGACAGCTGTCCTCTGGTGCAGTTGAGCGGGGTTCGTACAAGCCAAGAACAGTGCGGGCGGAATCGTCGAGCTTATCATGATCTATCTTAGACTGTGATAAAGCTGTGTAAAAGGGCAGCTCTATCTCGGAACCAAAGGGAGCGAATTTCAAAGCCATGGTGAGAGTTGCGAGGTACCGGTATATTGAGGAGCAAGGGCGCAGGGAGGCAAAGCAACCTAAGCTTGAGACTACAAACGCTTGATATAATGTAAGAACAGCTCAGACGGAGGAATGCGTTGTGGGTGCCCACGATCAGGATACCAGGGATGCAAGAGAGTTGTAGGATATCATGTGTTTATGGCTCGTGGACACAGTGAGTGTGAGTTGGATGTTTTATAGAGCTAGGTCGTCCTAAATGGTAGAGGCAGTCATGTCATGGGACTGAAAGCATGTCCAATAACCCAACCCCCACGTGCCCCGCCCCGCCCCACCATATGACCTCGGGAAAGCTGCGGCAGTGCGCGACTTCGGAACGCGACTCGATTTGTCGACGCGTTTATTTCTTTTGCAGCTACTTGTTACGTATCCAGCTTATCCTACTCTACGATTTTAGAATATTCAGAGACCAGACCATGTTGATCGGACTCTGCGGAGGCATTTGCGCCGGCAAGCGTACAGTCGCCCAGTACCTAGGAGAACATCACGGCTTTACACATCTCTACCTACGAGAAAACACCCGTAATGGAGATTTGAATGGCACGCTGGAGGTCAAGCAAGAGGAGGAACAAAAGCAATCAACGAAACAGATAGTCCCCAAAGCCAATGGCATAATCGAAGGGGCTCCACATCCCCAAACCGAACACGTCTTCGATACCACTGAAGACCTTCTCGACTTTGTCACGAAACGTTGGCGCGAACGCTGGGTTACAACAGACATACACACCGAATCCATCCTTGACAAACTCCTCCGCCGCCCATTCTTCATCCTCGTCAGCGTTGATGCACCAGTCAGTGTACGGTGGCAACGTTGCCAACAAAAACTACACCAGACCGATCCCCAAGAAGAAAGCCTGAGTCTCGAAGATTTCCTCCTCAAATCAGACGAACATCTCTACAATCCACATACTGGCCTCCTACCTCTGATATCTCGAGCCACTATACGATTATTGAATACGTCGAGTAATCTGGCACACCTCTATGCTACACTTGGGAAGCTAGATTTAACGAACGAGGACAGGTTGAGGCCGAGCTGGGATCAATACTTCATGCAATTGGCATCTTTGGCTGCCCAGCGGAGTAATTGCATGAAGCGGCGCGTGGGATGTGTTCTTGTGCGAGAGAAACGCGTGATAAGCACGGGATATAACGGTACACCTCGAGGACTGAAGAACTGCGGAGAAGGAGGCTGTCCCAGATGCAACGATGGACTGAGTTCCGGATTTGGCTTGGGGACATGTTTATGTCTACACGCTGAAGAAAATGCGTTGCTGGAGGCAGGTCGGGAGAGGATTCGAGACGGTGCAATTCTGTATTGCGATACTTGCCCGTGCTTGACTTGCAGTATCAAGATCGCTCAAGTGGGAATCAGTGAGGTGGTTTATAGCCAGGGTTATAGTATGGATGGGGAGACCGCAGATGTTTTCAAGCAAGCTGGTGTGTGTCTGCGGCAGTTTATTCCAGTTTGTTCCCAACACCTCTTTTCTACGATGCTTACTGACACTCCATAGCCTGCGAATGGTTTGATTCATCTGGAAAAGCCTGCTCTGTATTAAATGTAATTCAACGAAGATACCCAAACCTGCTACTTAGAATAGGACTAAACTGGCCCTGGTTGTCAGTTCTCGCGTTATAATTCGGGGGATCCTTGATCGGTCACATTCTCTGGTTGATTTCTGAACGAAGCTACTAGGTGCACCAAGTGGACGATTGGCAACGTCTAGGATGTCTGATCTGTTCTCTGGGATGTGAGTCAATCTCTATCTCCTATCCAAATGCAAGTAATATTCCGCATTCGGGCTTCTCGTTCCCCACATGTATTCATTCCTGTTCTGACCTTCCGTCGGCTGCCACTGCACGTCGTCGCTCCTGCGCTGCTAGCTTGAATGGGTCATTCAAGCCGTGAATTGGGTTTGAATCCAACGTTTGACGGCTTGAAAATGAAGGCATATTAGCAGTAATTCTCCAATGCATGACGAAGGGCTATACTTTATTCTCCCAGCAGTGATTAAAAGACATTATATTTCCAATGCCACTTTCTCCTAGTCGCCAGCCTTGTCGTATGTCGATGGGTTCTTAGAACAGCAGTGATGATTTGCCTGGCGCTAAGAGGTCAATAAACCAGATTAGATATCTCGGGTACTGGAGTATTGAAAGGGTATTGATGGGAAACTCCTTGACGAGGTTAAATTCTGGGGACAGGTTGGCAGGCAGTGGCAACGGTTTAGATAGACCAAGTCTTGCCGTGCTGCCTACCTAGGTAAGGCGAGGTAGCTAAGGCTACATAAAACCCAGCGCAAGGCTATGCAAAGGCTGATTAATCTTGTCCTAATATAAAAGCAAAGCTAAGTTGAGGCAAGGCAGGGAAGTCTTGGGCTATTCAAAGCGTTGTCTAGGATGAATGCATGTGATTAGGCTGTAATAAGGACTCCTCGCCAAGTCGCCATGCACGGGAGCCTTGCACTCACCCCGCGCCAGGCTGACTTCGAATTCATCGGCGAAAGGAGAGCAGGGCCAATTTTGCGGTTGTGGAGTGTGAGGTAGGGCTGGGGATGGTGGTAGAAGGAGACGAGGACTGCAATTCCGAAGTCGACGACTCAATGGCACCGTGGACTTTAAGTAGGACTTTGTTGATAACAAAAGCATAACTGGCGATCGTAATTAACACAAGATTTTTAGATTATCCAAAAATTATCACGGCGTCTTAAAACACTTACTGTATATAGAAATTAGGTCTTACAAGCAAGCCGTATAGTCTATAGATTTGATCCACATTACGGTACATGATACACGATCTTGCTCCTAAATACTTGCAAGTCTTAATGTATTCAAGCCTATAATGAGCTTTCGAACTGCCTGACCATTAATCCTTTCTCGCCAAGGAAGTCCTTAACGTCCTTGACAGTATATTCACCCCTGTGAAACATACCAGCGCCAAGTGCAGCATCCGTTCTCGTTTTCGAGAAGACTTCTTCGAAATGACCCGGGTTTCCTGCTCCACTTGAAGCTATCACCGGTATGCTGACGGCATTCTTGACTTGGTCGATCAATTCAAGATCAAACCCACTGTTAGTTCCATCCTTGTCTATGCAGTTCAACAGAATCTCGCCACAGCCCATCGCCTGAACTGCGGTCGCCAATTCCACCACGTCCATATCTCTAGTTTCTCGTCCTCCTTTGACTGTGCACGCATACCAACAAGATTGCTCGCCATTCGGTCCTGGATACTTCGTTTGGATTGTGTTGTGTTTCGTTTCCGTCGGCTTAGATATGTAGACCCTCTTTGGGTCTACGCTGACTACCACGGCTTGGTTCCCATACGCGCCTGATATTTGCTCAATTGCAGTATTCCCAAAGAGTTGCTTCCCTTGTCGGTAGTATTCTTCTGCGGCCGTGACTGCATCTGACCCAATTGATACCTTATCCGCTCCACTTTTGAAATACATCTTTGCAATTTCGAGCGCGGAAACCTTTGTGCCATCCGTATCTGTAGTATCTCGAATTCCTCCGCCTATAGTTAAGGGAACGAAAACGGTTTCTGATGTTCGCCTTAATATCTCCAACATTGGTAAGTCGGCCAATGGACAGTCCCGAAAACTCGTAATGTTGAGGAATGTGATCTCGTCTGCTCCTTGTTCGTAGTATTTCCTCGCCATCTCAACGGGCTTCCCGAGATTCCGGACATCGCCTCCATCTGCCTTTTCCCGGACGTCATATTGGTCGCCTTTCGTAACAACAAGATCGCCTTGGTCATTTGTTCGTACGTCTAGGCACGCAATGACTCTCCTCGTCAGACCTTCTTTTACTGCCAGTTGACCGTGGTCCGCGCTCTCTTTTGTGCCATCTAAGAATGCCTTTAAGACTCTCAGCCCGGCAACACCACTCTTCTCGGGATGAAATTGAGTCGCTAATATGTTTCCCCGGGCTACCGCGCCCACAAATTCCTCGTCGCCGTATCTTGCAGTGGCTACAGACCAGCCCTGGCTCTCCAGTTCTCCTTCGCGGTACGGAACCTTGTATGAGTGGACATAGTAGTATTTCGAGCTGGGCCTTAAGCCGTACACCCTTTTGCCTGCAGTGTTTGCGCTATTCCAGCCAATATGGGGGACTGATTTCGAGGTGTCGTCGAATTGATCGAGCGTGCCTTTTATGATGCCAAGTCCAGGGACAGACGGGTCCTCAGAGGATCCTTCGAACAGTACTTGTAGACCAACGCATATTGCCATGAATGGCTTACCGGATTCGATGTGCTTTCGTATGGCTGGGAGATAACCTGCGGAGGAGAATTGCGACATGCAGTGGCCGAAGTGACCAACACCAGGCAGTATGAGACTCTAGCAGAAAGTCAGCGATTTCAATGGCTTCGACAGGGCATGAGGGAATGGTCATTGACCAAGAGATGATGTTCTTGTATCAACTCCCGCTTACATCTGCTTTCTCGATATCCTCTGGGGATTTTATCCACTGAACTGTGTACCCAACCTTCTCAATAGCATTCACTAAGCTGCGCACGTTCCCTGCAACATAGTCTAGCAAGTATACCTTCGGCATTCTGACCAAAATAAGTGAAGATATACAAGTCCCAGATGTGATGTGTGAATCATAGGTTTCGGAAGGTCAATGAGGGTGAAGGTGAGGGTGAGGGTAAATTAACAATGAGTCAAAAATGAAGCTCCGCAGTACGGAGGTAAAACATGCTACCCCGCGCTAAGCCTATTATGGTAAAGTACCCCGCCCCCTTTTTCTGCTCGCCAAGAGTATCTCAACTCTCTTTCCCTTCAAAGCACTGTCGTTCGATTCGTTAACTTCATGACTACGGATATCGGCCAGCACTCAAATCTACAACTTGAACAAATCAGAATTGAATATACTCCGTAGCTGCTACAAAATCAGCTGATTCCTTTCGATCCTAGCGACCCTGTTGCTTCAGGTCAAGACGACTTTCAATTACGCATTATTTGAGAGCTTTTGAAGACCGGATATGGTTGGAAACATACCCGATATGACTAAAGCAGACTTGTTCGGTGTGAAATCGTCTTACTCGACCATAGCCGTTCAATGCATGTTGCAAGCTATCTCCTTGCAAGATTGTGCCAGGACAAAGTACAGATCATAGCACTTGGAATCTGCACTAGCTCCAGGCACAAGATATGATCATGAGCATCTATCTGATCACTATGGGAAGTGTGCTCTCAATTTACGTGTACTGTATGGGGAATGAAGCGGGGTCAAATTGCCCCTCCATAGCTTTTGTTCATATCAAAGAAGCTGCTGCCCATTCTTTATCGCAAGAGACCTATCTTCTCCTTGGTAAAACTAGTATTCCATTGGGACTGGGAGATTTCAATACTTCAAATGAGCCTACCGCAAATATCCTAAGAAGGGCATCAGGTAGCTGAAGGCTGGGGGTTCGCGAGCCGCGCTGAAAATATAAGCGGGTTGCGCTTACGTTACTGTAAGCCACAAGGATGTGAACTCTACTGCAATGTTCCTCCTCTTAGGCAGCACCAGCTATTTATAGATGTATTAATAGACCTCTACAAATTCAGAGACCCGTACAAAGGAGTTAGGAAAAGGAACTTCCGAATCACTTACGTTCCGAAGTTCCGAGGAGCCTTGCAAGTTGCAACGTTGCGGCCAGAGCGAGAATAGAACGACCCGGCCGCGCTGAATATAGAAGGAGGGAAAGTGTAGTCGAACGGTAAGGGGGGATGTGGGCGAACTGATTACCCTTTTCAATATATTGTATTTCTCATTTACTTCCATCAAAAACTTACATTATTTCAACTCTAGCTAGTAAGTTTTAAAATTGACCAACATACTGCAGAAACATTTAAGGCCTCAGTCTACTTTTAGAAGGTTACTACTCCACTGCAAAATCTTCTCATATCTACACTCATTACTCCCTTGATCTAGTTATCGCTCTCAGGATACCTAGGCAGGATTTGGCTTATGTAAATGGTTTGAACAAATGTTGCGATTTTACACCACGGCTACCATGAAGGATTCCTTCCAAAATAGGAAGGAAGGCTGAGAAGGATTTCCAATATATCTTAAAATGCCTCCGTGTAACCGGATACTCCAGCATTAGTCAAGCAGTATATAAATATTATGATACCCAATAATCTCCACCCTACTTGCTACCCTTCAGCTCTTTTATATTTAAACGCCGCCGGGTCCCATTCCGTGTCCCTCCCCTCAAACCATAAAATGCATTCCAAACTTCTTCCCCTCGCCGTCCTCTTTCTAGGAGCATCTACACAAGCACAAAGCTATGGTTTTTGGTTCCAGCCTGCCGCTACAATCACAACCGTAGTTTCCCCACATCCTCCCCATTCTCCCTCCCCCGAGCACAAACTCATTCTAACACAAAACCACAGCTCAACGTGACAATGGTGATACCCTCCGTCCCTGCCTCATCAGGAATCCACTACATATGGCCCGGTCTGCAACCAGACTCCGACCTTATTGTATTCCAGGACGTGGGGGGCGATGAGGATGGAAGCGGGTCGTGGACTTTTGCTGAGTGGGAGGTTGACCTCAAGTATGTCTTCCCTTTGCCGTCCTTCCTTCACACACCAAGAAGATTGTTAATCACAATGTTGGTTTCTCAAACGTAGTGGGACTACACGCCACAAAACAGATGATATCGATGGTAGGTTCTAGTCAAATAAAACTTTTGGGAAATGGTATTAATGTGTGTCCTGCAGTATACCCCGGCGACTCGATCGCTATTTCCTTCGATTTGAATACCGCAACTGGAACTTGGCTCGATGAATGGGCTATTACACCGGGTAGTACTGGCCAGAGCGCTGGCGAGGTGGTTTCGATTACCGATGTGATTGTGCCCGAGTCTCGAGCTGGTGAGTTCCCCCTTTTCAACCTAACTTTGACTTCCAGACTAATGGCATTGTGAATATATAGCTGTGTATGGGAACTTGACACAAGTGAGTTGTGCTAGACGCTGTAGCAAATATATGACTACAAGGCTAACATCTTGAAAGGCACTCTTTGTTATTGAGGTATATGATGGAAAGTGGGATTTTGGTCGCCTAGTCTTTAATGACATTACTATTGTAGCGGAGACCACGGAAACTGATTGGTGCAACTCGTAAGTCTTCCTTCTTCAAATCAAGTATGGAATGAGACAGACTAACACGAGAATAGATCTTTCCAAGACAATACGTTCACGTACTCAATGTCAACGCCTGTTGCCAGCGTGGAGGGCGGAACATCTAGTAAATGTACCATCGAGAATTTGACATTTGTAAGCCCTTAGCTACTATAGCATTTTAGGGCATTCCCCAAAAAAGTACTGTCTATAAATAACCCCCGAGGCTCTTTATTGTGCTTCTCTATGCTAGTGATAAAAAGTGGTACTTACTCTCATTGACTTTTGATGTCCCACGCTACCTGGCACAGTATAGTTGCTTCTTTTTATGGAGACGGCCGTAAAACACCTTATGAGCCAATCAAGATTATATCCTCAATAAATATGGTGCTTGCATGATTCATACATGGTAAATGGAGATTGCTAGAATAATATATCATTAACCCAGGTCCCGCTTCTCAAGAAACTTAAGATATGGCTATACTTTCCAAGTGAATAATCATCTTTAATTATAAAATCTGTCTATTCACACGGGCTGGTGAACAGCGCGATCCAGTAACAATAAGCAATTTACGACTCAGCCAAAAAATATCCTGCAAAACTGTGAATATAAAAATTCAAGAACGACAATATTTAAACCAGCCCAACTTGACGAATAAACAACTTTAACAATTTTCACACCTACCCGCCTTGTTTACGCCAAACCTTCGAATCTGGCCACAATCTCTGCAGAAAATCTCTTCATCAAAATGTCAGCCAGCGAATTCAGCTCGACGCCTTCCCAGCTCCAGCATCAGAGCCCATCAGCATCACACTCCAGAAATGATCCCCAAACACCAAACTCAACATCTCGAAAAGGCATCCTCAAGTCCTCTCCTGCAAGTGTTTCCGAATGGGTGGACCTGAAGTCAAACATCGAAAGACAATTAGTCATGCTGGAATGCCTCACATTCCCTGGTCTGGCACTGCTTTCATACAGAAGTACGCCACGTATGGACAAACTCTACACACCAGAGACTATGGAAGCAGCTGAGATCGCAAAATCCGAGTCGGACATCATGTCTGCGCTCGACGTCTTTGCAGAACCGGGCGAACTAGGACCACAAATGCAGTCTCAAACCGAATCTACCAGACCTACACTAAAGCCACGCAAAAGCATCTCTTGGAACGAAGAAACTCTCGACAACGAGAAACCCCCCCGAGAGTATAAGCCTAAGACCCCGAGGCATTTCCAATCGCACAGCACTCCGGCCCTAGTCACTTTGCCGCTCAAGTGGGACAATCTATCACCAACCATGCAAGGTTTTATCCGGAAGATAGCACGTCCGGAAGCTGGGGATCCTTAGAACCCTTACTTCCCTCTCCGGGAGTGTCTTATCTGTACAACGACTGCGCCGCAACATTTTAAGTACTTCAAGGAGAGGTATCAGTCTCGGACTCCGAAGCACTTAGATGAGGATGATGATACTGAGGATGAGACATCTGAGCAGGAGCAGATTTGGACGGAGTAGTTGGGTTATTAATGTGAGGGTGGTTGGTGGTTGGTGAGATGATTGTGGATGGTCTGGCTGAGAAGAGGTGCACTAGAAAAGATGAAGTGCAAGTTACACTTTAGACGCTTGTGGATCTCATTGGGTCGGGTTTGGATGGTGTCCCTTGTGTTTCGCACGCCATGATTTGCAGGGTGTGTAACATGGAGAAGTTTAGAATGGAGCTTAGGCTCGCGAGGATAGTAATATATGCTATTATAGAGAGCAACTTCCCAGGATGTCTGCGGACACACAACAAGACTAATTTGGTACCACCAAGACTCCGCGATATCTCATCTTACCATCTCGGAGCTTCTGCATAGCTTCAGTGACACCAGCTTGCGTCATTGGGAACTTTTCGATCTGAGGCTTGACGCCGTGTTTCGCAGCAAAAGCAAGCATGACTTGGACGCTGGCATTTGGTGCCAAACCCGACCCAATAACACTGATACTGCCCCCAATCAAAGAGAGCGGCGTAAACGGCAGAACCTCCATGCTTATAGTCAAAGGGAACACCTTCGACCCGGCTGCTAAGACTGGTAGAAATCTATGGGAAGAGTCAGCTGGTGGAAGTCATACAAGTAAAGCGTATACTCACAGTGACAAGTCTGGGTTGACGTTGGTGGTGATCAAGAGAGCATCCACCTTGGCAATGCTGCCGAGGGTTGTTACACCGCTGGTAACGTGGAATTCAGATGCGCCGAAAGCTAGAGCTTCCTGCTTCTTGGATTCCGTACTCGAGAATACGACCACCTCCATGCCCATTTTGGACGCGAATTGGATGGCCAGATGCCCTAGCCCACCAATACCTATGACGCCGACACGATCACCCGCACGTAAGCCTTGATCGTAGAGGGGACTCCACACGGTAGCGCCTGCGCACATCAGCGGACCAGCATCCTCAGATGCAATTGCGTCTGGGATCTTGAAAAGCGTCGATACGTCCCAGGCGACGGCAGTCCCAAAACAACCTTGATCCAGATCTGCACTACCGAGGCATGTGCTGTTTTTACACTGATTCTGGCGACCTGTGATGAGTTGAGCAAGGGCTTTTCAGCAAGTAAGGGTTAATTATTACCTGTTGTACATTGTTTGCAATAGCCACAAAACTTGTGGAACCAGCCCATCCCTACTCGGTCGCCTACACGAAATTCGGAGATATCATGGACGGAGGACCCCACTTCGGTGATGATACCAATACCTTCGTGTCCGAGGCCTTGCTCGGCATGCCGGAAGTGCTCGTCGCTACCGCACACACCGCAATGTGATATCTTGACGATAACCTCAGTTGACTTTGGGTCACGATAGCCTTTGCCCTCAATGATTTCTCCGCTTTTCGATCCTTTGAAGACGTTGAATTCGATACCCATGGCTACGGATGCAGTAGAAGATAATCGAGAAGATGTCAAAATAGGATGAGCGATTCGAAGTAATGATGCTTATTTGTTGACTTAGAAATTGTTCAGCTGTTGCTTTTTATATATTTATCGGAAGGAATCCTCATCTTTATACTTCGAAGTAAGAATCATATCTCTTAACATTCCGCACTATCCGCAGATTACAAATAAATGGAAACTATTATTCAACCCGCGAATGTCCCCCCTTAATAAGCCTCAATAAGGTTAAACCATGTAAAATCTCCACAAAACATAGGAACCTAGATAACGAAAAAGCTAGAAGCCTTGACAGGTCCCATAAAACAGCCTTACTATTTGTGGTGAGAATACTCGTAAGGTTCTACAAATCCCCTAGTAAAGTAATATGATTCGCTAAGTCCCCTTATTTTACAGCGGTACGAAGGATCATTGTTTACTAACATGTTCATTGCTCTGATCTCTGCGCATGCCTTGTACTTAAAAGCCGAATATATCGTATATAGTTTGAAAGACATGAAGACGGTTCGACGGATGCTTTCGGCGAAGATCCAGGTCTCCCAAATTCGTGGTGCGTTTCGTAGCTCGGTGTCCACTCGCTGAAGCAACGTGAGCGCATATGATCTGACCAAGAACTCTTGTCGTTCCGCTAATACTCGCTGCTCGAGCCTGCCATAGAAGAGCCTGATGATTTGATATAATACGATCGCTTGCAGTCTCGCCAGGTTTTCTATCAAGGAACACGTCGATCCTGGGACGAGCAGCTCTGATGTTTCAGTATCTAGAGCTTGAAAGAGCAATGCTTGGTTGCGTTCACTTAGGGAGAAGAGCCCAGTGCATATACCGAAGGCGGCTCGTAACGGTCGAGGGCACGAATTTTGGTACATAGTCTTGTGAATGAATTCCGTCTCTGCTTGTTCAGCAAACGCTAGTGGATAGTTTCGAATCTGGTCAAAGATCCATGCCATACTCGCAACATAGCCTGCTACTGGCGGCAGTTCGCCCAGATGACCTAGGATTCTTGGTATACTCCGCTGTCGTATCTGGTTTGATTGTAGGGCCGAGCTGTGGTCGAATTGATAAGGCGAGTTGTACACATCATGTTTTCCTTTGACTTCGACAGGGTGTGAGGACCAGTCAGATGAGGCCGCACCACCCATCGCCGACGAAACGATAGTAGCATTATCTACGCTAATGATATCGTCTCTCATTGGCAAATGCGCTGGCCCTGGATATAGGTAATGGCATTCTTTTACGGTTCTTTGACATCTTTCGCAGGCTGGGTACGCTAGATCGCATTTCTGTCGGGCTCTAAAGCAGTGATCGCACGACTTTCGACGAAGTGACATTTTTTTTGGAAGTTATTAGTATTACGAATTTCGAAGAAAATGGAGCTTTGGTTTTGGGTAGGTAGGTAGATTTAGAGTATTCTATGCTGACATATTCTGCTGACAAACAGTCCGCGTAAGCTACAAATTACCTTATTAGTCTTAGTAAGCCAGTAATGGCAAGTTGCACTTCTTATATAATAGGTAAACCTGCCACACCGCCTTTAGTTAAAAGGGGCAAAATGAAAATGTTCACTTAAATTTGCGCAAACCGGCATATAGACTTCCGATCTCTGGTGTTCTGAACGTTCTAGCCGGAAAGTCCTAGCATAGAAGCAAGAAAGAACAAAAAAACATACAACAGCAGGTATTCGCTGGTGGTCACCCACCCAACTACTAATCTGCCGATCTGAGGCTTGTGTATGGCAGAGCGGACGGGATGCCCAATTCTCCTCAGTCTATGGTCGTATGTGACAAGTAGATGTTTAAATGAATACATAGCTTATAATACGATCCAGAAAGCCTACGTAGTCATGTGACTGGTGTCTGAGGCAACAACTAGGCGAAGAGGTGTCACCACTTCACGTCAACACTATACATTTAGACTACTATGCAACCATACCATAAACTAGACTCAACTCATACTGGCTACTACGAAGTGATCACGCGTGTGATACCAACAGTTTCTATCCTTCGCTTAGTGCATCCAATAGTACCCCTTCCGGGTGCTTGGTAAACTCCTACCACGGAAAATTATCCTTTTCCTTCCTTATTCCGGAGATTTCAGTATCCGCAAGTAATCTTTCCCGTGGAATTTAGTAGGATTGTCTGACATCCCATAAGATATGCTGAGATTGGTACTATTAAGGCTCGCGCCGAGTGGTGCAATATTTAGTATCCGCATTTGCGTGCATACGCCTGGCCACCAGCCATACGATATGCCTTTATTGTTCGTGTGAAACTGTGACAGAGGTGTCGCTGTAACCTGTCAAGTGGTGATTATTTTTGGAGAAATTTTCCCGCAAAAATTCGAAGCTGTGTACATATTTTCAGCGACGATAAATAAGAGTAGTACTCAAAGCACCGGGCTTTCTGGCAGTCTCTCAACTTCCTATATTGTACAAGAAATTTCTTGATGGCTCTGCAAATTCAAATTTCATGAGTTCTGAAAAATTTCCGCCATGATTTCTAAGGTTAGATCAAATAGCCATCTAGTATGGGAGAAAAACACGCTCGGAGAGTCGTACGGAATGATCTCTGATGCTTCCACTCATTTGATTCAACGGTGCTTGAAGATGCTATTAATGGAGCGCCAAGACGCCAAATAATATCTCCTAAAGCCATGCTACCCACACAAGAGCAGGCACGGAACTTTGGATAATGAAGTCACATTGAAGTCACATTCCGTGAATGCGATGTATGTGCTACCCCGCATTACTATCTTCTTGCAAGTAGTTTAGGGCCGGCTTGTGGGATAAGAACCAAGATCTTGGCCTAATCTTGGCTTCTAGAAGCTGGCAATTCTCACAGACCGAATCTTCCATCAGACGCCATGTTGCAGACTACAGTTCAAGTCTTAATAGCGCTGCTACTAGCTACCACATGTGTGGCCCATCCTGCTCCAATACCTACCATAGCGCCCGCTCCACACGAAGTTGAAGAGGCCTTCAAAGAGCGTGAAATTGAGAAGCGTGCTGCGACCTGTACCTTCTCGGGATCACTTGGCTACTCATCAGCCAGCGTGTCGAAGGCATCATGCTCAACCATTATTCTCGACGCCTTAACAGTGCCGGCGGGCAAGACGCTGGACCGTAAGCAGAGATTATCTTTTCTCTCCCTCCGCCCTTGTGCTGGGAAGCGAATTCCGATATGTTCCAAACAAGTTTCAACCGGCTCGGTTGTTCGTTTTTAGATATGATATGGCACTAATTTGCTATAGTGACGGATCTACCAGACAGCACCGTCGTAATTTTCGAAGGCGAGACATCATTTGCGTACAGCGAGTGGGAAGGCCCGCTCTTCGCTGTCAGCGGCACTGATATCACAGTTGCTGGCGAGGCCAGCGGCGGTTCAATCCTCAATGGCAACGGTGCTTCCTATTGGGACGGGGGTGGTGGCAGTAGCGGTGTTACCAAACCTAAATTCTTCCAGGCTCACGACTTGACCGACTCGCTCATCGAAACACTTACAATTCTCAACCCCCCAGTGCAAGTCTTTAGCATCAATGGTGCTAGCAACCTTGAGCTAGCTTACATTACTATTGACGCCTCGGCTGGAGATTCATTGGGCAAGAACACGGATGGTTTTGATATTGGCTCCTCGGATACTGTTACTATTGGCAAGTTATTTCCAACCAATCATAATTATATTTTTGTGCACCAATTGAAGCCAATACTAACTAAACCCTCCGTACCAGAAAACGCTACTGTCTACAACCAAGACGACTGTGTTGCAATAAACTCCGGTACCAACATCATCTTTAAGAACGGCTACTGCTCAGGTGGCCATGGTCTTTCTATCGGTTCGGTTGGTGGCCGCACCGACAACACTGTCGACGGTGTGTCCTTTCTTACATCGACAGTTACCAAGTCCGTAAATGGTAAGCTTTGAACCTTTCTCTTCTTCGATCTCTTCCACGTCTGACGCACACCACACAGGCATTCGCATCAAAGCCATCGAAGATGACACTGGGACCATCACTGACGTGGAATATGACGATATCACCCTATCTTCTATCTCTAAGTAAGCCTCTATCTACTATATTCTATCTCGCACAACCTTCTCGATGTTTTTTTCAGCTGACACTGCATCTACAGATATGGTATCCTCATTGAGCAAAACTATGACTCGGGAGATCTAGATGGAGGTACTGCCTCTAGTGGCGTCCCCATCACCGATCTGACCATCAAGAATATTGTCGGTACCGGAGCGGTCTCTAGCAGCGGCTACGATGTGGTCATCACGTGCGGTAGCTCTGGTTGCTCTGACTGGACCTGGTCAAGCGTCGCTGTTACCGGTGGGAAGAAGTATGGTTCCTGCACTAACGTGCCCAGTGTTGCAGCTTGCTCTTGACAATGCTTTTATTGGGTACTACTTCCTAGGCAGTGGTCCATTGCAGAGGAAATTTATTGTTAGCGAAAGAGTTCGCCATGGTTTTAGTAAAGCCCCTCAATCAGCGGCAAACGCTGGTTCCTGTCTTTTACTACGTCTTTTTGAGTAAACTCTAGGGTCTTCAAGCTATCTTGTCCATCTTGAATTTAAACCTTAACCTACAATTTGTTCCATTGTAATTAACACGATATACATGTGCTGAACGTGATTGAAGTGGTTGGACTGGCAAAAGCGAACTGACACGCCTTGTCCAGCCCTCCAAATAAAAAGTCACTATCCGCGCAAATTGCTCTCTGTTCTTCCATCGGACAGAACCCATCCACCTATGAAAGCCTCTAGTCGTTTCTCCGACCCACTCTCTATCCTCTCTCGCTTGTATTTTCTCCTTGGTTACATCCTACGGATTAGTTCAAGCTGGATATATACCCAGCATCATCAGCCTGTCCCCCACATCCTCTTTCTCTACACCAAGATATTTCGCAGGTCGAGATAATGGACAAAGTCATCCTCTATAAACACATCGACAAATGATCTCGTAGATCATGCATATACTCAAACGTCGTATCCATAGTCTCATTATCCTCTTCCTACCGTGCTTAACTTCCGGATTTAAGTTATTGAAGAACCTTCAAACCTTCGAGGCTTTTTCCTTGTCTCAAGTACGGGAGGCGAGACATTTCCTTAAAAGCTTGTAGTTTCTTTTTCCAACTAAGAGGACGAGACATCTCTTCTGTTTTCTGCTATTTCTTGTTCTTCACGATAAAGTAGATTAATGCAACTCTAAATGTACTCTTTGGCTGTCTTAGGAATTGACAAGGTTGGAACATCTCCGACTCTGGGTCAAGTAAGTTGGCACTTGGTTCCATTAACATTGATATTTTCTTGTTCTGCTGCTCCAGCAACATCAATTATATTTGATAATCATGTAAAGCGTAGTTGCTAGAGGGGAGTGGAACAAGCACTGGTTCAGGGAAAGAGATATTTCTGGTAGAAGACTTTGAAGCAATCCTAGTTTACTAAAACAACAAGGTCCCTCCGAGCAGTCTCGTACACACTACCGACACTTCTATCGTCTGAGATCGTGATCCTTTTACTTGGCTTAGTGGTGGAGTCGGTAGATGGTGACGGAAGATTGCCTTTCGCAGCAATTCCATTCGAAGCGCTGAGAGGGGATCGCCTCGAGGTTTTGTTGGAACCGTTGTCTTGGTTTGGATCTTGACTATTGTCTGGATCGTCGACTTGGCTAGCGCCTTCCTCTTCCTCGTTGCTGTATTCACCTTGGCTAGGTCCTTCCTGCTCGTCGCTGTATTGAGGGCCTTCTTGGCTTCTTGTCGGCTGCTCCTGCGTTTGTTCGTGTTCAGAATATATCTCGCGGCGAAAGTCGTCTTCTTTTGCTGCGCATCCGTTGATACGAATGCTTGGAGTACTAGAATATGGCTTGCTGAAACAATTAGGCGGTTCGGGATCGGGTTCTCCTAGTGATTCGTCACATTGAAAGGCCTGATGCGATCGATACCACGTCTCCTTTTCCAGTTCAGATCCTTCACCCAAGATTCCAGTGTTCAAGATGGAAGGAATTCGTCCATCCCCGGATGATGGTAGTGACAATCGTTTTGGCTTATTGAAAGGTTCCGAATAATGTGGATCTGTCTGGACCCTCTGCAGCATCTTAGAAAGTTTTCTATCTAGCTCATCAGAACTTATTCGATCTTTAGGTTCTGTCGTTAACAAACGTCCCAGAACGAGGCCTAGAAAATCGAGAAGAAATTTCGAGCACTGCGGCTGTCCGCGGAGATGCTCAATCCATTCTCGGACACCCTTGCGAATTATTGCTCTGGGCGGTGGTTTTTGTATGATGGTGTAGAAAGAGTCGTCATAGATTCCATCTGCGGTTTCCTCTGTTCGCAAATCACCGAAAGCATCTAAACCTTGTGCACCGTCCAAAAGCCAGGTGATGAATTCGAGAAACACACAGCCAAGGCTCCAGATATCAAACGCGCGGGAAACTAAACCTCCGAGCTCCACCTCTGGAGGTACATATGTTCTGGTTCCTCCGATGGTTTGGGGACCCACGTTAGACCTTGACTCGATCCTGTGGAATCTGGAGAGCCCCAAATCGGAAAGCACAAGGACGCCGCCAGAGATCCCTTCCTTATCAAACCACAATATGTTTTCCGGCTTTATATCCCCATGACGACCAAATCTTCTCTCACGAATATTCAAATCGATTGAAGGCAGGGAGGAACTCGAGATATTATTCCATTCAGAAGTTCTCGGTCCAGAAATATGGATTTGACTCAAGCCTGACGCTATACCGCGCATCTGGCTCAATGCCCATGACGCAGTCATCTTTGGATTATCGACCAGTGGAAATGAGTTCCAAAACTCCCGGAGATTAGACTTCGCATACGGAAAAATTAGATGATACCGTTCTCGAAGCTTATAAGTCGCGAGAAGTTGTACAAGGTGGGTATGTTGTCTATCAGAGAATGCATACAACATCTCTACCTCCCTTTCGAACTGTATGGGATTATTAGAACTAAGTCTTTTAACGGCAAAGCTCGGCTGTTCGCCATTGATCGGCTGCAAAAGTCGTTGATGTGCAGGGTGTATCCGAACTCTCCAAACCTCACTATACCCTCCTTGCCGAGCGTTGTCCTCCTCGCTTTCGACGAACGGCATAATGACGTGCTCATCCATTTCATAGTGTTTATGAAGCTTATCAAACATGGGTGCCGAGAAGGACCATTGTATGTAATAGAACTCGATGATGTCGTGTCGTGGCCAACCTGCGAACACTTTCGATAGTGTTCCCCGGATTTCTCCTTTTAAGAAGTCTAGTGCTGGATTGAAAGGCAGATTCGAGTCTGTTATTTGCTCGTCTGCAAAATGTTGAATCAAATTTTCCTTTCCTAAATATACCAGGATGGCAAAAATCCTGCGTGACGTGCGAGCAATGCAGGAAGGAACCGATGGATTCTTGATGACATACGAGGGTAAGGCCTGAAGCAACTCCCTTTCAATGGCCTCTTCTGTTATCAGAGCATCTAGGCAACTTTCAGGAAAGAAGAACCTATGTCCTGGTTGAGGAATCAGAGCATTAAGTATTTCTTGCTCGAGAGGAACCGCGGCTCTAGGTCGGACTCAGTCAATGGAACGGCATGTTCAGAAATGTATACTTACAATGTAGCGCTCGACGCAACTGATGAGCTCTGACGGTCTTTAGTAGTCCAAAGCGACAGAGGATCCATCTTCTGTGTTCGTATCAGAGGGGAACTTTTCTATACGCTGTTAGCTTGTTTTGATAATCCCATAACGTATCTATCTTACATACGTTGTTCTTCATGAAAGCAATATTAGAAACTTCCGGGGAACTTTCTTTGGGCAACGGATCATCTGTCACGTTTTGCAAATTCGTACTTGTCTGAGAATCCTGGCGACGATGAGCAATTTTTGTTATCACGCCTTCAATTGTACTTGGTCCCTTTTTGGTTCGTCTAAAGTAATCCCTCATAACGGTTTTGAACGACAAGCGTTTAAAAGCTAAATCCTTTGAACCAGCAAAGAAATGTGTGTCATTTGTATTGGGCAGGTCTAAGTGTTGCCCGGTAGATTCGCGTGCTGGTTCGACCATTTCATTGACAGTATGCTCCGATTGGGCAATTGATTTTGGCCAACCCGCGTTCGAGTTCAATCCAGAGACATGCTCGAATCGAAGACGAGAGGCTGTGTTGTGCGCGCTGAATTGCCCTGAACCCTTTGAATTGTATCCATAATCGCTTGGGCCATCTTGAAAAGATGGCGTCGTTATTGTGGCCTGAAGAATTGTGGTAATTGCCTTGATTGTCATTGCCATCGCCATAGTTGACATCTTTATCACCATCGTCATGATCGCTGTCTTCGTCGTTGCTGCTGCCATCCTGGTAATCGTTATCATCATCATCTTCTTCGTCTTCGAAGGCCTGAGGAAGTGGTTGATTCCATTGTGTCATGTCTTGCCCGCCTTCAAAATGACTAGCAATGTGATCAAAGCGATTTTGATGGGTAGTAAAGTTCTTCGTTTCTCTACAAAAGCCGCAATACGAAGGAATATCGCAGTTGACTCGAAAATGGGCCTGTTCAACATAGTCCGCAGTGTCAATGCTCGGATGTGACTTGTCGCAGTGCTGCCGGAATTTATCTTTCCGAAAGTAGACTCTCTCCTTTACCGGCTTGTTATGACATAACGTGGTTCCTCCATGGACAGCCAATAAATGGCTCGTGGGTGGATTTACCAGGCTACAATATGAGCACGTAAGAACCATATTGATGGTTGTCACTGCATCCAAACCACACAACCAAGCTTCCTGGGGATAATTGTTGGTAGTTTCGTGCCTTTGCCATTCCCCTTTTCGCTTGAACGGTTTACCGCAGCTGAAGGTACACTGGTAGCTATTGACTGGATGACGGCTGAGTAGATGGACGTGTTTTGTAGGTGTGCACAGTACCCGACTCTTCGCCCAGAGAATAGCACCATCAAGATTCGAGGATCGAAAGCTGTTCTCGGTTGTGTTTACAGCGGAACGATCGTTCGAAGACAGAGCTGTCGTAACAGTTGGATTTTCGGGTACTTGTGACTTTATCATTTGGACTAGCAGCCTGTTAACTTCCACGACTGGCAAGCGAGTTAAATGAGCCAGTGCGTTGATATCACTAGGACCAGGAAGCTCTTCGCCTGCGTAGCCTTTTAGCCAGCCTCTGATTAAGTCGATGGCTCTGGTCTTATCTTCACCAGATATCTCCCCTGCAGTATGTTTCAGGTCCGGTCCCGCTTCTTGATATTCGACACCGCGTATCATAGGCCAGTCAATTTCCTCTTGAGGTCGTGGTCGTTTTCTTGGAGATAAATGAAACTGGTGAGGGGTGTACTCGGGAGCGGGCTCTATTGGAAAGTTTTTATTGATTCCTCGAGTCTGATCGATGCCAGGATACACTAGGTTTCGTGGGTTCTGCTGATGCGAATTGACGGCGGGAAATTCGAATTGCAAATTAGGTTCAAGTATTCCGGAGCGGGCCTGATGCTTTATTAGTAACTGTCTCGAGCCTGAAATCGACGGACAAGTATCTCACGCTTGTTTCTCGTTGATCATAATCATTTGTATCAAAATCCGTGGAATTGTTGTAGAAGGCGGTGGGGCCGCTGTGGTACGATCGGGTGGCCTCATAAGCAGCACATCTTACAACGCATCCTCATTTCCACCCCAATATGCAATTTTCCTGACAATTGGCAAGTCGACGAACTCGAAAGCTACTGGTCATTGTGCTGATCTTGAGTCTCCGAAATGAAGCTTTCGTATTATATAGTACCACGTATTTAGAGACCGCCGCGCAGAATCAACGATGTGGCTAGTTAATATTGAAACCCATCGACTCGAGGAATTTTCTGGATCGGAGATCCCAAAGTACGCCATCCTCTCGCATACATGGGAAGAGGAAGAAGTCACATTTCAAGAAATCCATCGAAGATCTGCGTTGTCCAAAAAAGGCTATGCTAAGATCAAAGAGACCTGCATTCGAGCACACAGGCATGGTCTTCACTACGCATGGATTGATACCTGCTGCATCGATAAACGATCTAGCACCGAGTTAGCGGAGAGCATCAATTCCATGTTCCAGTGGTATCAGAACGCCGCGATTTGCTATGTCTACCTTTCTGACCTGCCTTCTGGAGCCCACGCAGAAGACGGGTTGGCAGAATGTAGATGGTTTACTCGAGGATGGACATTACAGGAGCTGATAGCTCCAAGGGAAGTTTGTTTTTACGATCAGCAATGGGGCTTTTTTGGAACTAAGAGGGATTTATCGGAGAAGATCTCATCGATTACCAGTATTGACATGAAAGTTTTGATGGGAGTATGCCAGGCCAACTATTATTCGGTAGCTACTAGAATGTCTTGGGCGGCGCATCGCGAAACGAAACGAATTGAAGATCTGGCATATTCTCTGCTGGGCATCTTCGATGTCCACATGCCGTTAATGTACGGTGAAGGATCAGGGTCGTTTCGTCGATTGCAAGAGGCGATTATCCAGCGCAATAATGATATGACTATCTTTGCATGGGATTATGAGCAGGGACAAGAGCAAACGGGTTCGATGGGCCTTTTCTCATCATCACCTTCTGGGTTTGCTAGGAGTAAAGCCTGCCAGTACAATCGAGGGGAAATCGATCCAGTGTTTTCTATGACGAATAAGGGTCTAAGGTTTGACCGTTTTGCTTGTTTGTACAAGCGTATCCAGGACGATGACGGCGGAATTGAGTCTACAAGGTATTCAATTCCGCTTGGTGTTGACCGAGGAGAAACGGATGCGATTCATTACTTTATGCAACTTCGAAAAGTGGGCCCAGGAGTTTTCCTGCGAGATGGGAAGTTGTTGATAGATAATGGAAGTTTAGGTCATGGCCCTGCTAATCGCTTGCCTACGCTTGACTTCTACATCCATGCCGATACTCAGGAAGCTCATGTTCTAGAGTCCTCAAGGCGACATAAGGCAGTCCACTTTCCTAGACATGACCAGATTCGAGTTCAAGGAGTGCTTCCCGAAAGCCACTGGGATGATAGCAAGAACCGATTCTTCACGGAGTTTGCGGACGATAACCTTATTCTTGCCACCTCTTGTCTGGTAAAGCTTGAAACCTCTCAAGCTCATGTTGTTGTGTGCATCAATTCCTCGACAGAAGTGCCCTCTTGTAGAATCTTCAACGCAGAAAAATACCAGAAACAACTATCGTGGCTTTTGCGCCATCAACGATTCGGCCATAATGTAACGTGGCACGATGTCGAGGCCGAGTTGCCCCGGCTTCTCGACTTCACAGACAAGATGACAGTCTTTGCTAAAGGATACAAGTCTACGATATCTGTGCTGCTAGAGAAAAAAGTCGTTAGATCCATATCAGAAGATGAAATCTTCTCTCTCAAATTTGATATCAGAGAATCGCAACAGCAGTTCCAAACAGCACGTCCGAACTCCATGCAAAAGAGACAACTCAAGGGACCGGGATTGCCACTGGAACGTGTGACAATGACAAGTTTGTGCCGCCAACAGAGAGAAATGAGGCGAGTTCTAGGGATGATTACGAAGAAGCGGACGAAGAAAAATACAAAGATGGTTATGAAAAAGGCGGCGAAAGTCATTACGAAGCAAAAAGCACTGACATCGAGAGGCCGGAAATCGAAGATCCGAATGAAGCTGCGGCTTAACTTAGTTGAATAACTTCGTCGATTTGTGAATTCTTGAAACAAAATAGTCCACGTGTTAGGATGTCCAGCAACGGATTTCTCAAATCAGTCAATCAAAGTGCTGGCCTAATTGGTTTCAAATACTTAAGGATAAGTGTTTCTAGGATGTATATAAGTAGCAAGTGCTCTTTCGAAATGTATCACCATACTTGCAAGCAGCTCTCAGTGAAGGGAATTTGAAGATGAGTGTTTGTGATTAGATACTAAGCAACAATGGAGACTCGATAGGAGCGGATGTTGAAAACACACTTGATAAATGGAGAGTGGTGAACTCGGGATCAAGATTCCTCTGCTTCGTAATTTATCGATTCTTATTGCGCGGCACATGGATAAAGCTACAGTAGGTATGCATTGACACCTATAGTGTTTTATAACCGTCTCAATGAAAAGAAGAAACCTCGCGGTGGGGGGAAAAGTAGCACCAATTTATAATGTGCCAGGTATCATGAGACATTATTGAAAGTCGATGAGAGTAAGTGCCGCTTTTTATATCTGGCATAGGGAAGCATGATAAAGAGCCTAAGGGTTTATACTTGATAGTTATTTTGTGAGAAAAGGAGTTAACGGAGAATAGGTGCGATTGTTTTGGCATATTCATTCTTTGAGCTGGAAAGCTGAGTAGTGAGGGGTTTTTTGAAGATTCTGGAAAGGGGGGTTATTGTAGTTGTAAAGAATTTGGTGATGGAAGCAGAAACGCGTTCAGCGATAGAGTGATAGAGGTGACTAACATTCTATTAATCATTAAGACATTACATTCCCAGTAAACATGAGAGTATACCAAACGATTTGCAAGGCACTCGTCAAACCAACTCTTAATAAAACCTCTACCAACGCCTCAACGCTTGATCACTGTCGCTGAGCACCTTGCAACTCTGTTGGATGGGCGGCGGGCGAACCCTGCATTTCAAACGCTCGAGGCGGTTGTGGTGAATAAGGTGTAACATTAACATTAGGATCCTCCTTCGCAACAGTCTCATATTGATACGGTTGCTTTTGCCCCTGTTGCTGCGCGTACCCGCCATCCCAAGGCGGAGGCGGCGAATTTGGTGGGATGTAGGACATGGGACGCATGCCTTGCTGTGGAGGCTGTTGGTTTGGATACGGTTGCTGGGGTTGCTGGTGTTGCTGGACTGGCGGTGGGCCGTTGTTGGAGTTGCGCTTGCGGCGGAGGAAGAGGAGGACGCCGAGGACAATTAGACCAATTGCTATGGCGCATCCGCCGACTGCTCCGCCAATGATGGCTTTGTTGGATGAAGTGCCGCCTCCACCGCCCGATGAGGAGGAAATGGCCGCTAGTAAGGTCAGTTGTTTGTTTTATTCAAAGCTAGAGGGAAGAGGAATTTACGGTCTGGAGTTGGAGTTGTGGGTACTGGCGTAGTAGTGACAGTTGTCAACGGACTCGTAGGGACTGACGATGAGGTAATTATTGTAGTTGTGCTAATGAATGAAGATGCTGCTGATGAGGTTGGTACGACCGCAGCAACTCCTGGTGTCCAGCTCAGGAGACCTGAAGAGTCGGTGCTTTGTACAACCCAGAAATTGCCGGTTCCGCATCCAATATATGTGTAGGGCAATTGGTCCTGCGTTGACCAGTAGAGGCTTCCTGTCACGCATGCAGTTGAGCTTTCAAGAATCGATTAGCTTTCCCGCGCCTCAATATGTGTTGAGTGGTACGTACCAGCGAAGTTGATCAATACTAGGAGTTGCATATAAAGCCGTAGAAATACCATTGCAAGCGGTCGCAAATGAGCACAAGCCGGTAGTGGGACAGCAATTGAAATGACCATCGCTGACTGAGTAGGTCAAGCCGACTAGACATGTTCTTTCGTAGACTTTATTGAAGTTAGATATAGCTAGCCCTTTACGCGACAATGGAAAACTTACCACTACCTCCAACAACTTCCCATCCCATAAAACGAGGGTCATTATATGAAACCAGTTGCCGAATATCAACTTTGGGTCCGGGTGTGATAACTGCATCTTGAGGATGAGTACCGGCGGGCGATGCAACCGCACTGGTCCAGTACACAGCAACGACAGCCAAAAAGCGTATAAACATGTTTGAGGTTGTAACCATTGCGCACATATGGGGGCACAGAATGAGGATGTACGAGCAGCGAAGGTGTGGCCGGTGGGGGATGAACCTGGGATCATATTATCAGAACCCCAAGGCGCAGTGCACTAGCTGTGTTGGTACCTTGAGGCTTTTTCTTAAGCCATATAAACAAAGATTGGACCAAGTACGATATAAACAAAGATTGGCCCAAGTACGGCCAGCGAGTCTAAAAAGCACATTGGGCTAAGACATGCAGGTGCCAGCTATGGGCTGATTCGACAATGGTTTTCACTACAGCCAATGGGTATGTCCCGCCCCAGACAGTAATGAATTTTAACCCCAGAAAAAGTGATACTAAGAAGACTATAAGAAGAATTCATTATAACAACCTTTCGGATCACTTTTCGCATAATTTTGACCAAGAAAAACGAAGTAGAAATAGTATTTTGCACCGCCAACTTGACGAGGCTGGAAGAGCAAAACAATACCAAGACGGCACGTTGAACCCTGCTCAAGGTCAGCCGCACGACAACATTCATACACGCAATATCTAAAGGTCTTGGCGACATGGTTCAGGAAAACGCCAAGCAATAAAGTTTGCAGACGCAGACTAAAAGCTGAGCTGAAGCCCAAATGAAGTTGGGAAATTAGACGATAACAGTATGGGATGTTGTCGAGAACCGAGGTAGAGAGCGGGGTATGTGTATATCACGTATAGAAAACTATAAAGAGATTAGGTATCGGAAGTTTATATATTCCATATCCAGCAATACCGAAAAGCGTTAATAATACCCATGGAATTCTTTTTCTGCGGTACGCTGTTGCTGCCGTAAGATGTCTTGCTAGCAACACGTGATTTCTACTGGGGGTGAGATAGCCTTGAGGCGAGCCTTACCTTTCTGCAGTGCCCAAGTGGGAAGATAAATGCAAGCCATCGGCCCCGCCATTCCATCACACCATTCGGTAGCTTAGCAGTAGATTTAGGCAATCTGAGGACTGGATCGGTAAACAAAACTCATATGGATCCATTTTACAACAAGGCCCGGTCGAACTTCTTCGAACTGCAAATACTTAGGCTCGCATACAATGCGAGACAATCAGTTCCGTACCGTAGTTGTCGTAGCAATGAATGTAGTCACTGGTTTTGTAGCCTATTCGAATAGAATTAGCATATCTCCGTCCAAGCTCGAACACCAAATACATACCAGTCAAAGCAAGTGATATGAAAACCACCGTGCTCACCATCATCGGTGCAGAGGCCACATAATCATTGCCTTAAGACAGCACAAATCTGATACTGCAAAACCACAGACAAGGAAGAAAAAGAAGAAGGCAGGAGCGGCAGTCGTAGCATGGAGTACTTCGCCTTTTGACGCTGTGTGGCAACCTCTCATCAATTTGAGCTTTCAAAACTTTTCCATAGCAGCAAACACATACGAGGGGCAAGGAGGACAATCACGATCATAAAACATAAACAGGCTTGTAGACTATGCGGCCGTATCATTCGGCGAAGCATTCCGGTAGAGGTTGCATTGTGGAGATGGATTCGTAACATCCGATACTTGAGAACAAACAAAGAACCGACTTAAAACGAAGAGAATATCTGCATTTCGAAGTGCACCTTTGTATCAATACACGATTCAATGGGACCATGGGACCTTGAACCTTTACTGACCAAGACAGCACTTGCATTGCGAGATAAATAAAGACTTGAGAGTGAGATAGAACGCTCTGGCAAAAGTTTGACTAAACGGAAAGAATGTAACAAGAGAGTCTTTGGGCAATATATATATGAGCATTTGCCCACCAGGATGCTGTCGGGCATATTTATTTAGTTGTGTTGTGTGGAAGGAAGTGGCGTTGACCTGATTCGTGGCGGGGCTTTTCGGTCACGGTGGGTCCTGACTCGAAAACGCGAGATTTAACTACAACGCGTCTCCCAATTTCACAAAACATGGACGGACAACACAACGCGCCTGATTACGATGGAGAGTTGGAAGAATGGCAGGGAAGAATTGTTGGACGAGTTGACGAAGATCTGCAACCGTATTGGGGACAATGTCTCTGCTGGTGAATATGGACTTATATCATTGAACCGAGGGGGCTTTGCTAACGGGACCAGAACTCGATGACGAGAACTTTGCAACGGTGGCACGCGATGAGTTACGATTCTTGCGCGACAAAGCCGCACGGGCAGATGACCTTGCAGAGGAAAATACACGGCTTGTGGACGAATTAAAGGCCTACGATGAGACAGCTCTACGGGTGAAGGACTTGGAGAAGGAGAACAGACGTTTGACAGGAGCTCTTGAGAAGGCTATACAACAGCACAAACTGCAGAATGTTGGGCAGCCAGGAGGGCTGCAAACTCCAGGGTCTAGTAAGACTCCGTCATCTGTAAGGAAAACCGAGGATGGCGAATCCAAGACTGTCTCGAGGGAGCAATATAAGTCTGTGCAGGAGAAGTTTGTTGCTAAGTCGGAGAAGTTACATAAACTGACGATAGAATACAACAAACTGGCACCGAACTACCATGAACTCAGCTCTACGAACCAACATCTACAGGAGGAGGTTGATAAATACAAAGAAAAGAACAATGCTTGGAACAAAGAATGGGCCTTACATACCAAAAACTACATCAATAAACTTGCCCAAAAGGATCAGATGATTCAACGTCAACAAGAGGGTATACAAGCATTGAGGGCAAGACTGGACGGGCGTGAAGGCGCACCCAAGGTTCATGCATCGGATCCAGGAGGTTTTTACTCAACTGCACCAGCGAGCATGGTTCAGGTGCCTGGAAGCCCAGCGAAAGTATTTGACGATGATACTAAGCGGCGGGCTATGACTTGCAATCGACAGAGCTCCGTCAGTGACCTTGCTGGCTCAGGACATCTCGAAGACGGAGCTAGAGAAGACTCCCCTAAACTTCCAAACCTTCTCAACGAGGGACGTTTTACTGTCGAAGACACCCAATTCATCCCATTAGAAGCCGACCACTCCAGCTCTACTCAGGACGAACCGACCTCTCCGAATAGAGCTCGCGTCGAAGTTATATTACCTAACGTGCAGCCTGTGGTTGAACAGCCACTCTCAGACGATATTCCGGTCATTATATCAACTCGCAGAGTCAACAAGCGGAAAACTGGTCACAATGACATCGAACGTAGCGCAGCTCCTAAAATGAAAACTGAGAAGCTTGATAGCAGTCCGCTTATTGGTCTCCGTGCGCTTAAATACACTCTGAACGAGAGTATCGATCTTGACGACATTGGGCAGAAGGTAGATACCCCTAAAAAGCGGCGTCAGATGCTTGAATTATCTTGGCAGGCTTCTGGACTTTCGAACAGCTCGAACTCTCAACAAAGTCTGGAGAGTCCAAGCCACAGTCGGAATAACATAGCGAATTCAGCGCATGAGGTATCGCAAATTACACCAGCACGGCGAAATGGAGTTAACGGGACAGGATCTGCCCTGCAACCATTAAGCACAAATACCCGAGTTCTACCACGAACATCTGATGACAGACCTTCTAAAAAACGGCGCCTTGTTAGTGACAAAGCACTGGACGACTTAGCGGAAGCTGGCCAAGAAGTTATGGCTCAAGATCGGACACCGAAGAGACTAGGAAAAGCTGACTCTGAGCGCCTTGGTGGGCTTCTCCAGAAGCCATCTCCCCCGAAACGTGTTCTCAGCCCCGTTCACCAATCTCGGACTGATACTCCGAAATTACTCAAGGAACACACACGGTCCAAAGCCTCAGCTACATCTGGCCTGGCTCACGAGTTTTGCAATCCCAACGGCTACGACTCCGACGGTGGAGCATCTGTTAGATCGAGACGGTCTAGAGATTCCATGGAGCGTTCACGACCTTCTAAGGGAACGCCTCGAGTATCAGCCGAACCTTCGAGGCCCTCATCGAAAGGGATTTCAAGAGACTCTCTGGATCCAACGAGACCAAGACATCTAGGCCACCAACTCGAATTCGACAGCGGCCATCCCAAAACACCGGTTGGCCGATCGAGGCCTACGTCACTGGAGTCAAAAGACTCTGTTGGGCGTTCAAAAACAAGACCATACAAAAGCATATCCCACAAACTTAAAGAATCTACTAAATCATCAACAAAGAGCATGACACGCTCTTGTGCTGATGACGAGAAAATACAGTGGGATGATACTCTAGTCAACGAGCCACTACGAACTCGACCGGTACAGACGTTGAACCTCGAGGATTTCAAGGTCAACCCAAATTACAACCAAGGTTATAGCTATGCTTTCAACGAGGTTGTGCGAGGGAATAATGCGCGTAGATGTTTACAAGGCTGCACTAGACCTGAATGCTGCGGCAATCAGCTCCGGGCAATGGCAGAGCTATCTGTGGATAATGGCAGACCCCGTACCCTGTCACAAGAAGAACGTGACGAAGAGTTGATTGCAGATTTCATGGGTGATAATGCACACAAGATTGGGAATATGAGCACAGCCGAGAAAAAAGAGATGCTTCTTCAGGCTAAGACTTGGGATCTGGCGAACAAGAATGGTAGGCATCGGCATGCGTATGAGAGGATGAGGAGCCCGCCTGGATTCTGGGAGACGGATTTCCCGACGACGCAGGAAGAAATGGCCAACCGAGAGAGATCGAAAGAACTGATGCGAGAGGAGGTGCAACAGAGATACCAACAAGCGATGAGGCCTGGGGGTGCGTATATTTTCAAAGATGAGTGAGAGCGTTGATGGTGTGGCTGAGATGGTACACATTATTACGGAGTAAGGATAGCATTGCTGGAGTATTGAAAGAAATGGGAATCGATACTCTGTATTTGTATTTTGCTGCAGGAATGGAGCTAGACTCATATACCATTTAGAAAGAAATATCGCATTGCTAGAGAGCTAAAGGCGTGAGTAGATGTTTTTAATATTTCAGAAACCTCCCCTCCTCTAGTGTGACGTCTAACCCCTTTTTCTTCTGTGGCGCATGAGGTGTGGCTGTGATGACAAACCCTACTCGTACCCCAACTGACTTATACGGGCGGGAACAACGGAGCATTGGTGAAGACAATCAATCGCGACAACGACGACATTCAAACCGCTTCACAACCACAGAATACCACCACATCGAGACTACACTCCGGATAGAGCCGGCGCATGATCTCACAATCATATCAGGATGGCCGATACACAACCGCCCATGTCTCATGAGGACTCGATCGATTCCCAAGACCCGAATACGCATCCAGACACGAAGAAGAAGAGCAGAAGGCCAGCAAGTGAGGATTACTTACCCGCAGTCTTGCGCGATGAATATGGGGGCTGACCGATGATTCTATGATTCCTGTAGATACTGCGTTTAGGCAACAGCGATTGAAGGCATGGCAGTAGGTGGAAATAATGGCAACTCGCGCAGATTCGAGCTGACAGCAACCGCAGACCCATTCTTACTCCTAAGACCGTCCTCCCATTATTCTTCGCCATCGGTATTATATTTGCGCCTATTGGAGGAGGATTGTTATATGCGAGTGCGGTGGTTAGTACTCACGAGCTGCGAAAGACCTTTGAAATAGTGCTGACGTTTTGGCGGATAGGTTCAAGAAATCATAATAGATTATTCAAGCTGCTACAGCGACGCACCCACTTGGCCAACATGGGATGCCCTGCCTACAGACGGCGACAAATATGTGTCACATTTCACCTCGAACTCTAGCAATGGGGATTACAAACCTACTAGTCCCATGTGGTCGCAGAATCAGACCGGATTGCAGGATGCCTTGGGGAACAATATCACCTCCTGCTACTTGAAATTCGGCATTCCAAATGAAATGAAGCCCCCGGTGCTCTTTTACTACAAACTTGCCAAATTCTACCAGAATCACAGACGCTACGCTAAGTCCTTCAACACCGACCAACTCTCCGGGAAGGCCGTGTCAGAAAAGACCATCCACAGTAGTGATTGCACACCCCTCACGACCACAAAAGTTAACAACGTATCCCTTCCATACTATCCCTGCGGTATAGCCGCAAACTCCCAATTCAACGACACATTCTACAATCTCACACTCCAGAACGTGCCGCGCTCGAGCGATACCGAGCGTCCTTATAACATGACCAAGAAGGGAATCTCATGGAGCAGTGATAAGAAACTGTACGGCGACTCCAAATACAACTGGGATGAAGTCGCTGTGCCACCGAACTGGGTCACTAAATACGGAACATCTTATAATGATACGAACCACCCGGATCTAGTCAACGACGAGGAATTCCAGGTTTGGATGCGTCTGGCTGGTCTTCCGACATTCAGCAAGCTGGCGCAGAGGAACGATCATGAGGTTATGGAGCATGGAGATTATATCGTCAGGATTGACCACAGTAAGAAACCCATCTGAGCACAGAAATGATTCCACCTTTCCCTCTCTCTCGCACCCTACTCATCTATTCTAACCCGAAAACAGACTTCGACGTCACTGAATACGGCGGCACGAAATCCATCATCATCTCCACCAGCACCGTAATGGGCGGCAAGAACCCCTTCCTCGGCATCGCCTACGTAGTCGTCGGCGGCATCTGCATCGTGCTCGGCGCCCTCTTCACAGTCACGCACCTGATCCGTCCCCGGAAGCTAGGCGACCATACGTATCTGAGTTGGAACAATGACGGTACGGGTGGTGGCGCAGCGACGACTGGAAGGAATGGCGTGTTGGCTGGTGAGGGTAGAGCTTGATTGATCAAGGCTGTCAAAAGAAAAAAAAAAAAAGAAGAAAGAAAGAATTGAGTGGATTGTACAGTAAAAGAAAGTTGAAGCTTAAGTTTCCCTTTTTTTCCCCATCTATTAGGCAAAGCGGTTTCGGCGCACACTTAATTGATTGTCCTCGTTTTGGTCAGTGAGAGGTTCGGGGGACTGGACTGGTATTCTGGGAATCGGGTTTGCTTGTTTTCTTGCGCTATGTTTGAATGAACTACTGTCAATAGAATTTGAATGATTTTAAAGTTTGCTACTTCCAGCTTCCAACTTCCGGAGTATCGAGTGAAATATATACGTATGTATTCATGAATTTATTATCAGTAGCGACGATAGCTACCTACCTAAATAAACTAAGTGCTGCGTGCGTCTGCTTCATCCCCATAAGATCAAATGCCACTGTCACTGCATAAAAGGCTTCATCGCATCCATTTTCGCTGACCCCCAATTCAAAACGCCTGCGTAACAATCTCCCATCTCCCATCTCCAGCGAACAGATAGTACAAGAAATAGAGGAAGGAAAGATACTAATGCTTCCGCTTCTTCTTTGGCGCTTCCTCTTCATCCGAGTGCCCTGCGTCCCGATCCTTCCGCTTCGCCTTCTTTTCAAGCTCGTCCCAGTCCTCACCCTCACTCTCTCCGTCATCACTAACATCGCTGGCGTCCGCGCTGGCATCGCTGGCAAAGTCGCTCTCCTCGTCTGAACTCTGCTCGGACTCTGCAAGTTCGTCGTCACTCATCTCAAACGCCGACTCTTCAGATTCTTCATCGTCGTCATCCTCATCCGTGTCATTGGACAAGAAAGACCAGCCTCCGTCAAGGAAGAATTGATGCGGGTCTGCGGTAACGGTCTTCATGATGGTAGGCCAGTTCAAGTTAAGTGGTCCCTCGGAGAAAGTGATGTTGACGGAGTCGAGCCATTCCTTGACGTTCTCAAGGGATTCGACAGGGATGGTGTTGATGTGGTAGGGAGCGCGGTGGTAATCCTTAAATACAAAGACCATGTCAAAGTTCTTAAGACCAAATTGCACACGTTCCAAATGAGCGATTTCAATGTCCTCAAGCGTGATGACCATAAAAGGTGGTTCCGTGAGTTGGACCAAGCAGTCGGTGGAGGGTTGGCAAAAGACGTTAGATCGGAAAGGTACACCACTGAAGCCGAGCTCACGGAATGGAACATCAACATCTACGTTCTCGTTCTTTCCCGCCTCGGCAATCTTCTCGGCGAATGCCTTGAATTGGCGATCGAGGTCAGCACGACGTCTGCGCTCCTCTTGTTCGGCCTCAAATTCTTCTTCATCACCATATCTGTACTTTCGCTTTCTGTTTCCCGTCTCGTCGAACTGGATGTCAGTAGCTTCCCTATAGAACTGAACATCCTTGGTTTTCTTCTTGCCGATCAGAATGGGGTCTTTGAGATGGACGTGAATGATGACGATAAGTTCGTGCTGACACGGTTGGAAAAACAGATGCTTAACGTTGCTGAAGAGAATATCGACTCGGTGTTGGGTGTTAAGTGGTGACTGGTACCGGAGACCATTTTGGTGGATTTCAACCTTTCCTGGTACTCGCTTTCCGTCCATTGCTGGACGGATAAAGATGTTGTCCATGACGGCAGGTCGGCGATCTGTAACTTATCAGCCTCTTGAGTATTTTCAAAAAGTCATGGTACTTACTTCGGATCTCAACCAGCTTATCCTGCTCTACAACATCTTCCATTTCCTTCTTCTCCTGCTCACGCTTGACAGCATCTTTTTTCATGTTGCTTATTTGGTTGGCAATGTCCTGAAGTCGATCTCCGTCGTGTGATCGGAAAGTTAAACTTCGTACAAAGTGAGCTGATGCATCCTCAAAGGGTTGATCATCCTTTCTTCCTACACCTTGACCAGGAGACAAAAAGTTGATTCGCAGGTACGCGTAATCGCCTTCGTCGCTCTTGCTCGCATTTTTAATGGTCTGGATGTGGAATGGAACTGGGCGACCCATGATAGGGAGCACAATCGTCGAGTTCTTCTGGTCCATAACGATAGCCAAATCTCGAACGCGAGGCGGGAATTGGTTGTCTCGCTTGTACGACTCGAAGCGCTTGAATTTCTTCGCCACAGTGCCATTCTGATTTCCAGTCTCTTCCGCGAACCGGACGAGACCCTCTGATTGCTTCTTTTTAGAAAGCTCTTTTTGATGCTCACGACGTCTTCCCTCTGCTCCCTCGTCCGTCTGAGTTGTTCGTTCAGCACGCAATTTTGTCTTGGTGATATTCTTCGTGGCTACAGCACCAACTGCCGAGTCCTTCTTGGCCTTCTTTGGGGCTGGCTCGGGCTCCTCATCATCCTTGAAAAAGAATGAAGTTGCGTCCAAATCCGAAGGTGCATCGCCAGTGAAAATGACCGCATCGGCTTGTGTGACACGAACGGTATCTGAAAGAACCATAGAGTACGTCTTGCTCTTTTTGTCTTGCGGGTTGGGGTTTTCGATGTCATTGAAGCCGGTAGTGACGCACAGAGTCATTCCATCCTTCAAGCTCCTCGTGCTCTTAGCATTTAGAATTAAGGTAGAATCCCGAGTCTCGATACCGATTCCGGCACCCACGTTTTTCATAAAGTTCTTCTCGAGCTCCGGCTTCTTGCTCCTAATGAGACCCAGGGCCTTTGTGTAAACGTCCTTAACATTTGCGCCATCCCTGATCTCTTTGATAACAAGACTGTGAGCCTGAAGCAGTAACTTGTAATTGCTCTCTTGAGATTTGTTTGGATCCACCAAATATGTACGAGCAATAATTGAGCAGTACGACTTGTAGCGCAGACCCATTGAAGAAATAATAACACCTGCGTGTAGAAGTTCATCATCTACGACAGCAGTCATCTTGAGATCAAATTTGCCGCCACTTTGTATAATTGGACCATGAGTCCAGTCCAACTGTGAAGGGTCGAAATCAGATGGCATCTTCGATTTGTTAGGGAGCTCGACTGTGGTCCACCATTTCGAGTCGTCGAGTTTGCCATCGAGTTTGTTGGCCAGGGCACTGTGTTTGACCTTTTTCTCTTCGTCCAGCACGTTTGACATTTCTTCGACGAAGTAGGGATTCATGAGGGCGATACATGCCTTCGAGGCGGTTCGCATTGCGCGCTGTTCCTCGGTCAGTTTTGCCAATTTTCGTGGGGGATAGAAAAGCGACACGATTTTGAATGTCCAGCTCAGCTTCATATATTAGAAGGGGGGCCTACAAGCTCATTCTCATCCTTAATAGCCAAGGCAGCAGCGGATAGCGCTGGGGCAACATCGACTTCCTCAACGTCTTTGGAAATGTCACCATAAACTTTCTTCCACTCATTGATGAATGGTCCGCTCGAGGTGTCTTTTGGCAATACGCCGACTTTCTTCTGTTTAACCAGTCAATCAGCATGTTCCTGGGAGTATAGAGGGAATGGTAAGACCCACGCCTGCAGATTTGATAAGATCGGCGATTTTGAGGAAAAGCTTCTCGTTGGCCTCGGCGTCTTTGCCACGGACTAGAACTTCAAGAGGAATCTTACCCCCCTTCAAGTGTTCCAAATGCTTTGCTAGTAGATATCAGCTTCGGTCTGAAAGGTGAATATGCTGCCCGCAGTAATATGAATATACCTTTCTTCGCAGTCGTGACGATATATAATGTGTCTAGGGTGAAGAGGAACAGAGTCGCAGGAAATTCATAACCAAGAAGCCAGAACTAGATCGCACTATCAGCCTGAGCTTCTCCAAAAGCTGCCAACATAAGAAAACGTACGTGGATGGCATTGTTCTTCTGAAATTGCGCAGACTCCTCGGTTTTGCCCATCAACACCAAGATAGAGGAGGCACCGCCGAACAGCGTATCGCCGCTGCGTTTGTCGGCCTTCCATGCGGAAACGAAGTGCGCGAGGCGCTCCTGGAACAGATTCTTGTCAATCTTGATATCTGCCATGGTGTTGCAAGCTGCTGGTAATGGCAGAGTTGAAGTTGAGAAGAAGAAAGAAGCTGGAGAGAGCTTGAAGAAAGAGGGACGGACGCGCGCGCTGGGAAAGTTCGCGATTAGCTAGCAGCCGTCGCCGTCGCGGGTGGTGGAAAGCAAAAGCAGCACCGATTCTTATAGTCGCAGACAGCGTTGCAAGCAGCCAATTTCGAGTGCCGCCTTTGCAATGCACAATTATCTCCGCTCTGCTCAGACGAGGTTGCCGTACTTAGCGTGGCTGGCTGCCTAAGTGTCATGTCACATGTCTAAGGTATCGAGGGTATCAAGATGACGATCAATATCATCCCATCAATAAACTTTACGATGCTGCTTCCCTTTTACTTATAGAGTCTCCTCTTTTATTCCTCAAGACTCTATATCTATGTTATGACTGCAAGGAAGTCAAGTAGTACGCCTCAAATGCCTTCTCTTCTTTCCTTCCCAGATCAATTCAAAATTCAACCCCAGAAGATTCGTAGCTCCTAAAGTTCAATCTCATTTCCTCTTCTCTTGCCTTATTTTCTTCCTTTCTTTCTTTCTTCCTTTCACTCCCATATAACCTGGATTGCGGCCACTCCATCTCAAGATAGATGAATCGGTTATCTCCACAGCTGAGATATTCCCATTGTTAGGGCTCCCACAACTTGAGAGCTCCGAACAATCCGTTTAATTCCAGATGGAGAATTTGACTATTGGTTGCAAGCACTGGTGCATTCATTTTCTAGATTAACTCGTGTTCTCAACGCATACAAATTCTCTTCTTACGCAGGTCTGAATCTTTTAGGACACAGCCAAGATTGAAGTAATTCATATCGTTGCGAATTTCAGCACTTGATGTTCTGCTTAAAATTCGATCTCCTATGAAATCACTGATCTGCCTACAAATATGATTTAGAAGTCGCACTCATTATTCGCCGCATCGGTGAGCACAAGCAGTATTTGCTTTGGGTTCACAATTTTTAATTTTACATCTCAGGAGCAAGATATTCTTGTCACAGCCAGATTCCTAAGGTATACATTCGAATCTTTAAAACAGCAGTAATATCAGATAAGAGATGACGAAACCAAACGCAGGCAATGAAACATCGAGGGAGACAAACTGCTCCTGCTGTCTACTCGTTCATATCCTCATCTTCATCCTCCTGACCAGTTTCCTCAAACATTTCATCTGCAGTCCCGTCGCTCTCATCGTCATCACAATCGCCTTTCTAGGTAGACTTAGTCAGCGCGCTATCAGGTTTTAGCAAAGGACGCAAAAATCTTGAAGCAAACTTACTATACCAGTACCGCCATCGGTATTCTGCAGCTCAGGTAGATCATATACGATATCTGGTAGTTCGACATCTTTTGGGCGGTAATGATACCGAATTCTTCAATCCCGCCGAAACCTCCCCTGTAGTCGCTTCGACCGTGGAAGCCAACGATCTTCTCATTTTTGCGTGCTCTGAAACCAAATTATCGGCTTTCGAGACGCGATAGGGATAGGTGTCACTTACCTAGAGCTTGAGAAGAACCATCCTCGTACAAATATTCACCTGCGGTCCCGTCGGAAAGATGGAACCGGAGACGATTCAGTCTACCATTATGTCCAACTTCTACCTTCACAGCGTCGACGCCTTGGGAAATTTGGACCTTCTGAGCGGCATGTCCTCCTACAGCAGCTAGTCAGCGCAGTGCTTTTAGCATGCAGAAGATATCTCTACCAAAAGTGTGGGGCTGATTTCCCCGCGCCCAGCGAGGTCCACAGCTGCCATGTTTGTTGGTGCCATGGTGGTGTTTATAATTGTGTGGGTGGAGGAAGCAACAATTTTGTCAAAAAAGAAGTTATTTTCAAGGTCTGGGTGCGAATTGAAACTACAATGCTAACACTAAGAAGACGCGTCCTCAAACGCGACTTTATACAACATCGTTATCTATTCTCTAGTCTTTTCACCCGAAGTCACGGCACTTTTTGAGTCACGTTGCACACTAGTTCCATGCAGCTGCGCTATTTATAGCCCGAGCTCGAGATGTCGCGCGATATCTTCAATAATTTCCAGGCATCACGGCGCTTGTATGCATTGGGTTTCCTGCTGTGGATTTTTTTTGATGCTGTGGTTAGTTTTGTGGGATCAATCAGAGAGGTATTAAGGCAAGTGTTGGATTTACCCCTGAATTGTAATCTTACTATGTGCTTAGCGAGACATACCCCTTTTCAGACAGAAGCGGGGTAACTCTTTGTGTCAATATGTCTAGATTATAGCACCATGGAAGAATCACGTTTGAATACGAGTTCAAAACGTGATGACACACACTGCCCTGCTCGAGAACAATCTAAGTATTCAAGTCAGACTTTGATCGAACATACTGTGACAAAGCTAAGCCAATTCTTGACCGTAAAAGGCTAGGCGTCCTCCTTGGCATTCAGCAAGAGAGCTTTGCTGCTTTGCTGAGAAATGATAAAGGGGAAGGTATATGAAAAACTGAAGACATCATCAAATCAGTCATGGTAATTATAGTTATATCAATTGCGCAGCCTAAACCGAGATACATCTCTTCCCTATGCGTAAACCTGCTTCTGCTTGGCTAAAAGCTGCATCTGGAGATTCATGCTTGGGTTTTCAAGTATCTATAAGTCTCCAAGTCAGCAGTTGATATGTCGAAAATTTTATTGTATCTTGTTCGGAGCTCGACAATCCTTATGATACTCAAGATAAAGGAGGATTTCGCCAGACGGAGCTTGGAATTAGGAGAATTTGCTTACATCTTCTGTCTTGACCCAAAAGCCTATGTCTTCGTAGTATTTACTAAACCCGGCAGCTGCGATGAGATCACCCCATACGTTGTAAAAGGCCGTGTCTTCATTGAAGTCTTTGGGGTAACTGTCTTGTGGGCCAAGTATGAAATTCCAGGCACTTTCAACCAATGCTTTCAGATGGCTCTGAGCGACGCTGCCATCTACTCCATTAACATGTTGACTGAGAGGTGTGATGCTGGAAGAGTTAAAGGCAGAACCCCAATTTCTTGAAGGTAAAGTCGAGATGTCGTTGCTTAGATTTGTGACGAGTGATTCTAGCGTTTCGCAAAAGTATTGCAGGACTTTGTCTGCCGTCTCGCTGGATATCTGTTGGAAGTCCTAATTAGCGATTACCAATAGTACCAGTGCAGCAATAGTCGCGAGAGGAAAATATCGACTCTCTCATGGAATCGAACAGGGATGAGTAAAATATTGATAACATACCAAGTTCTCAGAAAACTGAAGCTGAACCTCAAGTTCATTGCCCCTCGGAACAGTTTTGACGTAGAGATCAGCCTTATCGTAAGGCGGCTCATACAGACCGCAAGTATAACTTAGATCTTGGGTGACGTTAAATGCAACCGCATCCACATCAACATTAACACTGACATGATTGAGGAAAGTGCTAAACCGGGTCCAACGAGGCCAGTCAGTACATTGCTCCACCAACTGTCTGTAACCTAGCAACCCGTGCGGAATCGCGCCTAGTTGATGAGATTGTACGTTCTGAAGAAGCTCCAAGATGGTGCTTGCTTGATTCAGTCGCGTTCGGACTGGTACCAAGTTCAAACACAAGGCCATTACGTTTTCTGGTTCAAACATAAAGTGACGGCCAGAGAATGTCGTCCCAAAAACGACATCTTTTGTGTCAGTGAGGGAAGCAAGAACGCATGACCAGGTAGTTGTTACAAGCGTAGCCGTGCTGATTCCGTATTCCTCAAGTTGGGGGAAAGAAGTGCTAGCAATAGCTGATAATTTACTATTGGCTAAGTTTTTGTATGGTGGCGTGGCATAGGATACGAGTCTGGAGGTATTGTCAGTAATCTCATTTACCAAGCACTCTGGAATAATCAGAAAAGACCTCCCATTCATAGGTTACATGTCTGCTGATACCAAGAAAGAGAAGAGGATTTGCTTACTGTGGCATTTTTGAACCAGCCAGAACATCTTTCCAAAAGACTTTTGATGCTTCGATGTCTTGAGGGGACAAGGCCATGCTAATCTGGGTTATTGATGGGCTAGGCTTGGGAGTTTCGCTATTATATGCTGCTCGGAATGCTTCGTGGATTTGATTCACCGATGTAGCATCGAATAGGCTTAGTGGTATCTTTATCATCAAACGAAATTGAGAAAGACTTTGCTTTATAAGCTTGAAATAGACGTGTGGGTCACCGAGTTTCGTAGCTCTTTGCAAATCGAGGTCGAATAGCGATTGGGAGAACTCACGAATATTTGAAGTCGACGGGAGTTCGTATTGGAGGAATTCAAATGGGTAATTCTCAAGTTTGACTTGAAAGGTTTGCCGATTCCGGACGAAATTGACGGTTCGAAGAGTAGGTAAGTCTTCCAACAGGCGTTTGCAGGATTGCTGAAGACGTGGGATATTCATCGGACCGGTAAAGTCAAAGTATATACAATCGCTCAATCCTCTGGTTTCCAATAGTGCGGTATAGATAAAGCAGGCCTGCCTATCAGTAGATTTTGCGACTTCCGCTACCCCAAAGGCGTCGAATTGATCTAGAGCATCGCCAGCCTCAACTCTCAGTAGGCGCTCAACTTCTGCAGCTTTCGCGGTATCATATGAGAACTTTGCCTCTTCCCTTTCGAGAAACGTTGCGGTAGAGCTGAGTTCTCTGATGTTTGGGTTTTCGAAAACCAGTGAAGATTTAAATGATATACCGGATTTTCGGGCCTCAGAAAGCAGCTTGATCGCAGACAGCGAACTCCCTCCCATAGAATAGAAGCTATTCACCACACTAAAATTATCCTCTGCGAGACCGAGAACTCTCGACCATAGCAATAGGATCTTTTCTTCCATAATTGTAGCGGGCAAAACTTTCTTGCTGCTATCAATACCCAGTAGCTTATCCCGTGGGATGTCAGATGCTAGCTTCCGGAGTGCTTGTCGATCCACTTTTCCTGAACTGTTGAGAAGAACCTGATCGAGTGGAAGTATGGCACTGGGTACCATGTAAGACGGTAGCTCTTGTTTCATGCTATCAAGTAATGTTGGAATTATGGAAGGCCAGTCGGTAGTTTTCCCGCACCCTCTAATGAATGCCACACATGAGACTCTACCATTGCGGCTTAGTCGAGAGAATCTTGTTGGGAGATTTATACATACTAGCTAGCTAGCTAGTTACTTTAAGGGAGAAAGAAGAATAGCAAGACAAGTTCGTCCGACCACCGTGAGGATACACATTAGCATGCATCTGCATGTGCCACACAAGGTGCATCTAAGGCTCTGAGCACAAGTAAAAAGCAATTCTTCAAGCCGTCTATTATTTTGCACTAGGTTGGGTGGCTGAAGGCTAAATAGCACCGTTACATATCGGTAAAGATATGTGATACGATAACAAGAGCTGGGAGCCTAGACAAAGGATGGGCCCACACCCCCCTTTTTTAACGAGGGGGCAGGGGTGGGTGTAGAGTCTAACAACGGGGGGTGTCCCTTTAGTGATTCTGAGATATACGCTGATTCAGGTGAATAGCATCTTCGGATAATTTTGATAGATGGGAGTAGCGCTGTTTATTGGGGAAGGGGAGAGAGAGAGAGAGAGAGAGAGATATTTCATTCACAGGTTTAGAGCGTTATAGAAAGAGGTCATATTCGTCAAAATTTCAGCTGCGTCTACTCGACTCTAGATCTATATACCCTAGCATACTCTTCCTTTGCTACTGTGATAAGACTCTTATATCTGCCCTAACTATCCTTATAATTTCGTTGCGCTTCGATCTTAAGCGTAGTGCTACTTAGCAGGCTTTCCCACTGCTCATGCGTTCGTACTTCCGCGACGAAATAAGCTATCATTGTGATAGAGATAGCTTAACTCGTTATAGTAATACTATAAAAAATGAACGTGAATTCTCTAATTAATAGAGCTAGCTTTAGCTTTAATATTGTCAAACGATTATGTCTAAAAATCATAGAACCTTGCGAAGAATTTTAGTAGGAATCCCCATGGAAAATTCTATCTTCCAACCATTGACTCTGCCCGTGCCACCTCTCCTGGATAGTGCTGCTATCATAATCTTGCCCCATTACAGCCCGCTCCATCCTTTGAGTGAACTCTGATATCTCACGATCTATTCGTTGTTGGTAAGCATCAGGGGCCATGGAAGGCATAAGCGAATCTTCAAGCCCATCTGCAACCCAAGGAGACGCAAGTGTTAGAAAGAACGCCCGAAGTCCATTGTGTTTCAACTTTGACAGTGGTTCCAATGTCCGCGAGTACATATCGAAGACCTTTCTGGCTTTTTGCTCACTTATTTTGTGGAAATAAGAGCCGCCCGAGCGGCTGCAAGAGCCATCGCCCATGAAGACTGCGAGGCTCAGCATAGGTAGATTGAGCTGACACATAAGGTTAATGACTTGCAGCCACTGTCGATACGCAGGTTCGTGGAGCTCAAGATAGTCTTCATGAAATGGCGGGAATAAAATTTCCAGACTCTTCAAGGAGCGCAAAGCAGTGGATGGTATAACCTCATCAAAGAACGTTAAAGCCTCGAGATGATCAGGACTATTTTCGACAGGAAGTATGCATCCAGCCTAGATGATCGGAAAGTCAGTAATCTCCAGTTCAAAGACTTCTCTATGAGACAAAAAGGCAACGCCTATTGTCTTAGAACATATAAGAATGCGATTTTACAGAAAACATATGTCACAAATGTATATGATGAGTTATCAAGTGTACCTAAGAAAACGAAACCGCGAAGGACTAGAAGTGGAATACTAAAAAAGCGATTGCCCTTACTGCTGGCGAGATGACAAAGTGGTTCTTTTCAAAAAACACAATTTGGGCTTCTTGTCGCAAGACACGGCACACTAGGAAGAGAGGTGTAGGTGGAATCCAACAGCGGCATCTGGACGAGAAAGCAGTATGATGGCGCATACAGAAACAGCCATCTCCTGCGGGGTCGATTCGCCAGCAGTTGCGAAATTGGCAACCAAAGTGACCACGCGGTGGGCCAAAATCCGAATATCGTTCTTTACTTGCACGTGGCGAAACGGTATAACGGAGGTAAAAGTTGTCTTTTGGGTTCCATTCCACTTCTCTTAAAGGAGTGACGAGATCTGTGTATTCTAGAATCCGAAGGCGACATTCTGGTGGTAGATCCAAAAACCGAAATGGAGAGTTGTCTTTGGGAGGGCACCTTAGTCCTTTCGATTGAGTTGCTATTTCAACAGCCAAGTCCTGGAGAAGCGGGTGATGGAAACGACTGAGCCTAATGCTGCATTCTGCGAGTAACATGCTTCGGAGGGGCTGAACAGCAAGCTTCCCAGTAGCTAAATTAACAACATCACAAACAAAAGACAGCTTGAGAGTGTGAGGTTTGATATAAGCTGTGATATATCTAGCCGCATTTTGCCATTCAGCAAGCACAGCATTGTTGGCTCGAGAAGAGAATGCGAGAGGTTTGTCATGCTTTGAACACTTGCATATGAAACCAACTCGCTCATTTGCTGAGCAACATACTACGCTATACCCATTCGAATCGCATGATACAGCGTTGAGATGTATTGCGAGTTGAGTCAGGCTCGCCAGGGATGTTTTCGTTAGATTGGTGAGCGCGTTAAGGCTTTTCGCGTCTCTGTACCGAATAAAAAATCGGTTTGTGGAGTACACAAGAGCTGACGCTTCAGCATAGATCAGCCTGCAGACCAAAAGAAGACTGTGCGTGCTGTCAAAGGGATTTGTCGAATGGTATTGGCACTTGTATCTTGCTCCTTTACTTTGATAATTGAGATTGATGCTGCCGTTGGCCCTCAAACCAGCTTGAAGATAAATACGCTGTCGTATCGGCCGGGGAAGAGAGAGAAACGAAGGCCGAGAGTACCGTGAAGGTAGGGAGTCCATGGTCTTCGAAAGGGTTTCACACCTGGAGCCAACCAAAAACGAAGTATTTGTGGTGAGAAAATGTGAAAGCGGGAGGTGTGGAGGACGCGTAGTAGGTAAAGATGTATGTAGTAAAGATGTAGGTAGCCATGCCATGGGTGGGTGCATGAAAAGGGTTGCTGCCTCAGGCACTAGACAGAAGCCACCCCACCTACCTAGGTACCTACAACTCCACCTTGGCCGGTATCCAACCAACTGAACTGCGCCTCTAATCCGTAACACCAACAACTTCTATTTCAAGTTCCAACACTTATTTCCACTGTTGGTCACATTCTATTCGGCAAAAATCCTTTACAGATTTACTCGAGCGGCGGGGTCGGCGCTATGCCCGGCCCCATCCAACTACAGGCTGCAGCCTCAAATTCGTAATGTAGATCGGCGCCTCCAAAGCTCAATCTAATAGAACATACCCCTTAGCAGGAACACCAACTCTATGGCACTTAGCTTGCAGAAACCTATCTCAACTGCTGAACTGCATACTTGCCTCAGTGTGATAGTAAGGCTCAGAGAGCAAAATCCTCCTGTCGAGATTATCACACAGTGGAGCTCACTAGTATCAACTGACTTATGAATACCTCATTCCATCCATCTTTGTTGTTGCTATCTTCCAACATGATGCTTTTCAATCCATGATGTAGAGACACCAACAAACATTCCTTCGCATCCTACCGCTGATGCTGTTATGGAATGACTATTTTTGGATCTACTGATCCATGAATAGAGTCTCTCGTCTATCATCACAAGTACTTGCAAGAACGTGAAGTTGTCTATATAGTCAATGGTAGGAGTTTCTAGTTTAATTGGACATCTTTTCAAGTAAACCAAATCTGCAGTTAAAACTTCTCTCTTCTTTTCTCCTCCAACACAATTTCAGCCCAAACACTCGTTCATGATGCGCTCTCTTTATATAATTTCTGCTTTGGTCTTTCAAGTCATATGCAGCCTCGCTGCTCCAGGTCCCCCCATTGCTATGAACCAATGGGAGAACCCAGATAAAGAGAACCCAGATATAAAAGGGTCGGATAAGTCACCAACCTGGTGGGTAGAAATACTGCCCACTGAAAAAGGCCAATTAACCTATGCAGATGTTATTACCTATGCAGAAAGGTGTTATAATTGGTATGAAATCCATTGTTCAATTTCTTTGGCATCCAGCTAACGATATATCTCAAGGCTGGCTGCTCTACCAAATGATAAGAACTTTGCAACACAAACGAATCAGCGACTGGTCAGTGTACTATATGACCCCATTGACTCTATGATATATGGCTCGACTATCCCTAGAGACATACGACGCAATGTAATGCTCACCGCTGCCAATGAGGCTCCTGCATGGCTTGCTGCCAAAAAGTCAGTACGGGATTCAAGTCTAAAGCGTATTCATGCTGAAGATGGTGTATTCTATAATTTCGAAACAAATGATGGAACTACAAAAACGGGAAAATATGCCTATCCGGAGGGCATGATTCTTGCAGTTTGGGCATCCCAAAAAGGAGCGCCTGCCATAGAATATTACCCTTGCAGGCCTTGCGGAAGACTTGTCGAGGCTCTTGGAGTGACTTATAAGAATCAAGGCAAGTTTATCTTTTCTTTCTTATACGTCTTTGTAGGAACAACCTTCTCGATTGCTTATGCTAACATACCGTTTGCATAGACCTGCAGATGATTTATCCACAACAGGCTGGAGCAACAGCACCAGCGCCACCAGATACCACTGATAACTCAAACGATGACGCCGCCAACGGGATATGCACGGCCCGGGAAAATGCTGGACCTATAAAACGCGGCAATGGTGGTGCTTGGATCCCTGCGATTGCTCGTCGAAATACGACTGGGCTATATAATTGCACGTCGACTTTTACGCCTCTGTCATTGACGCCCCTTCCTTCAAATTTCACGCTTCCAGCAACGACCATCGTTCCCATAACTGATACTTTTACTGCGACTTCATCGGTAGCGACACCTTCATGCTCCTTGCATAATGCAGACCCGGATCAAGGTATCAAGCAAGCATGCGTATGTCAGGGCTCTATTACTCTACCTCTTATCTCCGCACCTTCAACGGCCATGGCTACCATGAGTTGTGCATATACAGCGCTTCCAACAGGATTCGCTACATCAAAGATCATGACTGCAAAGCCGAGCTTGGGCCCGGCAGTGACAGACACTTTAAGATGCCAGGTACACAAACATGTTTTCGCTAGCTCAAACAGCTTCAGCTAATATCAAACAGGTCTGTACCCCGGTTGTCAACAATGAGAATACTTGTACTTCAATGCCTGGCTGTTCGATACAGTCTGCTAGGGCAACTGTAACGGCTGGATCGAGCCCCGTTCATGGTAAGTACTTCTGAACTTTATTTCCACGCTCTTTCCTTTCATTCCTTGACGTCTGATACTGACTCAATCAAATAGTTGGAACTCTCACCGGCGGTGCACTTTCCACCAGTATATCCAGTGCACTGGTCTCAATATGCCCCCCTGCTACATCCGGAACCATGACATCCTGTGCGCCCACTGCGCAGATCACCATAGGCGGAATCTCATACGTCAAAGATACTAGTCTCCAAACCAATGGGGAACTTATTGTAGCTGTTGAGTCCAGCGGGTATAATCTGACATCCCTGCGTGACGCCATGATCAATTCCATCGCCGCATCCGCACAGCAAGGGGCCATGGGTGGCAATTGCTACAATGCCACGTACAGAGAGGACGAACTCTCGAAACGAGCTGTCAGTTCCTGGGCATGGCCGTTCTCTCGTCTGACTAAAAAACTCGATAATCCTTCGTACTTTAAGGTACACAAAAGTATGCATATGTGTAACACAAATTGGTTTGCGACGTCGAATTACTACAATATATTCTGGCACTCCGACGACGTCACGTCTCCTTCGGCTTGGCTTAGTGCGGATTATACCTTTCATGTACCCCCTGAGGGTGATTTTCTCTGCACACTAATTGATGATCTTATTGATGCATTCGCTATTATTGAGCCCGAGTTTGCGGTTGAGGATGTTGAGCTTGAGGAGGCGATTAACTTCGCGTGCGGTGATCAACCAACTGAGTAAATTCTGTTCTCGTGTATCATATGCTGTAACAAGTACCTTTGCTGGGTTTTCCTTTTTGTTACAGAGGCACATTGGGTGGCGCATGCCGAACTGGCGTACCCTAGGAGAGTTTGGAGGTGGGTTCTGGGCATCCTATATAGAGTGTTGAAGCCCTTCACGTTTTGGTGTATGCGACTGGAAAGAAGCTCAATAAGGCACACAGTAGTATATAGTTCAAGAAAACTTAGGGTCGCAAGAATTTAAGCAGAAATTTCCAATTCGTCTCAAAATCTGAAAATGCCGGTGAGTACACTTCTGACGGGGTGCAGTTTACTTTGAGGGGATAGCTTATTGCATGGTAGTTAGTGATTTAAATCCTATAATGTTTGACGCCTTTCTCCTCAAAAAGACCGCCAATTATAAACCCTTCACTTTGCTATCAAATACAGCACTGCTTCTTAACAACTTTTAATGTCCCACACCATACGGCACGAGGCTTCTACTTTTTGTGGAAACGGTCGTAAAACATTGTAGGAGTTAACAGTGAGTCACATGGCACGTACAGCCTAAGGCCACGACCGAGCAGGACGGGCAGAAGATTTACCTTTGGGTTGGGAAGATATACTGACAGGTCTGTGATCTGATCTTCGAAGGGAATATAGCACTTTTCAGGGGTTCTCGCTTGTTGGGGTAGGTATACTAAGTTTTAGTAAGATTAACCAAAAGAATCTAAAGCTACTTGTGACTGAATGAACCACGTGTAGATTGGCCAATGGCACCACCTTAGAAGTATATAATTGGCTCAACGGGTCAGCGGCCGATAATATCCTCACCATCAAACCCTTTATGTCCTTCTGCAATTTTTACAGTCCTCTTTCTTCCTCTTAGTCTTAGTCTAGCACCCATCTTCTTCTTCCACTTACGCCCGGCCCTCTTTATCCTCGTTCGAGGATAATTCACGGGCGACTCTCCACCAACAAATATCGCCACATCATACAGAAAGCCACCAAAGATAGCCCCCGAGATAGTAGCGCACCATGGCCCATAGAACCAATAGGCCGTTGTGAAGACATCAGTCCCATATCCCAACGCCAGTACCGCAAGCCGGGGGCCCAAATCTCGAGAAGGGTTCATGGCAGCGCCAGTATTATATGCAAAAGACATGTTCAGCGCGACGATCACTAAGCCGATAATGAAAGCATTCATGCCGGCCCCAGGTGGAGCATTCGTGTCATCTCCTAGTGCGAGGATGGAAATACCCAGGATCGCAGTCGCCACGAATTCGTTGAAGAAGGCGGTACTCCCATTAACCCAGTCATACCGTGGAAACGTGATAAAACTTTCTACTGTACCCCCGGCAGCGAGATTTGAGCCGCTGGAGTGGATGATACCGTTCCGATATATTCCAAACGCAATGAAGGTAGCAATAAAAGCGCCGAGAAGTTGAGCTGCGACATAGATGGGAATTTTCCGGAGGGGAAAACCGCGGTAGATATACAGCATAATAGAGATAGCAGGATTGAGATGGGCACCGGAGATGCCACCAGCGATGTAGACGCCGATCATCGTCGCAAGACCCCAGGCCCAATTTGTATTCGTGTCTGTTTGCGTACTGGAGGTGGCAACGACGAGGTCGGCGCAGAAGCCAAGCGTGAGCTGGACAGTGACAGCGAGCAATTCGGCTAGCGGTTCGCGGAAACGAAGGCGGATGACCGACCAGTGAGTATGTAGATTATGGACCTCTTCGTCCTGGGGCTTGTATGCTGCGAGGGGGATCTCATCACCGATCCAGTCACCATCTAAGTCTCCTATCTCTGGAGTCTCAGTTTCTGCTGACGCATTGTCCCAATCGGCTCGTGCTTCACTATGCACAGAGTTGGAATGTTCCTCGGCTAGCCTGTTCGAGTCCAGATATTCTTCGTTGTCTGTTTCCGCAAGATCGGGGAACGCTACTATGCTTTGCGATCGCGTCCTCGTCGATGTTGTATGACTATACTGTCGAACCAAATTTGCTTCCCGCTGGCGTCGGACATCGTCGAGTTGAGTTGAGATTTGGTGCAGGCGGAGTGTTGGCTGAATCCCCTGCTCCAAGTCGACATCAGTGGGAGCGCCAGGTTTCTGATTGCTAGGTCCACCAGCGTCTGTGGTAAGCTCGCTCCGGTCTGGTACCATCCCCGGGCGAAGCACTCGAGGCAAAGGCTTGGCAAGACCCCATACTGGTCGTGCATTGGTAGGATTCTCGTACGCTGGGTTCAATTCAACATATCCGGGATCAACATAAGGTTGATTGGTAGCCACAACCTCCTGCACGGCTGGTGGCCCAGCAAGACTGAAATTGACTGACTGGTTGTCTCCTGCCACGGCCGCTCCTGAAGACACAGCATTCGGAACTGGCCGGCTTAGTGTCCCTCTCCTTCGAGTGCTGGCAGCCGTTCGCATGGTGCTGGTCCTCCGCCGCATTCCCGGCGAGACAAATTGACCGACTGAAGGCCCACTGGCTTCTGGTGATACTGCCCTGGACTCCGGAATAGCTCCCATTCTTTCCTCTTCTTGACTCCTTCTTCTAACACTGCCCAATCTCCCCAAGTCATGTGATAACAAATCTGGCCGGGTCTGTTCAAGCTCTTTCGCTGAAATGGATCTACCTCGACGTCGTCCTGTACTTAATCGAGTAGAAGCGTCTGAAGTCTTTCTGGGCAGTGGGGGTAGTGTCCCTGACCGACGAACCCCTGGTATAGGAGGAGCTGGTGACTGTGTTGGCGATACGGGCTTGGCTGGCGTGGTAGCCCTCTCTGTGCTTTCGGCTGGGGCTCTTGTTCTCTCCACAGGAGAATTCATTCTCGATTCCTCCGATATAGGAGCCAGCGGCGGCGTCCTGCTTCGTTCAAAGCTCAAGTCCGAACTTCCTGTTCTCTCCATCGCAGCACTAGTTGAAGATATAGTTGCTTCCGAGTCTTCAGGCCTATCTCCAGACATTGAAGTGCTGCTTGGAGGAGTTTCCGGCTTGTCCGCCATGGTACAACAGGAGATATTAGACGTTGTCTAAGAAAGGTGTATGAATAATACTGAGATGTCCGAATAGTCACCTCATATTGGGCTGAGCCTCAATGCTATAAAAAGACATTAGATTATTAGCTAAGAATTGCAAAGCAGATAAATGAAGTGAGTGAAAAGGGGCAGAGTTAAAAAAGATCGACATCTACGTCACGCTTGAAATTTTTGTGTTCGGGCATGTGTGGGGCTCCTGAAACGACCTCTACGTTACGTGTACGGAAAAAGTTTCCTAAAAGTATAGTGCGCACAGACCATACTATTAGGAACCTTTTCGTACACGTACACGTACTCCGTAGAGAACGACTCCACAGGCATTACGCCTAAACTGCCCGCGAACTTTTCCCTTTCAGAATTTCTCAAAAATCTATAAGCTGTACTAGTGTATCATATGGTTTAACAAATTTTATAAACGACATTTAGATTATTGTATATATATCAACCTGAGCTACGAATATTTGCCACGCACACGTGACACTAGCGCAGGCGGGATACCAGTTTAGCTCAGGCCTAAACTATCTCTTATAATCCATCCCCTTTTCTAATTGAATATATAGTCCTTTCTAATAATATATATATAACTTTTCACCTTCCTTAGCCAGTCCACTTCCTACGCTCGATTTTATGCGAAGTGAACAGAAACGGAACTGGCTATTAAACGCTAAAAGTGACTTAATCCCGGCTTATTATTTGATATTATTTGCGATTTGCATGTTATTGATCTGCGTACTACTGTATGTACCATTTGTTCATGCCACATCTCCATACCCATCTGTGGGTTATCTCTATGTACAACGCGGATTGCAGAGACTCTATTGTGACTCAATTCTCTAGTGCACACTCCTCTGTGAAGTGAAGCGCTAAATTTCCACTAGTCTGTTGTTTTTTAGTGCTCAGTGGTCACTAGAATCTACCAAGTCCGTAGAGGCGTTCTGCAGCAATAAGGCCGGACCAAAGTCTTGCTCCAGGCCTGTGTCGATATGGATGCCATACCTTTCCGAGAGGATGTCATCCTCTGTAGCGAACTTATATGAGCGGGACTCTGTACAAGGGCACGCTTTAGTAATGTTTCTTATGAAATTGATTGGTATATGAAAAGACAAACCGCAGAAATCGTATCTTGATCCCTCGACAAGATATGCAGTGAACCCCCGGTGGGTGATGATTAGGATGTTCTTATAAGACTTGGATAGAACACTTAGACGCTGTCGCAGGTCTTGCGCACGCTTTGCGGCGTACTCGACACTATGTGGAGGGTAATCCCACGTCTGGCTACATGCTGAGAAGTCAAATTGGGGGAACTTGGCTATCAGGTCGGCTCGACCAACGCCTATATTGCAGACGGCATCGTGAGCCTCCCGTAGATCTGGGCAGATTTGGACCTTCACGCGGTCGATGAGAGGACCAAATGCAAGCAAGGCTGTCTGGATGGTGCGTGTCATGGGCGATATGAGGATCAGATCGGGCTCCGTCAATAGCCTTAAGTTGCGTGCTTGCTGGCGGCCAACTTCCGTCAGAGTCGGGTCCCTATGAGGATAACCTCGTTCTATGCTGTAATAGTGCGTTCAGAATCTGTTTGGAACCCACCAAGATCTTACGGAACAGGCTTACTTATGAAGCGACTGTCCATGCCGCAGGATGTGAATCGTTGACAGAGTGCACTAACAAGTATACTTCAAAAATCGATGGATTATTGGGTACCTGTATCTGGTAAGTTGTCAAGTCGAAAGGTAAAGCAAGGGTCAATTCCAGTAAGTACGTAGGTACTTACTATCAATGGTTATGCGGGAGCTGTACCTACCCCCACCTAGGCTAGGCTAGGTACTCTATGCCCCTGTCTTTATTGGTCTAATGAGGAGTACTAGCGCATTTCTAGTACCTTACATCTGAATGATCGTACCAAAGGAACAATTTTAACCAAGTCGTGTGTCATTGATAAGATGTTTCGAGGTCTTTATTGGCGTGTCTTGCATACGAAATGAGTTTGCAGAGGTCGATGCATGTTTTGGGAGGCCCTGAGTGGCGGTGAAGCTAAGCGGATTCGCCATTGGAGTTTAAACAAAGTTGTGTATTAGATTATGTACTCGTAAGCATTATGTGCACGTGATGTCGAGCACCGGTACAATAATCGAGACGCGTCGCGCGTCTGGCGCGTCTCCCAATTCTGTTTCCAACGATTCAGATAAACTTCCCTCAACACCAAACTCTCAAAATGCCAAAATCTCTTACCGGATGGCTCAAGCCAGCCTCAGCGGGCGCCCTTAACTCTAGTCCCTCGAGAAGCCCACTGCTACTACAAAACGCAAACGCAGCTCCACCGATGAAAATTCCTATAACGAATCGACCAAAACGCAGAAACTCAACAAGCAAGCGCCAGCGAAGAAATCGTCGAATGGGAGCAAAAAAGCCCAGCAGATGTACAAAAAACTTATCGCAGACGTTAGCAAAGAGGTTAGCGGCCTAGACGCTCGCGTCAAGAAGCAAGGGCCGAACAGCGCGGCAGTCACGTCTGATCACTATGCAGAGGCTATGGTCAAATACATCAAGGATATTAAGGCATTCATGGAGATAGATGCTAGGCTCGCATTCAATGCCTTGCTCTATATTGGGCCGCATACACATGGTGATTGTATAAACACCCTGGATTTTAGCCGGCTGAGCTTGGCTAACGACGAGGTTTTACAGTGGAAGCTTCGTTCAAAAATGTGTGGGTATGGCGGTACGAAAGAACCATTCGAAGAACTCGACGAGCTTATGCTATCCATCATCCCCAAGCTTGATCTCCCCTCTGCCGAATGCACCAATAGTTCTCCTCTTCCCGAGGTCCCCCATCGTTGGACTCTCGAAGATGCCGAAGTGGGAGTCTTTAAGACAGGGCGACCCAACAAGCAACAGAGGGGCCAAATCGAGCGGCAAAGGGCGGCATGGTTAAAAAAGCGCCATACTATGGCCAAGGAGAGAAGAGAGAAGGTCGAAAACTGGGTAGATAATGCGATTGATGAGTTAAAGGGGGAACGAGATGCTATAGAGGGATTCGGGTTTGATGGGTATTTCGTGAAAAGTATTATGAAACTTAAAGAGTTCCAGGAGAGAAGAACCACTATAGAGTGAAATTAAGGCGGTAACAATGCATGGGGGCCCTAAAACAGTGTGTATGATATCATGGCCGGAATTGTTTATTTGGATTTTATAGGAGTTCTACTCTCGAATTTTCAAGGAGCTAGTTAGTTCACGAATGCTGAGATGCATAAATACCCGGAAATAACTAATAAACATTTATTAATATTAAGAAGATATATAAACGTCTGTCTACATATTATATAGTAGTACCTGAAGTTTGTATTACATTAATTGGAAAGAAAAACGAAGCAGAGCCGGTAGAGAAAATATTAGTTATTAGAAGAAGAGTTTTGATTTGAAAGACTACAAAATCCACTTTGAGATAGATTATTAAAGAGGTGATTTTATTCCATTCGACCTTGATATCCTTGCTAATATACTAGTCTTGATTCTAGCTTTCCAATCACCTCTCCTTTTTGGCAAAACACCAGGCATATTTTACAAAGCACCTGCTCTCAGTCACGCAACATGCTTGATTCCCACCGTCCAAACATCCATGCAGTTGAGGACCCTAATCAGCGACTCACTTCTACCTCCTAGTCCTTCTTGGTTGTGATTGCTGGCAACTTCGACGGTGACATGGCCCCGGACGACATACATTTTCGCCTTGTGAGCGCACACAAAAGACGGTCTGAGGGGCTCTACAAGGAATGATGTCCATCGTAAGGAATCCAAAGCATAGAGCGCAGAGGACGCGGCGGTAGGTACACATTGTTGTTGTTTGGAGGGTTTTGTGAGTGAGTGTCAGGGGGTATGTTGTTGGTAGATGTGGATTTGTCGTTTCTGTAGCTTTGTAAAGTGTGGATTGTTGGAGATGGAGAAGAAGAGTTGAAGGTTGGGCGTGAACTGTTTTTATAGAAGCTCTCACGACTTGGAAGAATATGAATAACACTTGAAAACAACTCGAATAATGGAAAAGTCTAACAATACTGAATCATAGAGCTGAGTACAGACACGAATAACGTTTGAAGGGCTTGAATGCGCCTGGATAATATTGAGTATTCCCTTGAGCATAATCACATCTCGATAATCTCAGACATGCGTTATTCAAATCCTAAAAACCCAATCTAGATTAAGCCTCATGCTATATGAGACGGTCAAAATAATCTATATATTCTTAGTTTATTGTAATATGTGTAAACGCATTGCAAATTCTGATTGATAAAATATATCTAAAATGTATGTTAAGTCAGGATCTCCTATAAAGGCATGGGGCCGCCCTTTTCAACCACACAACTTTTGTATTCTCCATCACTAAGGCTATCTCTCTTCTTAAAACAAACTCTCTATCTAAAGCCATCAATATTATGACTCGCTATGATATTGATTTCGCTATATCGACGAAACTCTACATAATCGAATGTTCTGAGAGAGAACTGATTCGCACTTTGATTTCAAATTAATCACTGGTGGCCTTTAGCCAGCAAGCAGGATTAGCCACCCTGGATGCACCATCACACAAGCCATAACTTGTAGGACCTTGAATCACATATATAACAATGTATTACGTTAGAGGTTAATCAAATAGTTGAGACAGTCCCCCGCAGACTACGACTCCTCAATCTCGTATGTTCCGCTCAGCCTGGGAAACAACTTCTCCGCAGCTCCATGATAAACTTCCTTCCTCATCTCATCTCTCATTTGGTATTCATCAACAAGCTCTGTAAATTTCTTACTGAAACCTACAGTAGCATGCGGGTAATCACTCCCAAAAAGCACATGTCCCTTTTCAGCAAAACCCAAAACTAGCGGCAACACCTCCTTACTCCCACTCAGCGCCAAATCAAAATAAAACTTCTTGGCCTGGCCCACGATATCCTCAGTGTTCATTGCAGCTCCAAATTCCGGTAGTGCAATCATAGTCGAGCGTCTGATTAATGAGACTAGTGTACCACCAGCATGGGATAAAATTATCTTGACATTAGGGAATTGTTGGAGGCGCCGGTGGAGAATCAAATCCATGGCTGTGCGGCCTGTTTCATGGGGCCAATCAAATGCTGGCATTGGCAATTTGTCATTGAAGAGGTTATTGTTTCTATTATTGATGGGGTGGACGAAGACGACGGCTTGACGAGCGTTGAGCTCCTCCCACACAGGCAAATAGTCTGGATGGCCAAGATACCCGTCACCAGTTTTGGTATCATAGCGAGTGAAGAGTGTTACGCCGTCTGCATGTAGAGTATCGAAGGCATAGCTAATCTCGCGGAGAACAAGATCGGTATGTTGGAGCGAGGGTACTGTGGCAAAAAAGCCGTATGCGTGAGGGTTTGTATCACGCAGAGACGCGCAGTACTCGTTCATTGAGCGTGCAACAACGGCACTTTCTTCTGGGTCGGAGATATAGGACACGCCTGGAGTGCTGACGGAAAAGATGCTGGTATGAACATTGATGGAATCACTGAAGGTTTTGTCGCCTGAAACTGTCCATTCTGGGACCTTCATACCCTTCAAACCATGGCCGACACCTTCCACTATTGTTAACTTTATATCCAAACATATTCCAAGGGAGAAACTTACCAACCAGCTGAGGGGGAATAATGTGGTGATGAACATCGACCTTTGAAATACCTGTCATTTTGAAGTTGAGAAACAGGCGAGTTGTTTTTTGTATGTTTTGGGCTTGAGACTGAGAATGTTGGATCAAGTGACTGAACTCTTGTACACTTTTGAAAGATATGATACGTTTGGGAAAATGTTATATAGTACCGGTATTGAGTTACTGATGTTATCTCCGAATCTTTCAAGGATGTAAAAAGGGTTGGGAAAATGCTGTGTGAATTGAATGGTATAGCTTTAAACTTTTGAGCGACCAGGACGGTCTTATATACCTCTCGAGAGAAACTCTAGTCTACTATAATACCTATTGAAGCATGTATGTGAAGGATGTCGGGGAACGGTTCCGGCCTCGCGGAACACCCGGCCAATCAATTGCTCCCCTCGCCATGACTGTTTTCCAACGTCACTTGGAACTGCCCCACATCAACAACCTCTCCACGGGGGGAATGGTCCCCGGATGTCGTCCATTATTCACAATTAATCATAATGTCGCTCGGATCATTGGGTATAGTGACGCCGGGTAATGAAAAAGATTCTACCCAACCATTCAAGCGTCGTAAGGTTGCTGAGTCTTGTAAGTTGTGCAGGGCCAAGAAGAGTCGCTGCGATGGCCAGCGCCCCTCCTGCTCACCGTGTATGGCAAAAGAGCTGGCGTGTGAGTACGACCAAAGAGTCTCGACTTTCCCGGCAACTGCTGGCACCCTGTTAGATATCGAGGCACGTTTGAGAAAGCTAGAGCAGCAAGCAGCTGCGACACAACCACTTCTTCTGAACTCCTCCAACCCTATCACCAAAGACCTAGATCCTCCCAATCCCGTTATCAGAATCCCAGATACTGAATCTGAAGGCGAATTGCCTTTTACGGACCATCCAACGACGCAATTTATTCGAGATATCACGCAAATGGCAGACCAGTCCGCAACCCAACAGCCGCAAGGTTCACTGTGCAGCAAGACGGATACAGCAATGCCTATTGAGACCGACAAATCATCTATGGTAGTCCCCAAAAGGGCCACAGCTGATGAGTTACTCAACTGTTACGAAAAATATGTTTATCCTCTTTTTCCCATACTACATATGCCAACATTCCGAGCAAGCTATGAGCGTCTTTGGCAACCACATAGGCAGGGTCAGAGTCTGTATGATAATTTGGCTGAGGAAGCGACCTTTTGTGCAACTATCAACATTGTGTTTGCCTTGGGATGCCTCAACAATTCAAGTGTTGAGCCACCGCTCAAATTGCGAACAGCCGATACTTTCTACCGCCGAGCCCGCGCGCTTTTACCACTGGACGCTTTAGACATTCCCACCTTGGAGGTAGTGCAATGCCTCTTGTTGACGACGAACTACCTAAGTTTTACAAAGTACTCGAATCGATGCTATAATACGCTAGCCGTGGCGATGCGGGTTGCTCAAACTCTGCGTTTGCATGTGGATGTCGAGTCCTCGTCAAACAATCAATTAAAACGAGAAATGAGTAGACGGGTCTGGTATCATTGCCTAACTCTAGAAAGGTGCGTATTTTGGGGCTTGACTTACGAATATGTGTGGAAACCGTCCTATTAACGTACTTCCAGACTACTATGTAGTCTCTTCGGACGAAAGACCATGATACAAACCAACAACAGCATGCCTCTTCCTTCAAACATCGACGATGAGTATCTTCTCTCAGATGGAACTGGAATGCAGCCTGTGGGGATCCCATCTCTCCTTGATGCTTTTATCGTAACGATCAAAGTCTTCGAAATAATCGAAGGCGCCCACAAAATAAACTATGCTTCGTTTACGCACAGTCGCCGTTTATCCGAGCTCACCGCCATTCTCCAGCTCAACGAGAAGATTGACCAGATTGAAGAGAGCTTACCAAAGCACTTGAAACATGACCAGTACTTAAATCAGCCCTTCACGCAGCGAGACCGATTGTTGAAACTTCAGGCTGTAGCTGTTATGACTAGGTATTTATTCTCAAGTTTCACTTCTTATAGTCAATATCCTCATATCTCCAGAATTCTCCACCTGCGCCTCATTCTGCTCAGACCCAACGTATTATTTGCCGCCCACCAGTCTCTGTTATCATACATACCTTCCCCCATCCCGTCCCGTACCGAAATCACCCTCTGCACCGAGCTATCCACAATGTGCATCCAAGCAGCGGTTTCGGCCATCAGCATATATCACACAGACTTAAGCTCCTCTTCACCTATTCTCAGCCCCAGTGCGGTATTTGTGACACTATCTGCTGCGACGGTTATTTTGGCTGCATCGTTAGTGCCTGAACTTGATGTAAGTTCTGAGGATGGGGATAATAAGTATCGGGATGCTATAGCAAAGGCGATGCAGGTGCTAGACGGTCATCGATGGGAAGTCGACGGGGCCGAGGGAGGAAAGAAGGAACTTGAGAGATTTAACAGGACTGTAAATGAAGCGAGAGCAAGAAAAGGGGGAAATGTTGGTCAGTTTATTACACTGTTTCAGAGCCTTTCGGATCCAAAGAAAATATCTAACGGCCTCCTCACCCAAATAGTCAACCCAAACCAGGCTCTTAACATCGCCTCGTCATATCTAAATGAAGACAGATCGGGGCAGCTGCTTTTATCTTCTGGAACGGAGTACCCCTATTCCATTAACGAGCTAAATTTCGATTTCAGTGATCCCTTTTGGAATTTTGAAGGCTTGAACTTTGATTATTCTTTTAGGATGTAGTATAACTATAAGTACAACCACAGCCATATTAATCGCTTGAGGGTGATATAAACGCTGTGCAAAATTATAAGCAACTCTTGAGGGTAGTGGAAATGGCAATCGCCTGGAGGGCTGATGCACACGTACTTTACTTTCGTTCTAGTCTACCTATCAATTGCCATCTTATTATCTAACAATTCATAGTAGCGATCTAAGCCATTTAGCCTACGTACTAATCATGAATGAAGGCGCCTCGGTTCTCGTACTTAGGTTGATATTGGTGGTTTTAGATAGTGGCTTGAAAGGGTGGCTTACAGCTGAAATTAAGTTAGCTGAGAACATAGGTCTTTATTAAGTCTATAGAGACTTATTGAGCTCTAAGCAGAATACCTATCTTCCTTTCCAGAATCTTACACTCAGCAGCAGAACTACCCATATTATAATCTTACAATGGCGGCCCCACCGTCTATCACCCTTGATAACTTGAGTGGAAAATGGACTCTGGTAAGCCTTAATGTTCATCTTATGCTTTTTGCTAACTCCCGAAGAGAAAATGCCTCTCAGATAACGTTGACCCGATTTTCGAGATCCAAGGTGCCACATGGATCGTCCGGAAGGCCATCGGTCTCGGAACTCCAGAACATTACATCAAGCAATGCACGTCTCCACCTCCCAATGCCGATGCTCCTCCTATTGTTTCTCATTTTGGTGTCAAAGAAAGGTTCCATGATGCTGGTAAAGACGGATTAGAGCACATTGACACCGCGAATAAAGTCGCTGGTATCAATGGATCGACTGAGATGCGCATTCTTGATGGACAATTGTTTTGATAACGAGGATCATGTTTATGGGCTGTACACTGGTGCAACCCAGTGGGCCAGAATTGAGGAAATGAATGTCGAATGGATCAAGGAAGGCTGGTTGGACGAGGTATAAGAAGGTAAAGGTGTTATCTGAGATATTTTTAAGGGCCGTGGTAAGTAGACATGGGACGTTGACATGGTATGGGGTTTTTCTAGGATAAATGGGGAGCGGAGGAAACTCAAAAAATGCGTTGCTAAAAGCCCAGAGAAGACGGCCATGCTAGGCATGTATATGACTATGTTGGATCAGAGTGAAGATTCTATATATAGGCCGGGTGGCCCTGAAAAGAATCTCATTCATCCTTTTTTGTATTTTTCGTCAGGTTCAGAATTCATGATGTTGTAACTATTTATTCTCCGTAATATAGCTCTACTAGGACAGAGTAAACTTGAGGAGGCAGGTCTGATCTTTAGGCCGCGAGGCGATAATTTGGTCATCGATAGACATGTCTCCTTTCATCTCCAGTGCTACACTTGTCGTAAACTTTGAATATATCTCTTTCAAAAGTGTTTTCATCTCAATCATGGCCAGACTAGGATAATTAGCAATCTTTCCCTCACTTTAATATAGATGAACACCTACTGCCTCCCAATGCATCCCCTTCCGCCTGCAGCAAATGAGAAGAACATCCTATTTCTCTCCACCAATCCCTTCTCTTCTATCCACCTCTCCGGGTTGTATTTTTCGGGGTCTGGAAAGAGACTCTCGTCAAGTCTATGCATCGAGAAAGCCTGACAGCTAACAATTGACCCGCCTGGGATGTTATAACCACTGATAAACCGTCCACCTTGCGGCACACATCTTGGTAGACTCATGGGTATTGGAGGAAACAATCTTAAACCTTCCTTGATGACAGCATCTAGATATGGCAGCGTATCCAGCCTCGCGTTGGGATTTTGAATGAACTCTTCACGAAGACGCTGCTGAACATGCTGAGACCGAGGCTGGGAAAGTTCGTACATTAGAAAGCATAGCCCATCTCCGGTAGTGTCAATTCCGGCAGACATGTGGTCCATGCATTCAGCTGCCATTTGAATGTTCTGCAGAGTATCTGACCTGCTTTGCAATCTAGAGATGAGAGTCACCTCACTGGGAGTTATTTGCTGGCTTTGCTCCAAAACATAATCTTTGGAGACGGCAGCGTTTCTCCCCCTAATATTGAACATGAGTGCCGAAAGAGTTGGTGAATAGTGTTCAAGCCATCGTTCTAAATTTTGTAAGCAACCGAAGTCTCATAAACGAAATTACCACCTACGCTTTAAGTTGTTGTTGTAAGTGAGCTCTTGTATCAGAACCATATCATCAGGATTATTCAAAGTGTTTGTTCCCATGGGACTAAACAGAAAGTGGGATGCACAATCCAGAGCATAGCAATGTAGAGTCACCTATGCTTCGGTTAGTGAGTACGTCAAAAGTGGTGAGGCCTGGAGCTCACATAAACGTCAAGATATCCATCCATAGATTCTTTACATTTGCTAATTACGCTCTCCGCACGTGCTTCAATGCCTTTAATAATATCAGGACGAACAATATTTGTCATTGCGTATTTGTCTGCAAACAACTTCTTACGTTGCGCATGCTTAAAATTTTAGTGACGAACCTGTATCATACAAATAAGTGAAACTTACGTCCTGTTTCTTCAACGTCGAGAACATAGTTCTGTAATCGAATTGCTTGAATAAATCATAAAACTCCGTCTTGTCATACCCGCTCCCACCACTTTGGTAGATCTCTTTCATGCCCTCGGAATTGGCAAATGAGCACTCGTTTGGGGCAAGTCGAACAACAGGCCCATAACATTGATGGAGACCATGAATCCAAGCACGACGGGATCCGGAAAATTCGTGGTACTTGAGTACGAGACTTGTGATATTGGCGTACCATGGCCCAGGCACCTTCGTCATAAACACTCGGACGGTGGTGAAAACAGTGTACAACACCCAAAGAAACGGGACAATAAGGATAACAGCCATTGCAGTTAAGATTGAGGATCGGCTTCAAAATACTCCAAGTATCTTGAGTGAATCAATGAAAGGTCCTGAGTCTTGCTACCGTCGGAGACATTTATGATTGAAGCAGTCAGAGCGCTTCGCCGAAAGCGGTAAGTGGAGGAGATATTTTATCTTTCGTCCACAGAGCAATTCCAGGACATTTCTTTTGTGGTTTGTCCCAAGTCAGCTTCCACTAAGCCTATTACGGAAGAACTTCCCCACCACAGAACTTCTAGCAATTATTCAGCTCACAATACTACTGTGCATTACCTAATTAAACAAAAAAGATAAAGTATATTTATTAAAGATACATTAATCAGTCTAATTATATAAGAATTTTAGTGTCTTTCTAATCTTGAACGAATTTTAGGGGTTTTACCTTCGGTCGGCGGAATATATCTTAGTCGAAGCAGTCACAATAACACGTTACGCAGGCAATATTCTAACGCGCAGCTTATTATAAAACTTGTTACATATATATGTGTGTATAAGAAGCTATTGTTCAACAAGTTATATTTCTAAATTTGATTTAAACCCCAAATCCCAGCGTACTTGCATTTTCAAGGTCTAGTCTTTATTCCCAGATCCCTTACCGGCATTGTAATAGAAGTTGATTTAGATAGAACGGTAAGTCGGTATACCTTATGCTATAAGATTCGAAGCGCAATATACATTTCAGGCAATTTACGAGACGTGAAGATTTCGGTAATAAGTAGTTGTTAAGATCTACGATAAGCTAGTGTTGTGGAGCTGCCACCCCACCTTTGCTTTGCTTCAACTACCGTAAACTACATCGGGTATGTCGAGGAGATGTGAAGGTAGGTTATCCATGTATCAAGCCCCATTCCAATAACACGCTTTACCTCGCGCGCTTTGCAATATGAATGTTATCTCTGCTATCAACGGCGATGAGCTCGAGGGAAGCATTAAATAGATGGCAGGATGTCGATAATGATTGCCATAAGTTGAGCTTAAGATCTTCATTTCAGAATATATTCTACATATGTGGTGGGTGTTATAGCCAAATTTTCAACCCTTTCCTACCCCATCGTTGCATTTGAGCTATCCATAATGGGTCTCCCAGAAGCTCCCGAAAGCAAAGACGGCGAAATCGCGACGACAATATTGAAATCTGATGAGACACTTGAAAATGGGTTTTGCGCCAATGTTAGACTTGATCCAGATGGTCAACCTCTCTTTCCAATTCCTACCAGCGATGAAATGGACCCGTTGAATTGGAGTGCCTTCCGGAAATATATTTGTATTGGCATTGTAGTCTATAGTTATTTCATGTTGACGTACTTCACGACTGCTCCGATTCCCTCATTCGCCTTCCTTGAGGAGCAGCTCAACATCACTTACTCGCAGGTATCCTGGACATTTGCAATCCCATGCCTTGGTCTTGCTGTCGGGCCACTTCTAGTAGGCGCATTAGCAGACACATATGGAAGGCGACCGGTACTGATAGTGAGCACGGCTTTGGCTGTCGTTGCCAGCGGGTGTACTTCTATCAAGACGATCAATTTTGGAGGTTACATGGTGGCGAGATTCTTCCAAGGAGTTGGGGCAGGTCCATCTGCTAATATCGGACTGGTTATCATCAATGATGTATCTTGGCAGCATGAAAGGGGTAAGCGAGTTGGAATTTGGACGATTGCTGCCAATTGTGGAACCGTCATAGGAGGTGTCAGTAAGTCAAATATCTTTCAGCAACTCATTCTTGAACATTTCCTAACCTCAAGATAGTTGGTGGACTTCTGGCAACTTCAGGCGAATGGGTTGCTTATCACGTCACAATTCTTTTTGCAGTTCTCTTCCTCACACAGTGTTTCTTCCTACCGGAGACCCTATATCCACGGGAAGCAGTCATTCTTTCTGAAAGTGGACAGCTGCAGTCACGCCCTCTTGATATCCCTAAGACGCTACAACTTGGCTATCTGGTAAGTTTCCGACCTCCATAAGAAACCTTTAAGGCTAAAGTGTTTTTACAGAATGTAAAGAAAGTTCCGGGTGTTCCACACCCGAAGCCATGGATGACCACTGTGCAATTTATTCGCCTTTTCAATTATCCTACAATTGTCATCAGTGTTATGTCGTATTGCTTCTTCCAATACTGGTGGTAAGGTTCAAGATTTATTATATACAGGCACTGCTAACATTTCTCAAGGGTTACCAGTGTTACGAGTCTCGTTCCTGATGCGTATGCTACTGATGCACCAAACATCCAAGGTGCTAAGCTAGTCGGACTTCTTGTTGGCCTTCTAGCAGCTGAAGTCTTATGCTCCGGAGCTCTTAGCGATAAGATTATGGTGATATTAACACGAAAGAATAATGGCAAAAGAGTTCCAGAGATGAGGCTTTATCTAGGGTTTCCAGCTGCTATCATTTCTTCGATCGGATTGGTCCTTTGGGGCTTATCTGTGGATGGCAATTGGCATTGGATGACTGGACAGGTTGCCTTCTTTCTCTGTAAGTCATCACGAAAGCTTGACACGATATTTAAGCTTACTTTATGGGTGTCAGATGCACTGGGACTTCAAATGGGGAACACTATACTATCGGCATATATTGTGGATAACTATCCTGAATACGCTAATGAGGTCATCACTTTCTACTCCGTGATCATCAATGTAAGCTTAACTTATATCAATTATCATCATGTGCTAATATGCAGCTGTAGATGTCAGCGTTCATCAATCCATGGTTTATCTTCTACTGGATTGAAGCTTCAGGTAAGTTCGTCCTTCTTTATTCCGAACCTGTCGTCATCTAACTACTGCATAGGATATACCTGGACCTTCGCCGCTCAATGTATTATTTGTACCTTTGGCGTCATTCCTGCCTATATGATTTTGCAAAGGTTTGGGCCTAGGCTGCGTAAGCCAATGTATATCAAGCATCTTGAGGGCTTTTAGGTACCGATTGAAATTTGGCTATCATAGGTGTGGGTCAACAAGGCTTCCCAACGCATATATTTGATCGTACATGGTGGGAAAATGTCTGAATTTGTTTGGGCGACCTTTTGATTAGCTACAATTAATAGACGTCTTATATCTTCACTCTCGGAATATTTGCGACTTCTTGTTAAGTGGCTAACTCGTCTCCAATAGATACCTGAGTTAATATTGGGTCACCGCCCAATTAGAAGTCTAGTTCCCTTTAAAGCACCGGGCCCGCACCTTTTCCGCTCTCTTTTCCGCACCTGCTCCATTATTTGCCGTGATGACGGCAATTTGATCCGTAGACTAGACTTTTTTCTTCCAAATCCCATCATCACGCTACGGAGTAATGAGACAGTTACTCCTCCCCCTTTAGACCCTTCACATCCCACCCTGTTCTAATTTATCGAATCTTGGTAGGTCATGGTGCCACATTTCAATGGCTCGATCACATCATGGATGCACACGTTGTAAGCGGCGACGTCAAAAATGCAACGAAGCCAAACCCACCTGTACCCGTTGTCAAGACGCTGGCAAAACTTGTGAATATACAATAACCCTGAAATGGGAAGGCCGCGTACCGCGTCGAGATGGGGCTCAATGTATTCGAAAAAAGAACAGTAGGATTCGTGCAAATGTTTTTGTAGAACAATACTAATCATTCTCAGATCCATCCCCCACTATTGCCAATACTATATCAACGGTCTCTGTATCAACAGCTCCTTCATATAATCTAGACACCGGAAACAACCCAGCTCTAGGCCTTATATCGCCTTTGTCACCAAATACAAGAATGCTACTCCATCATTTCGCTACTCAGGCTTCAATGGTCAATTGTCATTCCCATGTGCAAGAGCAATCTTGTGGCCGCATTCTACCAATGTCCCTACAGATTCCCTCTCTGATGTACGCCACTATGGCACTGTCCTCTCTTCACCGCATGTCACTCCTCACGCATCCTCCAAAGCACTATTTTCTCGAGGCAGAGGTGATGAATCTTATACTCGCAAGTCTCCGACATCTTCGACAAGAACTTAAGAGTAATAATGCTCACACATCACACGCTTCACTTGACACCATTCGGAGTCTTTGTGTCTGCGAAATATATTCTGGTAAAGCTGATAAGTCATGGAGAATCCATGCTGAAGGCGCCAAGGCTCTTATTGAGTCCCTCAAAGAGGCACCTAGTGGCTTGGTTCCTGAATCTATACATTGGCTCACAGCGAGGTGGTACTCTTCCGTGGAGTCTCTGGCAGCTATAACTTATCATGGGCTTTCCACTGGCCAAGTGGAACTTGGACCTCGAGCACTTATTAGCAACGTCAAGAGCTATGTACTTGATATTTACACAGGTTACTCTTCGGATCTTGATATGGCATTCAAGGAGATTGGAGCTGCATCGTGGGAGAGGCGACGGTTGGAGAGTGACAGAGACAGCTGGTCCTCGATCTCGGAAACTGATCTTGCAAGTGAGGCAGATTGGCTTGAACAATCTGTCTATGCAATGATTTCTCGTGACTTGCAGAGTGGATTGACGCTGCCAGCTCATGTTAAATTGAGTACCCGAGAGATTAGGCAGTTTGAGGCGTGCAATGAAGCATACCAATATGTGGCATTGATACATATCTACAGGAGAGTTCGTAGGTTACCTTCGGCTTCACCAGAAGTCCAGAAGTGTACCAAAGCAATCCTGCAGGCCGTCTCTAAAATTTTACCCATCGAGAAACTGTCTCCATGGGTTCTTTTAACAACTCCTCTATTTACAGCTGGGTAAGTTCCGTTGTCTCTTAATATTCGTATTTCCCTGAACACACTTTCAAACAAAAAGTATCCATCGTAGTAACAGATAGTTTTATTAGTTGCGAAGCAATTGGTGTCGACAGAGTGCTGGTGAGAGACTTACTTTTGTCTCTATACGCTGAACTAAGAATACGTAATATTCACCGTGCGATTGACATTCTCGAAGACCGATGGTCAAAAAGTGAAATCAATGAAATTGAAGGTATGAACAAACCCTAATCGTTTTGCGTAAACCTTTACTGACCTGCGCTAGATAACGAAGATATGCTGGATTTTATCCCGTATTGATTCAAACCAAGCTACTCCCAAAATAGTATGCGGAGGAGACGCTAAGTCTAAGCTAAGCCCTTACGAGCAACATGCACGTGGCCAAACTAGACGAACATATAAAGATGAAGCTCGACCAGATTTCGGAGTGTCACTAAGAACACAAACACCAACCATGTCTGCACGCGCATCAACACGGATCAGTATAGCTTGGCCCCCAGCCGCCCCATCGGAGCCTACTGACACCCTCGTTCTGGGGGTCGGAGGGTGGTATGTTGATTTGCGGATCACGAAGTCAGATCTGAGTATCGATTGGGCAATGGCAGGGGAAAGACTGACCGTTCCCGAAAACCCTGGTGAGTTTAGGGAATTTTTTTGCTTCAGATCAATGAATAGATTACGAACTATGATCTAAGCCCACGTGATCATGAAACATCTGGAATTCTGTCTGACATCTATCCCAGGAACGATTCGATTCTCGCATCATATCGACTCCCGAGGCTTCTACGGTATTGACAAAGGAGATTTCAGCACGCTTCCAAATGGAGATGATCTAGAAGTGGGCACAATGCCGGCTCCACATCTGGATGGCAAGGTTGCTCCATACGAAGAGGTTTGGCGGGAGTATGCCATGCCAGCTTCCGGAACAACGTCTTGGATTCTTCGGAGTTCCGATAAGAAGACATTTGTAGGGAAGATTGGAGGTTACTACATCGCGCTGGGTGAACGAGAGGTCGGAGGTTTCGCTGCATTGAGGGAGGAAATTGATAGAGATACAAAGAGTTGGTCGGTGAAATACAAGGTGGGTCCGTTTGAGACCTTACCTTCCATGGAAGCAAATCAGCGGTTATTTGAGAAGGAAGGAAGTTGGAAGCTAGGAGATGTTATGTCTGCCGGTGGTCAGAAGTTTCAAGTACAAGCGATTGAAGTACATCATACTCAGTCAGAGAGTAAATCCAAGATATAATAAAGGAGAACTCTCTTACAATGGACAACAATATCGTGTATACATGCACAGGGAAACCCCAAGTAAAAACACGAGTTGAAAAGTGATCGAGATATTGAATCATCTCCAATATCTCTCTGTAACAAGTTTCAGGTTCTCTTCAGAAAATTTCGTCACGCCCCTATCCACTGCCCTAGTTCTAGTCCGCATAGTTTTCTCCAACTCTCCAGTCTTAAGATTCTTCCCCTCAAATTCGTACTGCTCTTTCTTCACCATCGTTCCTTCTACCGCCCACCTCGGTACGGCATCCCTAAACACAACCATTTTCTCCGTTTCCATCCTGCGAAGCACGTCTTTGGTATTCAAGCCATGGAGTTCACTAGTTGTGAAAAGCGTACGAGCAAACGCATTAACACTATTCCGTATAGCATCTCCACGACATCGCCACAAAACACAGTTTAGTGCCTCTTCGCTAGTTGGAACGGTAAATAACCTCGCATCAAAATGAGCAGTTCCCAGAACCTCAGTGTTTAAAATAGCAGGTTCTGGGGAAGCTCGTATGGCAGCAGCAAGGTGGAGATTGAACCTTACACTGGTGAAAGATGCTGCAAGACTGCATAATTTCTGTATGCGGTCGTTGAAACTCTGAACACCAGTGGGGAGCACCAGAGTTATCTCGTCAGATTGGGTATATGCAAGAGTTGCCGCTGGAAAGTGATTCAGAAGATCAGAGCAGGTAGCTGACATTGCCTCGTGAATGCGTTGGTCAAAGGGCCTTGCGAAGTTTGAAGTGAACTTTGAGAAGCCGTGGCCATCGAGTCGAAGCACTGTTGGAGTTGCGGGGCCAAGTTTGAACTCGTATAATTCCTCATATGACTTCATTCGGTCACCGAGTGATTGGTGAGCAGTGTCGCTAGGGTTTTCCATTATGAAAGTATTATTGGAATGGAAGATGAGGCATACAAGATGAGGTATATAAGTGACTTGGATGAGTCATCTGCTAGATATAGAGGCCTAAGGCTAAATTATGGTGGCAATTGGGTACTACATACCTATGACTCAGGGGGCTGAAGGCCTGAAGACTGGACTCAGGGGATTATTGAGTGAGAAAATGCTAGCACACTTATCGAAAATCATGCACACGGGTAAAAGTGGAAAACTATGCAGAAGCTAAAGCGAACAATATCAATTGTATTAAGTTACGTGTTATATTTAGAGTGAAGTATTATTATCTTAGACTAAAATTCAATTCCTAGACACTCAAATACGCTATGAACGGCTAGAATCAAAGTCTTGACTCGTTGGCCTCCACCAGATATCCAATAATAGCAATCCCTTCATCTTTGAATCGCGTATAGGCGTTCTACTATTGGGTTTATGGCACGGCAAATTTTCATGTTTGCAAACTTTCTCGTCGAGCATAGAGCATAGTACAGCTCTATCGACATCAGGTGCCCATCACGCCTCATCTGGGTGTTCAAGGTATCTATGAGACATTCTGCTAAGCCACTTCCCATTCCCGAAGTACATGCCAACCTCTCCAGAGTGATCCTTCATTCTCTCAGCCAAGATATCCTCCAGCATGAAAGGGGCTACAAGGAGCGTATTTGGGCCCATCAGCTTGAAGGCATCTGGACCTTCCACAGCACTGATACCGCGGTTTTCGAACGCGGCGCGCCATTCGAAAGTCATATCCGGATCCTGGGCTACGACGTTGTTTAATAAGCTTGGATTAGCAGCACCAAGCTCAGTGAGAGTCTGTAGAAGTACCACGAACTGCTGGACATCTGAAGGATGCTTAGGGCTGTCATGTTGGCCGCCAATTGCTAAGCAAACCACATTCGAAATTGGGCTTTCTTTTCGGTCCGAGATGATACGGGCTAGGATGTCTGATAGCTCTTGCTTATACTTAGTTGCTAACCAGAGATTTCGAAAGGAACTAATTTGTTGTTCTATGGCCATGGTAATGAAACTCTGCGTAGATAATTCCAATAACTTGTATGTAGTTATGTTTAGTTAACTGCAGTTAATTGTATTTATGCGTGGTTATGCTTGGTTTTGTGTAGACTGTAGTTATACTTGAGTATGTACTTATATATATATCTATATAACAGATAAATAATTGAATAAAAAGTTTGTTCAACCTTATTATTTTCCAACAAAGGAAAAACGAAGACATAATCATATTGCAACTAAATGGTTAAAGACCCATTGTTCGAATATAGCTGGTGAACAATACCATTGTTCTTAGATACAAACCTAATTTACCAAATAACACTACCTCAACCATGGACATGTAGTAAAAATCTCCTAAAGTATGCTTCTAACAACTAGGTGCTAAAGAATAATGCCCGACGAAGATTGCTTCATGAGGATAATTGGGACGAGAAAAGCGAGACGATCAACATTAGACAAACTCTCAACACCAATTGCCCGAAACATGATATATTACATTCTATCTCTAGATTAGAAAAAACTTAAGTCTCCTAACATTTCCGAGTAGCACATAGAATCAAGGCTAGCAGAAGCAAATAACAAAATACTTGTAGACTTATTTATTCGAATAGCCGTACGAAATAGAAAAGACCAGACGGGAGGATCGCATCTGCACTCCTTGATATGAACATGATGGAAGTTGGCTTGTACACAGTGAACTCGAGAATAGCAACACTCATGATAGCTCCTGATGATTTCATATGCAATAACAAAACAAGGAAAGGAGAAGCTGACTCAAGGAAGCCTTCAACATTAGGCAGAGCCTTGGTTAGTGCAAACTCCAACGCAGGCAGTCCTCTCACACGATGCACTTAAAGAGACAACGCCGCACGAAAGGGAAAACGCAGCGCATCCCTCAGAGCGAGTGCAGAACACTATTGCTAGCCGGATATCGAGAGTCAAAGACACAGAATCAAGACGCTAGGTTCCCCGCTATCCTCCAACTTGGTCGGACGGCGATTAAATCAAATATATGGTGATTACATTATTATTATACCCATTATGATCTAACCCTACCCTCATCTTCACAGCCCAGCCAACCTCCTCATCCCAACATTTGTAACCGTCCTCCCCTCCCCCTCCACTCCCTTCCCCTCCAACGGCGCCCCATCCCCCATCGCCAACTCCGTCAACACCCTCCCCAAATCCCTCGTCGGACTAACCATCGCGGAATACACTGTCCTCAGCACCGGCAGAATCAGCCCCCCAAAACCCTCAATCCCAGTTCTCTGCGGATAGAACCCCGCGATCTCCTCATGATGTGTAGGATCCACGCCGCCGGGCCTTAAACTAATCGCTCTAAGGTTCGAGCCCGCTTCCTTGGAAAGCGCGAGGAGATCCGCTTCGGTACGGCCTTTGGTTACGCCGAAGATGGGCGTGAAGCGCCCGGGGGAGGTGGTGGCGCCTTCGCCGGATACGTAGATGAAGGTTACGGGCTTGGGGGCGGTGGAGGCGGCGAGGGCGCGCGCGAATAGGAGGGGGTATGTGTTTGTGATTTCTACATATTCTCTGTTGCGTTTCTCAAACGATATTATCAGTCACCGACTCTTAACAATACAAACAAGCATGGTTTGTATATAGATGAGAAGAAGAAGGGCAGAGGGGGGTTGTGCAAGGACTGACTAACTCTTTCCCAACCTTGGTCTGACTTATGCCCTGCGCCCAAACGCATCCATCCGCATCGCGCAACTGCTGCATAAGCTCGCTCGGGTACTTCGTGTAGTCTTTATGGATTATAACGTGTGCTTTGGCGTGGCCTTCTGCCATTGGGACGGGCCTGCGAGAGAGGATGGAGATTTTGGAGACGCTGGGGGTTGTGAGCATGGCGTGTAAGACCCCGCTGCCGACGAGTCCGGTTGCGCCGGTGAGGATGAGATGCATTTTGCACTTGTGAAGAGATTGAGCTTAGGATGATAAGGACTGTGAGTAAGGAGAAGGGGGAGGGGAAGTTTATGAAGGTGTTTATATGTACAGTGGGTAGTTGGGCTGACAGTTCTAAGGCTGCAGTATATGCAAGGCTGAAGCTGCACGGTCAAAGCGGCCGCTCAACTAGGGGACGGAATTAAAACTCCGCACCAATAAAATCATCCGTTTCCCATGGAGATTCGGCATTATCGTCGAACTGTCAGCAGGTTGCAGCTTACAACTTACATGGATTCGTAAGACTTACATCAAAGAGAAAGAAAGACTTACGTGAGGCCTTCAAGTATAAAGCATTTTCCTCTTGTTCGTCAGGGCGTGGAAGCCTTGGAAGTCATCAGTCTCAAGCAATGATGCATTCCCGCTGCATTTACGTCCACTTGCAATCAATCCCTAATCTCGTCTCCAATAGTACTACATGCTGGACCAAAAATAACCCAAAGCAGCCCCAGAACAAAACAAACGTCCCAGAATGCCTCAAATCGAAGTATTCCTGTGTACATTATCTAGGTAGTGTTATCCATCTAACCCAGATCTAAGTTTCGTTTCCAATCAACCCTCGCGGTCGAGATCCCATCAGGTCCTACCCCTCTCGTTATTGAAACAAGCTATATGTACACCATACCAGCCACGCATGTTTTACAAATTTACAAAAGCCGTGAACTCTAAGTAAAATGTACATGGTAAACATGGAAGGTCGTCCTAAATCAAGCTTTCGTCGGTAATCTGAAACCCAAGATGCAAGATATTAAGTAAGCACCGTTTCTGTGACGTGCTCGCGGGGAACATTAGGAGGAAATTGGGACCCTGATCGGGGAACCAAGGTTAAGCTGAGGGGAATGAAACATATATTGAGATGGGGTTGATTGATATAGGTTGATAGGGAAATATTCCTGAGTCATGCTTACGTTTATGCGGGGAGAGAGGAAACTAGCTCCCGCGGGATGAATCTAAATCTACATATGGGACTAGGGGCCCTGGTCCTGGCTTGAGTCGGTTGTATCAAACAATATTCATTTCACTCCTGCGAGCAAGTCGGGCAACCACGGGGCGGAGGGGGGATTGGAGCTTGAGAGGATATGACATACATAGACACATAATGCTATCCTCGGAAAAGGTAAGGTGCTGTGCTGTCGAATCATTACTGTGCATTTTGATATTTGGCCTTGCAGTACTATACTACGCCATTTGGGCTCCTTAATACCTTGGCAGATAGTTCTGTTTTCATGTCTTCCATGAATTTGACCCAAGTCAATGCCATGCAACGCCAGACCGATGCTTGACTTCAACAGCTCTATAACCCCAAATCCTTCTCCACCAATCCCCTGCAAATCGGATGATAGAATTCCTTATTCTTCTCAAACGTCTCCAGCGCCAACTTCCGATCCACCTTCTCCAGTTTCCGATACAGAGGCCTCACAAACTTCATCCTGCCCACCTTGCCCAACAGCTCCGTCGTAGGCTTATACACACTTTCGTCTTTGGCCGTTAAGCCGATGCCTAGGTATCGCGAGCTAAGCTCGACGTTGCGGGTGTTGGTGAGTGAGTAGGTTTTGCCCATGGCTTTCGATTGCGCTGGTGCGAGCGGCTCTTTGAATAGTTGAACTTTTTCGAGGAAGACGACGATCTGATTTGCAGACAGACCTTCGATGTCTGACTTGCTTGGCGTGTAGTCCTTGGACTCCCACTTATCTGCCAAGGCGTAGCACGTGTCGACCATGCTGGTGTCAAAGTCTGGCTTCGGTGGCATGCCGGGCTTGTAGAACCAAGTATCCCAGTCTACCGATTCTAGAGCCTTGGATGCTTCTTTGTCGGAGGCGAAGAAGTCCAGGAGCGTGGCTTTGAAGTCATAGGAGTCGAGGGATTTCTTGAGCCAAGTTTTGAAGTAGTGGGGGATAAACGGGTCCCAGGATGATTTACCAATAAGTTTTTCGAGGTAGTAGAGGAAGTGAAAGCCCTATAGGAATTAGATGTGAGACTTGGCGCCAAGGAAGATTAAAATACCTTTTCATATGGGATGCTGCTGAAAGCATCGTCGGGATCTTTGCCTTTCAGATCAATCACCAGCTTAGTGAACTCGTGGTCCTCCCCAAAAATCTTCACAGAGTCCTCTGAAATATCATTAGCTTCAAATTCAATCTTTTAAGACATTATAAACTTACCTAAAGCCTTCCATCCAATAATTGCAGAAAAATCTCGATGAGACTCGCCATGAACAGCAGTTTGAATTCGTCGCTCTAGATACGTAGTCCAGCCTTCGTTCAACCAAAAGTGCTCCCAGCTGGCATTCGACACCAAGTTACCACTCCAACTATGACTCAACTCATGCGCGATAACATCAATATTCTCTCTATCTCCACTAACCACAGTGGGGGTCGCGAATGTGAACACGGGGTTCTCCATGCCTCCATAAGGAAACGAGGGAGGTAGAACCAATATGTTATATTGAGTCCAAGCATATGGGAAGATCAACTTCTCGGCCACTTGAATAAATTTCTCGGTGTCATCTTCAAATTCCCACTTTGCGTCTGAGAGTTCTTCCGGGCCAGTAGACACCACTGAACGAGGCCCAATGGAGGCAGTGGCTATGTCACCTGATGCCAGAGCAAAGAGGTAGGACGGCATTGGGATCTCTTGGTGGAAAGAGTACAACAAGGTACCAGACTCTCCATTCTCTCCATGTTCAAACTTGGCTGCTCCGGTCGGAAGACCACTTGCTATAACCGGAAGAGGAGAGCGGATCTTGAAATCATACGTGCTCTTGACATCTGGCGTATCCTGGCAGGGAAAGATTGAACGATTGTGGATAGCCTGGCATTGAGAGAACATGTATGGGAATTTCTTGTTGGAAGTCTGGGCCGGAGCAAACCATTGAAGTGCAGTGCACTTCTCCGTGGTTGCGAGACTAATGTTCAGCGAAACAATAGACCCCTTTGCGGCTCCGCCGGGCACCTCAACCGAGAGGGGGCTGCCATATGGCTCAGACCGAGCCTTGACCTCCCACGTGCTCTTGCCACCATTGAGACTGACATTCTGCACGTCGAGGAAACTGGTGTCAAGAATGATTTCCTGAGATTGCTTATCTGTAATAGATTCCAATTGCAGCGTAACTGTACCGGTAAGCCGTTGCTTCTTGAAGTCAATAGCAAGGTCAGCAATAGTATGCTTCGTCTTCCAGTCGTTGTAATTGCTCAGCGTATTCGGATCACGAGGCATGTTGAGGGAAGCTATGGTCCTGGCAAAGAATGATCTGGACCGTAATTGAGAAGGAATTCGACGTGCGGTTGACACAATTGCACCGGCGAATGAGAGCAAAACAGTCATCTACTAACTGCGAGCTTGGACGGGGCGGGTATGAGAGAAGCTGCAAATAGATGATGCGGGAGGGATCGTGTACGGCGTATAATTGTTGATTTACGGTACCGACCGCACCATGAGAGGTCTCAGAAGGGAGCTTCCGTATACAGCTAGCTCGCGCGAATAACCCACTATTTTTAGAAAATGCCCCTCACCACGTGACTTCATTCGTACATTCCCTCCTAGATTTCGAGACTCCTTTAACACCACGCTTGCTTCCCCTGACAAAATGGTTAGTAAGGGCTTAGTTGTCAATTTAACATTAAAAGTATAATACGGACGAACTAAAAAGAAATCCAGACTCTAACTTCAGCCACTTCAAATCCAGACCGCCTACCAATATTCAGCTAAAGAAACTTATCGAAAGATCCCAACTTTCACCCGAAAAGGGACTGATCTACCCCTGTGGAGATCTCTAGAAGCAAGTGAGACCGCCACTTCCCATGACAGTGGGACGTAATTTAATTTACGAAGGAAGTGACAGCCTCAAACCTCAGTCTTGCTCATCACTTCTAGAAGCGTTCTTTTTATGACGAAATACGCCAGACCATCCGTCTCGAGCCTCCACTCGTAGAAAAACGGTGATGATCCAGTATCATCAGCGCTGCAAAGGCCGTTCCCGTGTGGGTGGAAAGTTACACATGAAGGACCTTCGCTGATCACATCTTCTATTTTGCACCTCGTGTCTTCATCCTACGTACCGTGTGCTGTAGCAAAAGCAAAGATGGCTGTTTCGTTTCGACGACTCGATACACCTATCTTCGACGCCGCTAGAGCGCACACGAGCCGCTGCTGACTCGCATTTCCCCTTTTCCCATTCAATCCAATCCAGTCCGTCAATTAATCGCACACCCCTTTTGATTCGAGGTTCTGTCTTTCCGCCCACACATTGCATTCCTGTTCTTACAAAATTAAAATGTGGTTGGATTGGGGATTTCCCAGGCGGAAGGATCGCTTCACAGGTGCACACGAGTATCTGACGCAATTTTGCTGCAAGCACTTCCGGATTCTTCTACTGTACCTTAAAAATCATAGTACCGTACCTCCTCCGTTCTCCGTGGGATCCTCCTATAAGGTGTTGTGTGGTACCTTTTTGGTTCCTCCCCCGCTGACTACCCCGTACCACGAGGCACACGAAGCTTACAGTACCATGTATGCCATGTTTCTCTGCAGGCACCGGATCGTGTGTCTGTCTGTCCCCACCAACCCAGCCAGCCTCCTATTTTTCCGCAAGTAATCATTAACGTTAAAAAGAACTATCCTCGAAGATGCAGCTTCTCCCCCGAGGAGATATATCCGAAAGAAGCAAGTGAGAAACATACATCAGACGAATTTAGATCTCGATGCATTCAAGACGAAACCGAACCGAGGGAAACGAAGTAAGGTAAATTACTGTACCTATGTCATTATTCTCCGAGGAATAGAAAAACGTGGTAGAGTAAATAATAAAGAGGAGAGGTGCTGCCTGACCGATATCAGGACCGCATTCCCGGGGAAAATAATTAAATGCATGGCACCTGCCTAGGCTGCTCTACGAAGTTGCAACTCTGAAATCTGAGAGAGGGCGATGAAGACTTGAAATCCCCCTTTCTTTATTACAAATTGCTCGATCGTCATGTCAAGCTTTGACAAACTAATCTCTTCTTGGGCCCACGGTTGCAGAGCTTCCGTACTCCGTATCGTGCCGTACCGTTGCTCGAGCGTTTTGTTGCACGGTTCTCTTGTGCGAAGTATTTGCACCCTTGCATGGTTCCTCTCCCGCAAAGGATTTTATTCTCGAGGAACGAGATTGAGCTCGTGATACTCAGGCGTAAATTATCACACATCAACGCTTTTTTGTACCTGCAGTAATGTCATAAAGCGGAAATATTGCAGTTATGAGGCTTCGATGGATGTGACAATTCTGAAAGTTCCGAGTCATCACGATAACAGTTGATAAGCTCTTGGTTTCAAGTGCCTCATGGCACCCCAGTCCGCTGTCTCCAATGGTTAATCCCTGCTCCGGCCCGGAGGCACGTCAGACATGCCCCCCTAGGCTATATCGAGCAGCTGGTATAGGGCTATTTGTCAGGGGGTCTGACCGTCGCTAAAGTACAGTCTCTACAATGACCCGATTTATGAAAATCGTACGATGCGCACCAATGCATGCGTGCCAGTTGGAGAAAGATGCATGGTGCATCGCTATCACTTTATCTGACGAATTTCCAGAAGAGAAAAGATTGGCCACCAAAGTGAAGGTCAAAGAGTAGCAATGTACGAAGAATTCGGGTCTCTGGCTTCAAATTTCGTACCCGGGTTCCCATTGCAGTCAGCAGATCGTTATCCTACTTCGGACCTCAAATCTATAGAAATGCGCAGTTCGCTAAAAAAAAACAAAGGTTCCTCGATCTGCGGTACCCGGAGTCTTTCTCCGGAAAATTCGTCCTATAAACGTTTCGTTTATACAGACATAGGAATGCTTTGTTTTGTTTCGATATTTTCTGCTAGCGAAGAGGAACAGAACGCATTGTTCCTTCAAATCGGGGTTTTTGGTAGTGTTTGGAGGGGTAGGAATAGGTTCCTATTCTAAAGATCAAGGTCGCTGGAGTTCTGAAGCCTGCAGAGCCGTCGAGTTGAGTCTCTTGCATGACCATTCCTTAATATTTCGAAAAAAGGACATCGCCGTTTGCCGTGAAGCTCCTACCTCCTACCCTATTGGGTCTGGGGGCAATCTGCAATGCTGTCCAAGACGAGACACTAAATCACAAGAACATGTCCAAATCCAGGCTCTATGGCGCCCAGCTCATTTCCAAGTGATGAGTTTTTGTCTTACTGCAGACTACTGCAGTAGTGAACATTGATAAAGCTGGCTAAATACAATTCTTCTGAGAGGTATGAGATTATAGGAAATGGTAGGTACGAAGTACAGTAGCCAAGAACTGGCGATGCTATGCTATGCAAGGGGAACAGTGCGCACAGATCAAAAGCCGCATGAACTGTGCAGCAAACCGCAACCTGTAGAAAGCCGCAGAACGTGTCTCTTGCATGCAACGTCTTTTGGAAATCAATTTATATGCAAGATGGTGGAGTGAAAGACGGAGTATTCTTTGTTTGCATCTACTTCTACAGGTACCAAATACTCCGTACCAAGTAGAGTACGATGCAGCAACTCGGAGTAGATCAAAACTTTGAAACCACTCGACTTGTAAAGAGGGCTCTGCACGAAATCTCCCGCCCCGGTGCATCTTCGGCAGAGAAGATCTTGAACTTCAAAACTCTGACTTGCACCATTATAGCCTTGGTTTGTGATGTGATTTTGGGCTCGAATGCATAAAGAAGATAGGGTTGTAGTTGAGAAAGGTTGCCCCTCACCAAATGATCTGCCCCGCACTGCTTATCGCCACGTTGCCGGCATTTATTGCGAAGAACCGAAAAGCTTTCTTCAGCTAGTCTCCCCATTGCCTCAACCTGGGCATTAGTGCTTAAGCATCAACTAAGTGCGGAGGACTTAAACCAAGCCTCATGATCTCTTGAATCTTCGAAACAAGCTTTAGTAGCACTGGGTATAGTAGCCTGCCAGGCCTTTGCTCGGCAAGCTGTGGGTTTTGGTAGTTTGGCTTCGGGCCAAGATCATCGACATTTTTCCAGGGGGATTTCGGGTTTGATTCTCAAATCCTGAAAGACAGACCAGAGCTTGAGTTCGCTGAGCCTCGTGGGACACTGAAATAGGATGCTATCCGAGTCGGACATGCCTCAAAACCATCAATTGCATACGTTGTAGTGTGCAGTTCGTGCCTCCGCAAAATCCCCAGGCATTCGGTGTGCGTTCGAGATGGGAGGGAAGCGCAGCGCAGTTGCAACCACTTGACACAGCGTTTCGTTTTGAATCCTCGCTGCGTTTGTGATCTCCACCGGCGCCCATCCATCCGCATGGCATCTCGGAGATCGTTTGCAGCCGGACGAACGAGCGGCAAGCGGCGGAGTACTTCGTACTCATACCCGGGACAGTCCTTAGCCATGGAGGTGGTGATGTTGAAAGCGGAGGATCGATACGAGAATAGGAATAGGTTTTCTGTACCGGTGTCTGTACTGAGATGTACTGTGCCGGGATGAACTGTACTGTGCAGCCGGAACAATCTTGATACCATCGCAGTTACAGAATCCTCCCGCGGCTTACTCAACTTGATGCCTAGCTGCTTTGTGCACAGACTGTCACGGGAAAATGTCTGTAAAAGGCTTCTCTGCCCGTATATACCGAGTACTGTAGATTGAGAAGTGGATGGCATCTAGATTTCGCAGGAGGACATCTACGAAGTAGATTGCAAAATCTGCGACTAGATAGCGTCCACTTCTTAATCCATTCCTACGGGGTTGGTTCTTGAAAGAGAAGCGAAGTGCGCGCTGCTGTGCGAAAAGCTTGATTGCGAAAGACATTTCTTGAGATGGGGAACTTTTGAGGCTTGTTTTTACGCTCGACGTTGAAATCAAAGGCTCCTACTACAGGGGAGGGTACTACAACACTCTGTACTTGGGTACGTATTTACCTACCTGGGTATACTGTATGACTTGCTTAAGCGTCAAAGGCTCTGTTGGGGGATTTTAAGTTCAAGGAATTTAAGCATACTATGACCGCAATAACTACCCATATCCCCTGATATGAGACTTATATAAATTTGTGCCTCGATGCTGAGGATGGGGAGGACCGAGAAATCAGAGGATCAGGCCAGATTCATGCGACAAGAATTACCAAGGCAACATTGGAGAAAACTGGGAAGATCATCGATTTTGTCAAGTAATTTCAAGCACCAGAGTGCATCAGCAGTTTGGGGAGGATATTACAAAAGTCGGCACTTGGATGAAATTTGTTTGTAGTTTCGCTTCTATGGAGCTATATGATGTTATATATAACATATATAACATAATCTGTTTTGTTTTCTTGTTCATACGAGAACAATCTGTAACTAAGAGGGGCATCTAAGCAGGCCAACCTATCCCAGCCCCTTTCTCCGCGCACTACTGTTAGCCACTCCACTCAAAATTGCTTAACCCAAAATCAACGTCTGTGCAAAATGCTTACCTGACTCTCTCTGATTTTCATGATTCGTACTTTTCCTAGCCATTCATACCAATAAGCACGGAATTTGCGGGTATCTAGAAATCAATTGCATTATTATTCGTCAATTCGCACAAGTCTAGTGATAGCAGTGATAGGCACTGAACGAGGGCCTGACATGGGCCAGCAATTTTCAATGGCTCGAGTCCTGTCATGTACCCTCCAGTTCCTCATGCAGGAGCGAAGAACCAGCCTACCATCCGGGGCACGGTGCACTCATACCCTGCTTGATTTGGCTGGTCTCCGAGGGGCATGGACATGGGCAGGCCTAAGCGGTTTCATTCTAGACAGGCCTACATGCAGACCGTTGTGAGAATATCTTCGCCTAACTATGCCTGGGCAAACCTCCTCGCTCCTCGTGGTGTCTCAGAGAGACGGACGCCACAGCGTTCATGTTTCTTGCCAGGGTTCCTGCACCCGGCACCATCGTTGGAGCTTGGTGACTAGTGATCCTTACCGCATATTTTTCTTATGTGAACGAGGGGGTTTCTTAGTTGCTGATGGTTCGCCTACTCGATCCTGGGGTTGGTCCATGTGCTTGAATTCCCATGAGCTTCCATAAGTATATCCTCTCCGTCCATGACTTTAGCTTGAACATTCGTCCAGTGGATTGAGATCTCAGGTCAGATACCAAGTACCGGTGGATCTCTTCATTCTTCCTTCTAATACTTTCCTTGAGCTTGATCTTGCTTTGTCGTCTTGTTATATTTAGAGTTGTCCGTCAAGCAGGTATTCTTGACTACAATGGCTCACATCGCGGACTTTATGGTCGACACCGGCAACGCGTTGGGATTAAATAATTTTATCGCCCGAGAGTTGTCACCATCACCATCTCATGATTCAGTACGTTCCTCTACCCTGAAAAAGTTTCCCAGCCGACAGCTTGCTAAAAATCTTTAGCCTAAAGATATTACACCTTCAGATGACAAGGAGAAGTACATCTGGAGGATGCATCAACCATCTGAACCTCGCAAATATCAGTTATTCCCACAGAAGGACAAGACATCGGTAGCAGCGGGTCGAAGGAGTCCGGAAGGTCGAAAGAGTCCGGAATCAGACAAGACATCGATACCGTCACAATCAGCGGGGCAAAACGTAACTGTAGAGAAGGACCGATCGATACTTGGGAGTGCTCTAAGGTTGAAGGGAAAAGGAGAACAAAGTCTTATTCGTCGACGGAAAGTGTCTGTTCCAGAGCTGGGACCCATGACGACGGTGCAAGAAGTTGCCATGGATTCTCGTGAGTTCTCTTCAAAGGTACCTAATTATCACAAATTTTTCATCCTGACAAGCTTTACCAGCCACTATACCTGGCCGGCCACCACTCCATGAACGTTCGATCAGTGCACCTGGCAATAGCTGGCGTCAACATGTCTTTGGAGAGAGTATGCTATTATGTATATCCGGACCTGCACTGGACGAGAATGCAGAACTGGCTATATCGGATATTGGAAAGACTCAGGGTCGGCGGAACCGAGCTGATTCGTCCTCGCCAAAACCACGACCCCTCTCTCCCAGGTCACTAGCACCTCTCATTATCCCATCAACGTCTTCGCCTCAACCACAACAACGATTTATCAAGCAAATCTCAAATACGAGGCTTCGTTCAGAAAGCACCCCTCCTGAGGTTCCACCAAAATCCGCGCGGATGAAAGAGATATACTCCCATGGCCGAAGTTCTCCATTCACACCCATGTCTTCTACAACGAGTCTCTCTACAGCTCCAACATCCGTTTCCAACACACCGCTGTCAACCATCCCAAGTACAGGTAGCAATGCCACCACGCCAACAAGCTCAGCCCTAGAGGGGCGATCCTCACCGAAGCCATGGACCGGTCCTGTCATCGCGCCCAGTCCCATGGGTCACTCTCGAGGTCAGTCAGAGTCGACTCAACGATCAGCTTTTACAATGGGCCACCGAAGAGGGGAATCAGAAGCATCCATAATGGATCGAGGACGGCCCAAGAAGCGAGAAGACGGAAGCCCCCTCAAACGTAAATTGAGCAAACGCAGCGCCTCGATAGAACAACAAGCATTTGAGTTACTCCCGAGTGGCCACCGCCCTACCGATATACTATCCGCCCTACCTGCATCAGAAATCGAAACCATCCGCAAACAGGCAATGGGCCAAGCATCCCGCTTCGAGGTCCTGAACTCCAAGGACGTAGAGTCCCTCTCAAGAGTAAGTTCGGCCATCCGTTTCCTTTCCCTCCTTGTACTGACACACATCAGGAACTCCGCGGCCTTGATGAACGCTGCGAATATCTCCGCAAAACGCACCGCTCCCTACGCTCTGGCCGCCGCAATCTCCACGAGAGAATCTGCACCTACCTGCGCTCGCCGCGCGTCGCGCGCTTCTCGCACGAAAGCATGCTTAAGCAAGAAGAAGCGCTCTCGGAACTCGACACTAGTATCGACGACTGGGTATCCAAGCTCGAGCAAGCCGACAATCGTCGGACTCGAGTCAGGCAGAAGTTGCTAGAACATGTAGCTGCTGCGTTGATCATGCAATCCGAGCAACCACAACAACAACAAGCGGAAACCCAAGTTAGTGCTGTTGTTGCGAATGGAGAGAATACCCCGCCCAGAAGTCCGGTGAAGATGCATAGTCCAGAGAGGCTGGCGGAGGAAGTTGGCGTGAGCAGCCCGGAGAGTATCTGTTCGAGGAGGGGCGATGTGGAGAGTATTCGGATTTATGCGGATAGTGATGTATATGCGCTGCTCGCTGATGTCGAAGAGGAGATCAATCGCATGGGCGATCAGGTTGAATCCGACAAGAAAGAGCAACAACAGCAGCAGCAACAAGAAAATGCACTCGAAAACGAAAAAGAAAAGGAAATGGAAAAGGAAGAAGACCCGCAAAAGGAAAAAAGAGAAGAAAATGCGATTTCTGCTGGCATTACCTTGAGCGCCGTTGCGTTCTCGGGGTTTCCGAGCACGCGACATTAAACGACCGAAGAGGAAGATGAGAATGAAGGAAGAGGAGGATTATGAACTTCACGGCTGATGTTGAAATGAGATCAAGTGTGGACGCGAAAGATGCTTGCTTGCATAACTGCTTTTCAGCGCCTGTTTTTCCCCCGTCGTTTCGATACCAACATTTACGGGCGTTCCTTTTTTACTAATCATCATTTGGGGCAAGGAAATTTAACCTTGCCCCTATCGAGACCTCGAGCGCTCTTTTTTTGTTTTATTACGATTTGTTTTATTTGTTGTGCCTTTTTTGGTTTGGTGCGAAAGAGGGGTTGTGTATATATAGGAGCAGGTCTTGCAAAGGACGTGTTCAAATCTTTATTCTTACTGTCGTTTTTGGCTCTTCCTTTGTGTTTTGGGTATAGAATGGATCATTGTAACAGGACGGGGTGGCAAGGGGTTAGAATGGCTGTAAGATCTATCACTAAAACAATCAAATGAAACCGAGGTTGAAAAGTCTCTTCCGTCTCAAACTTTGCATTTAATTGTGACTTGCTTCTTACATCAACTTGATTGACACCTTGGCGCTCTTCCTCAAGTATCTCCTCCTTGCCCTTCTTCTCCAACCCCTACCGCATCAACCTCTTTTGGCATCTCGACCCCTGTCCTTGGCGTTCCCACATCCACATTCCCGCCCCTGCAACATTTAAACTTTGTCAATCGCAACAACCTCTCCAAAACGCCATTCGAATACTATGGAAACAGCTACCAACACCGCACCGTCAACTCCCAGTTCCTGTAATTAGCATACCCTCCGTATTCACAACACACTAAAACACTATTTTCTTCTACTTCTATTTCCTCCTCTAATTCCCTGGTCCACACTCACGCACACACACATTTATTTCTATACCAACCCTTTACTCCGTAGCTTTCAAGAAATAAGATAGTAGAACCACACCATATCAACAACCTCCTATCCACCTCAGCAAATCCAATATAAGCAATCAATCGAGTATCAGCACCACCTATATCCATAGTCTAAAACCAAGCATCAAATTCATTTGATTCAACTGCGGAAAAATAAGTACTTATAAACATATACCTTTAGTACTATCTTGTGGGTCGGGGAATGAGGGAGGAGATCGCTCACGAGGCTGACAGGCTGAGTCCGAAAATATAAGTTTTCCCCGCATTGTCAGCGGATATGTGGGGGTAAAGGTTTATCTCAGTCGACAAGCGCTTGAAATGACGCCGTTTTAGAGGGTCTAGCCTGTAGCGAGGCCCCTTAACTTTGTTAATCACCTGCAACCCTCTGATTCTTATTATCATCTCACTATTAACGACCTCCACAAATGGAGGCTTTTGATGATCTATCTCACGCTTCATGGACAAAGTAACCCGTGCTGTTTGTATGGTTCATCTCACCAACCATGACAAAAATGCTTCTCCAAGAATGGAATACCCCCCGCCCTTCTCAGACTCACAGCTGGAGGACCTGGTCTCGGATATCAAAGATTGGCAGATAACTCATGGCTCCCTCCTGAAATTAGTCAACACAGACCAAGACAGCACCGTTCTCACTCACCCAGTTGGAGCATGTCTGTTCCCCACCCTCTTCCCCAAAGAGCTGTTCGAACAAGCACTTGGTCTACAAAAAGTATACAATAAACTGTATGCCAGGGTTGCCGAAGATGAAGAGTGGCTATATGAGACGCTCAAGGACGACGAGTTCGCGAGGATTCTATGGGATATTCATGAGGAGGTGAAGAAGGAGGGATATGTGCAAGACCACACCTTGGGGATCTTCCGTTCAGATTATATGCTTGATGCCAACCCAGCCGGCCAAGTAAAACTCAAGCAAGTTGAATTCAACACCATTTCCTGTGCGGGAGGCATACACAGCAATCTCATCTCAGACATGCATCGGTGTCTCCAGCGACGCGGAGCATACTTACCAGCTGTACCCATTGACACGACAACGCCAATCAACCTATCGGCATCACACTTACCGCCAAGTCACACCCTCAGCACCGTAACAGCTGGTCTTATCGCCGCTCATACTATATACGGACCCCGCAAGTCACCAGCCGCGGAACAGACTTGCATCCTCTTCGTCGTGCAACCCCGCAACTTCAACATCGCAGACGAACGGCCCATCGAATACGCACTCTGGGACCAAAACATCCCCACCTTCCGCGTAGAGCTGACCCCCGAAGTCCTGGCCCACACCTCCCTCACACCCACCCGAGAACTCCTCTACCACCCGCCGTCTCGCCCAGCAGCAGCTCCGCTGGAAGTCAGCGTAGTGTATTTCCGCGCTGGGTTCGAGCCCGAGGAGTACAGCGGACCTGGGTGTGGAGATGCACGGGAGGCACGAGTGAGGGTAGAGCTATCGAAGGCGGTGAAATGCCCATCTATTCTATCCCACTTGATAACTTTCAAGAAAGTCCAGCAAGCGCTAGCTATACCGGGGGTATTGCGGCAGTTTCTATCGTCATCTGGTGAGGCTGTCGCTATCACGAATACGTTTGCGCGGCTATATCCCATGGATACATCTGTTGCTGGGCTTGAAGCGAGAAAGCTCGCAATGGACGAAGAGGCTTCAGAAGGGTACGTCTTGAAGCCTTCACTTGAAGGAGGAGGGCACAACGTTTACGGCTCTTCAATCCCCGCCTTCTTGACATGTACGCCGGAAGAGACATGGAGTCGTTACATCCTCATGAGTAAAATTGCCTCCCCGAACGTTCAGAATTTATTGATGTCACCACAAGGTCTTTACAAAGGCCCAGTCATTTCTGAACTGGGTGTGTTTGGGGTCTGTCTCTGGAGACGAAGTGCAGAATCAGAGGGGCGTGTGGAGATGGTTGAGGATAAGGAGCCGTGTTGTTGGTCATTCAAGACGAAAAGTGCCGGCGTAGATGAGATGAGCGTTGTGAAGGGGTATGGGTGTTTTGATAGTCCTGCGTTGGTGGACAATGATGTGTTTATGGCATGTTGTCGTGATGGAGAACAGAGCTGATCATAATGATTGCTAGAAGAAGTATTCAGACCAAACAGTCGCAACGTAATCGATGGGGGTTCAGAAGTAGAAAAGCCTTGGAAACGCCGTATCCATTGGAGAACTTTTAGGCAACAGATGCTGGGGATGTTACGGCTCATGACGAAGCAATGATCTCTCTCGATGTGGGGAATTCTTTGGGGCGTTGGGATTTGGTATCATGTTGTGAAATTAGAGTTTTGTATCGGTCGGGTTTTCTTTCCGAGACATTTATAGCTTGAATTAATTAATCACTTTTTTGCTATACAATGTGTTTCGAGCTCTATTTCTCTACTACATAGTGAAGTCGTGAGATTTATTTTATAAGGAAATGTAAGGCAAAGTAATCGGAGACATGTCATTACTGATTCAAAGACTACATACAGCGCGATTCTCAAAATCCATACATGTATGTATGTAACACACTGCAAACGTTAATCTAGGAGACCGATATCAGCGCCCAAAGCTTTAACTAGCTCTGCCTAGCCTTTATTTGGGATAACTGGTAGCGTGACATAATTTTCAAGCCTTTCTCCAAAGTGTACGTGATTCAAGCCCGCGAATCTGCTCTTCGACCTAAAAACACAGTCAGTACGTACCTAAGCCAGTCCCCCCTCTCCCCATAACGAAGAAGACTAACCTATCAACCTCACTATTATGCTGAAACACCCCACTGCCCTGCGTATCCCCACTAGCAACCTCAAGCACCAACCGTCCCCCCTTCTCAGCAAGCACATTCGTAGGCCACACCTCAACATCAACAGCATAGACAACTCCCGGCTGCACGTCTTGTACGTCTTCTTTGAAGTATCTCCTGTATGGAAGGTAGGATCGGTGTTTGGGGTTCTTATCGTCGGTTTTGCGCTGGGAGACGCGTAGCCAGCCTTTGGCGAGAGGGATGGGGTCACCTGCTGTACCTGTGTAGTGGACTTCCTCGCCTGATGGGGCGAGGTAACGGAGGGTGAGGAAAAGGTCAATATCTTTCTCGTGTTCAGTATCAGAGTCCGGGGTGACGGATACAGAGACGTTCAGACGTGCCACGATGTGGCCGGTGATTTCAGTGTCTTGCTCGAATGGCGGCGTTGTGAATTGAAGCGATTGTGGGTTGTCGAGTGTGCCAAGTGCTTGGTATGATTTCATCCCTGGGACCGAAGACGGCGCTGTAGAAAGAGTGCCATCAGGGTGGAGGTGGTAGTTGGTGTATTGCGTTCGTGCGATAGGCCAGGTGGATTCTTCTCGCCGAGCATATGTGGCTTCGAATTCGGGGTTGTTGAATCCTACATTGCCCTTGCGCAAGACCATACTTACCGGCGCCACCTTGCCAGGTTCAGACCAGCCGGCCGAGTCCTTGTCCTTGAGAAATGCATCTAAAAAGCTCTTCTGAACTTCAACTTCGTCGTGGTAGTAGAATGGGAGGTCGTGTCGTCCAACAATGAATCGGAGGTATTTGAATTTAGATCCAGCCCAGGTCCAGCCCTCCACGTTTCCCCTCAGATGCAACAATATTCCGCCCCAATTCGCTACACTAAGCACTGGGACCTCAATATCCTCCAAATTGAAGTCTTTAGATGCATAGTAGTCATCGTCTCGGAAGTGATTGGCGGCATTGTCATCATTTTGATCACGTCTATTTGCGGCCAGGACTTCAGGTGAAAGATCACCTTCTGCGGTATCTTCACCCCATTTCGCTGCTGCACGACCAGGTTTGCCATATTGGTTGGTGATGACTTGCCGGTTCCACCAAAATCGAATAAAGGCATTTGAAAGTATACCGCCGTGTCTGCAACGGTCGCGGTAGTAATCAGACATACCTTCCCAAGGAACAATTGCTGCCAACCCTTTTGGGCGCCTGGCAGCTACTCGCCATTGGCTTCCTGTTACTTGTGTCAGTGGTGACTTCCTCCGCAAAGACACATTACTCACCTGCGTAGTAGCTTATTCCTAGCAGACCAACTTTTCCAGACGACCAGGGTTGTACAGCGGCCCATTCCACAACATCAAAAAAGCACTCGCTTGTTCCTCTCGACATGGTATCCAGCAACCCAGGGGACTGGCCCAAGCCCCGCTCATCAGCCCGAACGACAACGTAGCCATGCTTGGTCCAGAACACTGGATCTGGCGTTTCCCACGCGCTATATTCTGATTTGTGCTCGGGATTTACTTCCCGGAACGAATCTGCGTGAAAGCTGCATATAGTCAGTTCATAGCTAATAGAAGTGAAGTGAGTCTCACTTCTCGTATGGGATGTCTTTCCCATATGGACCATAAGTTACCAGAACAGGGAATTTTTCACCCTCAGCAGCAATTGGGCGATACACATTACATCTGATGGGAAAAGTTGATTCTCGAGGAATAGAGACGTTCTTTTCAAAAACCAAATTGCTCTCTTTATCCTCGTGAACTTCCAACAAATCTTTAATAGCATTCGTTGTAGTCATGATGAAACAACAGGTTGTATTACCAAATGGAATGTGAATATGTAAAAAAAAAAATAAGAGACAATATACTTGAAGTCTACAAGCGTGAAGCTTCGAGGTGGGGAATTTTGGTCACTGGACGGACGACCCGGTTCAAGAACCGCGGCGCTCACTGTTCTTGAGGTGGGGCCGACGCTCACTTGAAGCGACTTGAGATGCGGTCCCGAAATACCCTTTCACACACTATATGTGGTGATGAAGTCACTAAAGCGCAACAATCGTTGGAATTATAGGTTTTCATCCGTTGATGTAGACATGGAAATGATGCAGATGAGCAGGAGGATTGATGAGACTGCAACCCAACCCTTGAGAAGATTACAGAAGCTTTTAGGGTACATCTTTAAGCGATGCGCTGAATAAGCAGCATGTGAAACGCCGCCGCCTGTAATTGCGCCCGTAATTGCCATGTTTTTCATTGCACAATCTATCCTCTGCAACACCACGAAACCAGAATTTGACATCTTCCCCATCACAGTGTAAACTCTCAAAGGCTCCTCAACGTTATCGTTTTGCCTCTTCCATTTCCTTTCTCTGCACACTTACTACCATTCGCCCCCAATTGCATACCTAAACAACCCAGGAAAGTACGGCCCACCTGTCTTTCCCCATATCTTCGCTGCTGCCTTTAAAACATCAGCATATAGCTCGTTTATAAAAGGAAAAGGATCACCGACCGAGTTGAGATATACGCCAGTGAACATGATCGTCAGGAAAGCAAACTCTCCAGCGTTCGAGCCCTTTGGCCGCTCCTCTGGATCACATAAATTTCTATTTACAGGTCGATAGTCCGGTACTCGATAATGGCTTCTCGGCCAATTTGGCGGATTGTCGACAGAAGGCGCTTCGACTGAATTCGGCGGTTCTATTCCATCGTGCCTAGTGGTGCTGTTATCTCCAGTGAGGCGGACCGTGTAGTCACTCAATACTCCCTGGAGCTGTTGCGCGGTGATGGTCGTGCCTGCTGTTGATGTTGTACTCATTTTGCTTTGAAGTGGAAGCAATTTAATGATGAATGTTCACAAAGCAATCATAGACTCCCAATCTTGTATGGATTTGATACTATAAGCTGTTGTGTTTCAGAATTGGATTTTCCACCCACATTCCGACGGCCCACTCGGGTCACTGCGGGCGACAAGGTTCTCCAACTTTTGAGCTCCGGGACCCCACACGACCTGGATGGTTTTCAGAGCCTTGTGTTTATTGTTCAGTACTGGTGATATCTCAAATTCTTTACTTTTCAAATATCATACTATTTCCATTACGCCGCCAATGGATTCTCTCCAGGATGGCATCGATACTCTGCGATCAGCAGTCATTGACGGCAGAACAGAAAATGTCCGGCATAGGCAAAACGAGCTCCTAAAACTCGATTCAGGATTGCGCAAGAATTCCAGCTCAACATGCGACGCAATATCAAAAGACTCGGGGGTTTCCGCTTCAGATGCGCAGAAGGAATTCATGCTAGCCATGGATGCAGTTCAGAAGATGTACGAGACACTGGATTTCGAGAAATCTCTGGAGGACGAATACTTAGTTAAAGAAGGGAAAGATAATCTGAGCAGAAGAGTTAGAATAGGCATAGTTGCCATACGACCAACAAATCATACGCGGTTATACTCGATTGTATCCCCGCTTGCGGCTGCCATTGCTGCGGGAAACTGCGTTTTGCTAGAGGTACGCAAGACCTTTTCATCATTTGAGTGTATAGTCCCAGTATTGATTTGATCTATAGCTAGAATACCCCGATTCTCAACTTGACCAAGCGCTGATGGAAATCCTTCCTTCTGCACTTGATAGAGATACATTCTTCATCTCCCACATAAGGCTTAATAATGAGCAACTCTCCCAAATCGATTTGACTGTCGACCAAAAGAGCACGGCCTCCATTTCAGACCTCAAACAACTTCTTTCACAACCACAAACCGGAACTCTAGCAGTCATCGATCGGACTGCAAATATCGGCTTAGCAGCGAGAGCAATCGCAACCGCTCGTCTTCCTCCATATAACACTTCACCGTACTCGCCAAATCTAGTGATTGTCAACTCCTTTTTACTCGAAGAATTCGTACAAGGATGTATAGAATATGCCGATAGCCTTGTTTCGTCGGATGAGAAAAGCCTTTCAGATGGGAACTCGCAGGGACTTGAAAGCAATTCTGCCGAGGGAGAACTTGTAGTCCACACATCCAAAACCGGGAACCTGAAAGTTGTTGTTCTTCAAGACCGGTATATCTCCCTATTCCGACGCTGTCTATCATGATCGCCAACTAACAGTCTCAGCTCATCTAACCCCCCAACCACCAAAATCGCGGGACAATACCTCCTCGTTCGCCCCAGCACAAGCACAACAGATGCAATATTCTCCCAACTATCCTCGTAAGTTTACGTTCCTTCCTCTCCTAGACGACATCAACTTCCAAGCCGCTAATCCCCTCACTCCTAGCCCAACATTCCTAGCAACATACAACTTCGCCACGCCCTCTCTAACCAAACACCTCTCGCAATCCATCTCCTCCCACGCATCGTTCTCAAACCACATTCCCCTTCCCCTCCTCTACGGACCGGCCGCACCTTGTCCGACCATGTATCCCGTATCCGTGCATCCGCGCTATACGCCGGGTATGTTTTCTGTACCGAGACCGGAGTTCGTGACTCAGATGGAATTTCCGGGGGAGGTGGGGGCATTGAAGCCTACGGGGCAGAGAAAGGGACATGCGGTGGGATTTTTTGAGCAGGGGATTTTTATCGGGTTGGGGTTGACGGCTAGTGTGTTGTTGCCGGTTGCTGGGTGGGGTGTGTGGAGGTTGGGTAGAGAGGGATTGAAGTTGGTGGGGCGATGGAGGTGATACTATAGCTAAAGCTAGTTATAGGGAGTGTTACTATCTCATTAGAACGTTTACTGCAGGTAACAAAAGTATCGATACTTGGGCAATTAATTTTGATATACGTCGTGCGGTTGATTCTTCACATAACACCCTCACTCGGTGCCCTACTAACTCTGCTTCCAGGCAGCTCACCCAAATCCCTCAACAGATTCCCCAGGTTCTCTACAAGAGGCGGTAGTCCTTCATCACGAACCGGGAAATTACTCCTATACATCTCCCTCGCCACCCTTAAAATGCCATCCGTAGTCGTCAAACGCACGAACTCCTCTCTGTCCTCCTTCACGACCATCAATCCAGGAACTCCATCCCCACTCGATCTAAAATCCCTCACCCCAGCTGTCTCCTTCCCATTAAGCACGACCTCTTCCCCGCCTCCCTCACCACCCACACCCAAGAATCCGGTCTTGTCGTTGGCGTTAGCATTAGCGCCAGACGACAGAAGTCCGTACACCCACAGCGCAAGCGCAGCATAGTACACCGCGATAGCATTGAAGCCCCTC